AGAAGCTTAATTTAGCTAAGTATATAAGCCTTCTTATAAGTAGCTTGCGAGTAGCTTATAAAAAGAATATAGGCTTAGCACCTCTAAGGTCTTAGAGGTAGCTCTAAGATCTTAGAGGTAGTAAATATTTTTACTAATAAAGTTTAATAAGTTTGAAAAACGTAAGTAAACTAAGTATATAGGCTTTCTTATAAGCGATCTATAAGATAAATATAAGCTTAGTATCTCTAAAATTATAAAGATAGCTTCAAGCTCCTAGAAGTAATAAAATAAAATACTAATATAATAAAAGTAATATATATAAGTATATATAGTATTATTAGCTTAGATTAAATTTAAGAGACTTAAAACTATAAATAAGCTATTCTCTTATTAATTAGAAATATAGAGTATTCTACTAGTAATAAGTATTAATAGGTATTTTAAAGATATTATAATATACTAAGATATAATTACCGCGAAGCTTTTTACTATATAATTAAAATATACTATACTACTATAGTATTTACTAGTAATAATCTTTATTATAGATAATATATCTATCTATAAAAGTCTTTAGCTTTAGAAGCTCTTTACTACTTGTAGCTCTATAATCTAGTATTTATTACTACACTTATTAGAATATAAAGTAATTGAATTTAGTTTCTTAGAGCTTAAAGCTTAGTTCTAGCGATTATATATACTTATTAAAGGTTTTATTAACTTCGGGATGTTTCTATAGTATATAATTAGCTAAATGTTACCACTAGAAGTATACGCTAACTATATTACTAAGACTAGGTATACTCTTAAGAATTAGAGTAGAGAATTAGAATAGAAGGTTAGAGTAGAGAATAAACACCTGCTAGATCTATAGAATAGCTATCTCGGCTATATTTTAGGCTTTATGCTAGCTTTTTAATGAGTTATAATAATTCTCCATTGATTTCTATGAAACTGCCATAGAATATCGCGGGGGACGCTAATGGCTTGGCTTGCGACAACCCTTTTGAAAGCGAGAGTCTTGGCGCGGTGGTCCCGGTGATGCTCGATACATTTTCTCGAGGCAGCAGCAACAGCTACCATGATTCCCAGCAGAGGGCTTCGGCCTATGTGTAATGCCTGTAATTCAGGTCGCATCATCTCAACGCGCCCGTTGAATGCCCCACGACACGTATGATGAGGCCCCCTCGCGCTCCTGTTCTCTTACTGATTCGAGATTCATTAGCTCTCCACCACTTCTTCAAGCTCATTATTCTCCTCGCGCTGTCGAACACCACGCACAAGTCCGCTTCTTGCTCGACAGTCAATATGGAGGGACAGCAGATCCATCATACCGCTCGTCGTCGCCATCCCGTCAGCAGCTCGCTTCAAATCGACTGCCCCGTCCTCCGCCGCCGACGCATTAGAAGGTCCCTTAGGGCCTCTCTCCACATCCGTACCACCATCCGCCGCCGCGTCCACTCCCGCGCCCGTCTCAAGCGCCAGTATTGCCTCCGAAGGCATCCTCCCTAATTCTCTGGACCACATCACAGACAACATCACCGACAGCCTCACCTCCGCGCCCATGATCACCGAACAGATTGGCTACCTCAAATCGCTCGGTCTTGACTTCGGCTGGGGCACGACGGCGATGATGGAGTGGATCCTCGAGCACGTCCACGTCTATACCAGTCTCCCCTGGTGGGGCTCCATCGCTCTGACCGCCTTTCTCATCCGCGCTGCCATGTTCCGGCCCTACATGACCGTTTCTGACGCAGCGGCTCGCCGTGGCGCCATGAAAGAGATTACAGACCCGCTCACCGCAGAGATGAAGAGGCGGTCGAACGCGGGGGATGGACAGGGCGCGCTGCAGGTACAGAGGGAGCTGTCGCAGGTGTACAAAGCTGCGGGCATCCGTCCGTGGGCGATGATGGTGGGCCCGCTGTTGCAGATGTTCGTCGGGTTCGGCATGTTCAGGCTGCTGAGGAACATGGCGAGCCTGCCGGTGCCGGGGTTGGAGAGCGGTGGATTGCTTTGGATCAAGGATCTTACCATCAGCGATCCGTATTTCGTCCTTCCTGTGGCGTGCGGCGGCATGTTCTTTCTCTTGGGCAAGGTACGTGACTTCCAGACTTCTCCAACTTCTCCTTCCCAACCATACTCCCATCACATTACTCCGCTCTATAATCCAATGTACTGGTGATGTGCATCTGCTAATCTAACAAAACCCCTTCCAGTTGGGCGGCGAATCCGGCAGCGTATCATCCCTAACCCCCGCGCAATACAAAATGATGCTGTACTTCCTCCCCGCCATCTCAATCTTCTTCGTGTCATGGATGCCCGCCGCACTGCAGTTCTACTTCGTCTGCACAACCCTCCTGGGCGCCATCCAGTCGCGCCTCTTCCAGTGGGCCGCATTCCGCAGCGCGTTCGGCCTGACGCCCATCGTCCCTATCAAGCCAGCAGAAACAGCAAACTCGCGCGTCATCGCCGTCAACGCTACCTCGAGGTCGAGCGCCACGGCGCAGGGTTACTCCTACGAAGCGCCTACCGTTGCCTCGTCAATTGCGGGCTCCGGCAGGGAGCCGCTGGAGGCTGCACCCCAGCCGAAGCAGGAGGGTATCCTGGGCCGCGCGATGGGCACTGCGAAGACGAGCGTGAATGACCTCATGGAACAGGGCAGGGCGCGCATTGCGGCGACAACGGGGCAGGCGAGGAAGGAGGTCGCGGGTAGCAAGAGTAAGCATTTTTTGAGGCAGGCTGAGGAGTATGAGAGGAGGAGGATGATGGAGATTGAGGAGGAGAAATCGGTGGAAGAGGAGGAGAGGAGGATGATGATGGGGGAGCGGAACGGGGGGAAGAAGACGAGGAAAGCAAAGTCGACCAACGAACCGAAGCGGACTAGGAGATGAAGAGCATTGGGTTGTAGTGGGGATTGTGTGAGAATGTAGCTATAGATGGGCATATGCGTGTACAGTAGCCATCTATCACCTCCAGACTTTGTAGAGTAGTCGTTGCATTGGCGATGTACGGTTTGTACACAGGCATTTACACTACAAGCGTTCCAGCTTAGCAAGGTCGCGCTGTATCTACGAGCGAGACATCATTCCTCTCCATCAGCTTTCTGTCTCTTTGCGCTGCCATCGATATCGCCTTCTGCTTTGCGCTTCTTGCCCGCTTCCTCATCCACGATCGGCGGCCCTTCTTCCACTTCGTCAACCGTGGGTTCCTCAACAGCCACCTTGCCCCATCGCCTCCTACACCTCTCCTCATCCTCATTGGTCCACAGCCTGGGCAAGACTGCAAAAAGGAGATAACTGGTGTGGGTTTTGATTTCCGGCTCCGTCCTATGCACCAGCCGGCCCGTCCTCCATGGCTTCTTCTCTTCCTTGCCGTCATTCTGTTTCTCCTGTTTCCCTTGCTTCGCTTGCCCCTTCTTCCCCCCCTTCGCTTCCTTCTTAACCCCTTCGGCTAAGACACCATCACTTCCAGTCGCACTGCCGCCTCCGCCGCCTTCCTCCCTCATCATCTCCCTCCACACCTTCCCTTTCCCCTCCATCTCCCTCAGCCTCCCCACCGCCTCGGCAACACTCGCCGGCCCAGCCTTCGCACCCCTCCCTTGCTCATCCTCAGCCAGTCCGATCCGCTCCCTCCGCACCTCAAGCCGCTTATGCGCCACCTCGACCATGTCGATCTCGACCCAGCCGAGCTGGCGGAGCACGGAGGCTGTCCTTTGCACCTGTTCGATGCAGGGGCTAAAGGTGCAGAGGCGGAAGGGGGTTACGGGGTCGAGGGGGGTGGGAAAGGGGAAGGGGAAGGGGGAGGATGAGGCGGGGGGGACAGGTGAGGGCGAGGGTGCGCTGGGGTCGATGGCGCTCAGCGTCTGGGGAGAGAGTCGTTCGCGGGTCAGGTGCTTGAGCGCTAGCCATGGGGCAGGGAGATCGAGGAAAACGGCGTTGGCGAGGGGTTCTGGGGGCTGCTTCTGGGCGGCAGTTTTGCGCGCACGGAGGCTGAAGCCGTCCTGGTACACGTCGCGGTGGGTGATTGTGACGACGGGGTCGAGGCCGTGGGCTGCGATCTCTTCGCGCAGCTTCTCGGCGCGCGGGAGGTGGTATTCGTAGCTATAGACTTTGCCGAGTTTGCGCTTTTTCGGCGCTGGAGGCGCGCTGTTTGACGTGCTGGTGGGTGAGGGGTCGGGATAGCCGCTGAATACTGCCCTTGCGGCGGCGTGCGTGAAGGAGCCGCTGCCTGCCCCGGCCTCGATTACGATGTCGCCGGGCCTGACGCGCAGCCTCTGCAGGATGTAGCTGTAGTCTGGCGTGTAGACGACCTGCGTCCGGTGGGGTAGCGACATGGTCCATGACTCTGGTGTAGGCGGCACCAGGTGCGCAAACCCGCTGGATGCTGCCACTGGCCCCCCTACATCCTGTTCATCTTCGCCGTCTCTCGCGCCAGCGTCATTCTCTTCGCGCCTCCTCTTCTTGCCGGACTTGCGATTTCGGCCGGAGTCCTCTTTCGAGGCGAGCACTTGCGTGCCCCATGGCAGGCCGACGAGCGTACTGTGCGGGAAGGTGCCGAATCGGGTATTAACGACTTGCTGCTCCTCGCTGTCGGCGCTGTCCGCGCTTTGGAGGATCAATGGCGTGTGGAGGTCGCGGCGGAGGGAGAGGAGGGCTAGTGAGCCCGGAGAGGCTGTGGGACCAGGATCGAGAAACGGAGAAGGTACTGTAGATGCCATTGGAGCTGCTGTTGCGATCTGGTACGGGATACGATTTGTCTGTCTATGCGCATGCCGATTCTCTTGTGTATAGCGGTTCTATTGCACCTACATAAACTTACAGAAATTCAGGTACCAGGGCCGGGGGTGGCCTCCAATGACTCGTGCTGAACCCACGCAGTTTTTGTTTCCGTGTCACTGAGTTTCCGTCTGACTCAGGCCTGGGCAATACGATGGACAACCCGATGGACAACATCAACACCAGTCGCCCTTGAATCTGCTGATGCGCCGCTTCGGCTGGATACTCTCCTCGCGTTCCATACGGGTACTGACATTGTCGCGAAGCTTTTCCTTCACAATTACCGCCATGGCGCAACGGCAACCACCCTGGCGAGCCCCAGCTCCGGCCGAGGGCGTCGAGCTCCCTGACCTCGTTGTATACAACTCTCTTACGCGGACGAAGAATGCATTCGCGCCCGTCAATGGCAGAAGAGTCACCTGGTACGCCTGCGGTCCAACGGTCTACGACGATGCGCACCTCGGTCACGCAAGAAACTATGTGAGCACCGATATAATACGGCGGACCCTGAAGTACTACTTCAACTTCGACCTCACCTTTGTCATGAACGTTACGGATGTCGATGACAAGATCATATTGCGTGGCCGACAGCAGCATCTGCTCGCAGATTTCACCTCGAGACACCCCAACTTGGACGAGACGGTCATATCAACCGCGAAACAAGCATTCGAGGCATACATCAAGAAGAACCTCACCCTCTTGCCGCCCGGTGTACAGCTTACACGATACGATTCGGAGGCAAAGAAAGCATACAAGGCGGTATTAGAAGGCCGATCGCTAGCAGACGATGGCACCCCTCCTGGCGACGCAGAAGCAAAGATCAAAATGCACCTCAAGACCTCCGCAACGGCCGCCGAAGCTCTCGTCCAAGCCAGCTCCGACCCCTCTTCACTCTCCATAACAGACTTCTACACAGAGACAACAGATGTCTTCCTTCCCTACCTCGACTCCCTGCATGGCTCCGAAATCGACGCCAGCGACTACAGCATCTTTACCAAGCTGACGCAGAGATACGAAGACCGGTTCACGGAAGACATGCAAGCGCTAAATGTCCTGCCGCCGGACGTCGTAACGCGTGCCACCGAATACATCGACAAGATTATATCCATGAACGAGACGATCGTCAATAAGGGCTCCGCCTACCCCACATCAGATGGGTCCATATACTTCGACATAACCGCTCATGAGAAGAGAGGGCTACCATACGCACGGCTAGAGCCAGAGAACCGAGGTGACAAGGCGCTCCAAGCAGACGGCGAGGGAGCGTTAACCCAGAAGACGTCGGAAAAGCGCTCCGATGCCGACTTTGCGCTGTGGAAGGCTTCGAAACCTGGTGAACCGAGCTGGCCCAGCCCATGGGGTCAGGGCCGGCCCGGGTGGCATATTGAATGCTCGGCCATGGCGTCGGATATACTGGGCAAGACCATGGACATACACTCAGGTGGTGTGGACCTCAAGTTCCCGCATCACGATAATGAGCTGGCACAGAGCGAGGCATACTGGGCGGACACTGGTTGCGGAGGACATTCGCACGAGAACGCTCAGTGGGTCAACTACTTCCTGCACATGGGTCATCTCTCCATCGCCGGCTCCAAGATGTCAAAATCGCTCAAAAACTTCACAACCATCCGAGAAGCGCTAAGTCGTGGCACCTGGACACCCCGAGGGCTACGCATAGCGTTTCTACTCGGCAACTGGGAAAAGGGCATCGAGATCACTGATGACAAGATCAAAGAGGGCCTGGCCTGGGAGTCTCACGTTAACAATTTCTTCCTCAAAGCGCGAGATCTCCTCTCAAACCCGACCCACCCCAGCTCCGTTGCTTCCGACGCTCCCGCCACGAATGGCTCCTCCGATGCAGACACCGCCCTCCGCACCTCCCTAGAAAAAGCCAAACAGGAAGTCAATGCCGCCCTCTGCAACTCCTTCGATACCCCAACAGCAATGCGCGCCCTCTCATCCCTGATCTCCGACTACAACTCCTCCAACAAGTCCCTACTCTCGGGCTCAACCGTCCTTGACGCAGCAAAATGGATCACACACATAATCACCATCTGGGGTCTCAACGCGCCCGGCATCGATCCCAGCGCCTCACCAACCCCCACAGCCATCGGCTGGGCCGGCGTCGACATACCCGAAGAAGCGAAACCCTTCGTCATCCCGCTCAGCAGGCTGCGTGACAGCGTCCGCAAGCGCGCCATCGCGGCCGGCTCTTCTGCCACTATACCATCCGCCGAGCTCTCCGAAACGCTAGCGCAACAACCGCACGCAGACACGGTGCAAGACGCGGCCGCTGTTCCCTACGCCGAAGCCCTGTCCCAGTTCCAGGAGGACGTCTCAGCTCTAGCGGCCAAAGAAGCCCCCGCGCGCGACTACCTCTCCCTGTGCGACGCACTCCGCGACGTCCGCCTCTGGGATCTGGGGATCTACCTCGAAGACCGGGAGGCCCAGCCCGCGATGATCCGGCCCGTAGACCGTGAGCTCGTCGCCGCGCGTGCCGAGAAAGAGGCACAAGCGTCCGCGAAAGCTGCAGCGAAGGAGAAGCGAGAAAGGGAGGAGTCGGAGAAGGCAGCCAAGAGGGCGGAGCAGGCGAAGCTGAGCCATCTGGATATGTTTCGCACGCAGGAGTATTCGGCCTGGGATGAGGAGGGGTTGCCGGTCAAAGACGCTGAGGGCAAGGAGGTTGCCAAAAGCAAGAGTAAGAAGCTGAGGAAGGAGTGGGAGAGGCAGAGGAAATTGCATGAGGAGTATTTGGCGGGGCTGGGGAAGGGTGCGTAGGTGAATGATTTGGCTTCGACCAGGAGACGTGGTCAGGAAGCGCAATCAGGGAGCGCGGTCTAGGAGTAAGAAGGAAGATATGTTTGATAGCTTGGCTGTCGGTCCGGTTGTGTGGTTGATGTATTGGTTATGTGAAAAGAATACCCCGTTCACTAAGAAAGACTTCGAAGTTCGATTTCAGTCTGCCCAGGCTTTCGCGAGTTCATGACCAATGCTGCAAATCAGTTGAAGCTGGTTACAAGTTAAGTGATCGATGTTATTCTATGCTCGCTCTACCTTCACATGCCTTGGTCCACGACCCTTCAGATGCCAGGAAGCTCCCCCAAGTCCATAGTCTCAATACGGCTTGAACCTCTCCCCCTCCTTCTTGATCTTGACATCTCCTCCCTTCTTTCTCTCCCTTCTACTTCTGAACTCTGCATCCCTCTCCTCCTTCACCGCTACCTCTTCCGCCGGCCGCCAAGCCCGCACTATGCCATCCTCACCGCATGTGAAAGTCGTATCGCCCTCAATGTAGATATCCCGCACTATATCCTCTCCATGAGCACCCGGGAGCCTAGTCACGGCGTTCACATTAGGCATGTCGGGGAGCTCCCTCGAGAGAGGGATTAGATCGAGGTGCTGGGCGTCCCTGTTGTTCGGATCCGAGCTGTCAGCTGGGCACAGCGACGAATAGGTAGATCAAGCCGACAAGGGCTCAAGCCGGCCCTGTCCGGTAGCATCGAGAAGGGAGCTGTCAACGTACCGATGGCTTCCCACCGCGATGTACCCAGCAACGATATCGACTGCGTACTCGCATCCCAAAGCCGATCGGAAATCCCCCATCACCACCGACGACGGTGCCATCTCGACCACTTCCTCGCCGTCCAGCGCGTGGAACGAGGCCGTCTCGTCGGTGCCGAGCACATAGATGTCCTTGCGGTCGAGCGGGCCAGGAGTGAGGCCGGTGCGGTGGACGGCGCTCCCGTGGTTGACGACTTGGAAGAGTGCGTCTTCTTCTTCAGCAATGCTGACGTCGAAGACGTTTACTAGGCCGTCTGTGCTGCCCGAGATCAGAATGTTGGGCCTGAGGGGATCTAGCACCAGCGATGTGATTGTGTCCGTGTGGCTGTCTGTGAATTTTCGGAGTGGGGGTGCCACCGCTCTTGGGTGGTCTTGGTGGATATATCGAGGGTCCCTGGAGAGCTGTTAGAAATTATGATGTGGGCCTTTGTGGCTGATACAGAAATGAAGAAGGTTCCCGGCGGAGCCCTGAAGATACTAGCGCAATATTCATGTTTATGAGAGGGATACCCTGTCCTCCCTTGCTGGACGCAGCGGGAGTCATGGTACTGACGACGACGGCTTGTAAAGATGAGGATGAAGCGGGTGATATATACAAATGACCGTGAGATACAAGACATGACGAGTGGTGAACCTACCAAATAAGGATGTCTGCTTCACCCGGCCCATCACTTTGCAGTTCTACGCCGGCTGCTACGATATTGGCGGAATGGCTGGCTACTACCGTGGAGAAGGGCAGTGGTGGGTTTCCTAGAAGAAAAGCCCCCTGTCAGCGTTTGTTCTTTCCTTCTGATCGACTGGGTAACATACTGTTAACTACAATTCGGTGGATAGTTATTAATACTTGAGCATAGGTATGGTGCACAGTAACTCAGTATTAGTAAAGCCGCACGAAGGTTCCACAAAGTCTATGCTTCGGGTTGGATAATTCCACCGTATTCATGTGTAGAGACTCGTGAGGGCGAACGTCTAGCCCATATCACATATGCCACAATGGGACGACGGGATAAAGGAGGGGAAAAGCCACTCACGGGTCACGATTTGCGTAGCTCTTCTACATATCCTCCTATCCCAGAACCGCACATATCCATCCCGACCGCTCGTAACAACAACGTTGCCCTCGTCGTCAAAGCGTGAAAGGCAAGTTACGCTTCTGTGAGCCTCGTCAACGAAACCGAATTGTGGCGTCAGTGTTGTTATGTCGATGAAGCGAAGGCTGTCATCGGAGGAGATTGCGGCTAGTGGCCCACCAGGTGCAAAAGTATAGGGCGTGGCTCGTGGTGCACAGGTGATCAAGCTGTAGATGTAGGTATTCCGCGGAAGCGAAAGATCCGTGGAAGCAACTTCTTGTTGATACCTCGCTACGCGTACCATAGCTTGAGGTGGAGTTCTCAACTAAGGATGGCTTGTTTTGTCGATCTGGACGGTACTGGTATGCTCTGTATGTTATGTGGTCTGTCACCTGGATCTCTGATGTGATGGGTTGTGAGGTGTATCGTGGTTTTCACGCCCTGGTAGGTATGAACGGAGAGGGGACGGGGATGAGGGAAGGCACGTCTTAGATCTCAGCACCACGCCATAGAAGGTGCTGCCTTCTGCACAGGTATACACTTGCGATAAACTGACAGCGGTCTACTTGGGGCATAGAGGCCACACGGCAAGCCAGAATTCTGGGCATCCCGCCCCAGATCCAAGACCGGATTTCAAATTGAGTTGGTTCACAATGCCATTATCCGCAAGGCTTGTGCCGAATGCTATGGAGAGAGCACCTCAATGAAGAAGCAACAAGTCTCTCTGAGACGATTTCTGCCCCATGGAGATATGTTACCCTGATATGAAACGCACCGAATCATAGACTGGATTAAAATGCGCGATTAACGACGGGTGGTTCGGTCTGGGGGCCTCATGGATGCCGACAGAATGCCGACATAATAGTCCACCATGTCCTCAGGGGGGATCAGAAGAGTGGTGTCGAGGCCCCATGAAATTCATGTAAAGAAAGGGAAACGACGTCGCGAGCCTTGAAGTAAAGCGTTTTCGCAGTCTTGGCGGCGGATTATATCGGAGCTCCGTGACTGGCTGCTCGCTGGTCGTCCAGCCAATTGCGGACAGCCCTCGGCACTGGCTGCAATCAATCCCGCGAGCTCATGAAGCTTCATTGACGACGACATCTACACCACCACCTGCGCATTCAGCCCGCAACTACTCACTCATATACCGTCATGTTTGCCCTCAGGAACACAATGCGAGGTGGCGCAGCCCGCGCTGTCTTCAGGTCCCCCGTAGCCCAGGTGGCACCACGGAGGTGAGTCCCCAGCGTCATACCGCAACCACCCCACGGCCAGCGTCAAACCATCCATTCGACCAGTTCTAACCCCCTCCCACAGAACTGCAGCCACACAGAACATGCCCGACAATGCCGCACGCGACATGCTTGTCAAGCAGCGCCTCAACCGCCCCGTCTCTCCCCACCTCGGCATCTACCGGCCACAGATAACGTGGTATGGCTCCGCGCTCAATCGTATCACCGCCTCGATCCTCTCTGGCGGTTTCTACATCTTCGGCTTCTCCTACCTCATTGCGCCGCTCTTCGGCTGGGACCTCAGCTCCCAGAGGCTGGCCAAGTCATTCGGGTCACTGCCCAAGTCGGTGAAGGTTGGCACGAAGATGCTGTTGGCGTTCCCGTTCACGTACCACAGCTTGAACGGCGTCAGGCATCTGGCGTGGGATCTGGGGTACGGATTTTCGAACAAGGCGGTTATGCAGACTGGGTGGGCTACCGTGGCGGCGAGCGTTGCTAGCTCGCTGGGCCTGGCTTTCGTTTAAAACAGCTACTTGGAAGGAAGTTCGTGGTGTGATATACGATGGTTCTTTTGCGCCGCGCTTTACATACTGGATCTAGTTCAAGGACGATCTTGTGGTTGAACTTGTTTGCTCCCACTCCAGTACCTCCAACTCGGCCAGACGGTCACAAATCATCTTCCATCTTACAATCTATGATTCCAGGTTATACCGGCATCCTCGCGGCTCCTCAGTGCCAAGAGAAGTGCGAGGTCGCAGTGCCTTTCCACTTGCCCAGCCTTTCCACAAACCGGACTGTATAGTAGAAACACCTTACGATAGCCGCACTCATCCTAACGCCATGCTGCTGCAATCCTGGGTATTTCCAAAGTTCTCCAAACTCTCAGTCCATGCCGCAAACGAGCTTTCCAAATCTTCATGCACCACGTCCAAGACAGCTGAGACCTACCATCCTCCTGGCACGCCTGCAGACGTCATCCTGTTCTTCGCCATTGCAATCCGCCTAGTTGCATCCATTTCCAGCTCCCATCGAGCGTGGTTGACGTGCTCTTTCAACTTCAGATACCGCATTGTATCAAAAAACTTCAAGTCCAACGACTCCGCATCCCATCTTGAAAAGGGCAAGGTGTAATATGATCGCGCATCCAAGAAAAATTGGTCGTGGAGTGGAACCGATCTGAAGAAGTCTCGGGGTACCATCCTGGAAATCCCTAGCTGAGGAGCCGTGTCTTGAACCGGCGTGGGCGGCTCGGCCTTTGTCGCTGCTTGGGTTCCTTCCGTTTCCATTGGTGCTACATCTTTTATAATAGCCCGAACTGCCTCCAGTGTGCTCTTGCTCACGGCACCAGGCTCCCCGTTCCCAAACTTTACCATCTCGGCTTGCTGGCTGGGAGTCAGTCGTTGGATGACTGTGTCCATCATTCCCGAAAGGCTATCCTGATAGGTCTCCTCTGCTTCCCGAAGCGTTGCCGCCGACAACCCCCACGTTGACGCCTGTTTAAAAACAAGGCTGAATTCGGATGGGCTCAAAAGTGGTCTTTCCGTTGCTGCGCGCCAGAGCTCTTCCTCAACAGCCTGTAAATGCTCTGGTGTCCCCGCCACGTACTTCACAGCCGGCTGAGCCGTTGCAGTCTTGGTTTGGCTGGCCTCTGCTTTGCTGGATGTTGCTCGTGATCCCCCAGCTTCCGACTTCATGACCGCTTTGACTGCTCGCCTAACTCGACGCTGGAGGTCGGTCGGTGCAGCGCCGGCAGCTGGACCTCGTTGCGTGCCCTCTGCCACCTTAGGAGTCTTCGATGCACTTTTTGCAGCGATCTGCGCATTGAACAACACGGCTGCGGCCTTGAGGTCACCCCCCAGCCCCACCAAGCCTTCCAGTGCCTCATCTGCTGCCGACTCCCCCAAAAAAGGGATCGATCTGATGCCCGGATACTTGTTCTGCATTTCTTCGTCGGTCATCCCCGCAAAGGCCTCCCTGATCTTCACGTTCAGCTCTTCAGTGGGCGCCCCGTACTTTCTCATCAGTTCGTTCCTTGTCTTGCCCCACTCGAACGAGATCGTGAGATGCCTGTGGAGGCGCTCCCACTCTTCCGTGTCATTGTCCGCTACACACAAACCCATGACGTTCATGAGGTCCAGAATCTTGTTTTGCCGACCGGCTTCCGTCCTGACGATTTCGTGGATCCACTCGGGACTTGCTTCAATGCATTTCGCTGCGAACTTTTTGGCGAGATTGACAAGTTCGGGGTGGTCATCAGGGATTACGCCGCGAGAGCGCTGCAGGATCAGAGCGCTTAGTCGGCTGACTTTGAGTAGAGGGCCTGGTTTTGTCTGGGGTTGCGAGGTGGAGGCACGACTAGCATCGTTGTTCTGCGACTCGATCTTGTCCTTTGGTTTGGCTTGGACTGTGTCTTCTTCGTTCACGGGCCGCTGCGATGAGAGAAATGTATGCCGTGACCATGTGTCTTCGATCGGGGAGCCACAAGATACTTCACTCTGGCCACCTGTTAATGGCTTGTTGATGAAGGGCATCCTGGAGCTCTGTTCGGATTGAGTGTCGACTGCAGCCTCCCCCTCTTTCTCTTTGACCTCTTTCGGCGGATCTTCTGCTTTGATTTCACTCAGTGTCTCCGCGAAGCGTCTGCTTTCTTCTTTGTGCTTTTCCAGCGTCCGCTCCATTTGCTCAAGCGTATCATCTGGAAACAAGCCCGCCTTCTCCATGCCTGTTCCGCTTGCTATGCACTTCGCGACTTGCTCCGGCGGTGATACGTTGAGCGCCGCTTCCGAAACCCCTGCACCAGTTGGAAGATTGTCGAGATCAGCTAGCTGACGTATGTCTGCGCGAGAACGGTGGCGGGTGTGGGAGGTATCATATCGAAACGGTCCGCACTTGAGAGCGTGGTCCGAAAACGGGAAGTTCATCACATGGGCGAGACTGGGCAACCAAAGTTACCAATCTTACAAACCATCCTGATGACACCGCGACGACAGCCTACAGCGCCAGCTCTGCAGATCTAAGGACCTCTGTGTGCATCGTAAAGAGTACTGTACCTCTCACCTGGCGTTTCTGTATGGCTTTAGTCGCTCCACAATGCTGCGCTTCCGCACAAGTGCCCTTGCCCCCTACGCCTCCAACCCATCTCTGGAACTGATGGGCTTGTCTTGATTCTACCGCCAGGAGGCTTCACTGCCCTGACGATGCTCACGAGCCTACTTGACGGGCTGCTTGAATGGCACTTCATCACACTGGTAGAGGTTCTAGGAAAGTATAAAGTCAGCCATTGGCTTTGCTCTGTTTGATAATCAGTTTGTTGCTATGCGCAGAGAGCCGAATCGTTTGACAACGGTTGAGCCACGTGATACAAATACTTGAATAGGCCTTTCCAGCATCTTCAAGTGTCTACCATGTTGTTGAGATAAACACTACCTCCCTTCTCTCGTCGTTCCACCTAGTAAGCCCTTTGCAGTGCTTAAACCAACACCTTCGCTCTTCATCCAAAGACACTTGTTCAAGCTGTTCTTCAGTAAGCTCATCCTCTTCAATGAGCCCGAGCTCTCTCAACGGAAACCAATCATACAAACCTCACCCATTCCCCAATGCCCAAATCCCTGTAAGCCGTGATGCGCTGTTCCTAAGGATTGTGCGCGGGGACAGGGGCGGAAGATCCGCGTTAGATGCTGTCTTCTGCACTTTCTTTCGAGCCGACAGAGCGAGACACTGGTCCGCTGCTACATCAATCGTTCGCTTCTGTGGTCTTGTCGTAGGTTGGCTCTCTTTGGTGTTCCTGTGCTCGATGCTGTTCTCACGAGTCGATGACGAAAGCGGCGGCGGATGAAATGCGCGTTCGCCCTGCGTCGCTGATACTTGTAGAGGGGACACCGCGCCCCTACTCACCTCCACAACGCACTCGTGAGAACTGAGAGTCTTGGTAGTATCGATCCATACTTTCGGCAGCTGAGTAGACTCTGCGCGGTGCGAGACCGGCGTCCGCCGCCTCAGCGATGGGCTCGTTGAAGCCGTTGACTGTGGTGTTGTACGCATACTCGAGCGCTCGTCTCTCTCCCTCCGGTTTGCCATGATTTTCTTGACCAACCGACCCGTTTCTTGCGACTCAGAGCCCTCTGGTATGTTGCGCGCTTTCTCGGCCAAGCTGCTCAGCTCGTCTATACAAGTTGTTTCGGTAAAATCACGATCGAGATGCAGCTTGATCACTCTTGGGTGCCGCAGCATAAAGAAGTCTTGATTTGGAGGCTTAACGTAACCGGAACCAAGCACCTCTATTACGAACGGCTTCCGGAACACAACGTCCATGGGCGGTATGGGGTAGCGTACTGGGCACAGGTCGAACTTTCGATGCAGACTGTCAGTCTCCTGCCGGAACTTCCCAAGACGGTTTAAGGCCTCGAGATCCGGCTTCGGTATACAATGCTCTTGATGGATTACCTCGACCACTCGGAAGGAAGGCCTTGCTTGGAAGCGGAGGACTGCTTCTTTGTTGATGAGACACCCAATGTGGAATGTCGTCCAGGAGATATTCTGGAGGCCGGATTTCAACGCCTGCTGAGCATCGTAACTTCCACCCACCACAGCGAAATCAGCAACGTCGCGATCACTGCCCATGTCGATCATGTAGTCCGCTTTGAGCTTGACGAAGCCTCGCCAGTCGCCGGCGTTGTCCAGAGGGAAATATGGCGCATCTGATGGCTTGAGTATCAGACCCTCGCAGCGGTCGTAAAGGGCGCACGCAAATTGCTCGACGAGGGTACGTTCAGCCGTCACCTGAGCAAAGTCTATCTCTTTCCATTCAGCAGTCACAGCACTGCCCCGTTTCTTGACGATGAGATCCCTCAGACGATCTCTCCGTTGTCTGTGAGGCAGCCTCATGGTTATCTCCTCGTCGACCATGAGCACGTCAAAATAAACTATCATGAGATGTTCGTGCTCATGGGCTTGAGAGTCGGCATCGTTGCCCAAGAAAGATCCTGACCGGGAAACATGTTTTCGTATCTTATGGAATGCTTGGATTTGGCGCTCCTTGTCACAGTACACAACCAGCTCACCAAGCAATATACAGGTGCGCTTGAACCTGCATTCAGATGTCCCTAAGCGAAGGGCCTCTCGAATCCACCCATGCACGCCCTGACGGTCTTGGGTCGAATCTTTCCCGGACTTGCTGAGAATTTGGATGCAGTCGGGGCCTTTTGAAAGATCGATGTGGATCTCACAGTATTCTCCGTCGTACTTGCGCTCGATAGCCCACTTTCTGCTGCCCACTGTGCGAAGGCAGTCTTTCAGGGAACGCGCCTTATGGAAGGACGGCCGTCCGACTTTGACTCCAATCTGCGGTCGAAGAAGTTCAGCAGCCTGCTTGCGAAATACGACTTGAGACCTGGGATCCGGGCTGGATGGAAACTCCCCTAGAGGTCCCTGAATTAAGTGCATTGCCGCTTCGAATGTGTCTTGAAACTTGAGCAGAGCGGGGAGTAAAAAGTGGAAGCATCGTAGAACATGCTGCTGATCCAAAACGACTGGCGCGTAGTCCTTCAGTATCATGCGGACGAGCCACTTGGCCTCGAAAGACTTGAGCCTTCGGACGATGGCCGCGAGGAGATGGCCGGGGGAGTCGTTTGACAGCGACTTCCTCGTGCGAACCGCCGGGCTGGAGAATCTGACCTTGGAGGCGATGTCCTGTAGTACTGCATCAACCTCCTCAACACTGACGTATCCCAGCCGTGGCTCTGCATCGTGCACTTTAAGCACGCGCGCCAGACAATCCCCAAGGTCGCCATTTCCAGGACTCTTGAATCTGTTGAGCGTCGCAAGCTTCTCAGACCGTAGCTCGAGGCCGCGGGCAATTGCTTGCAACAAGCGCGGTGCCTGTAGCAGATATACTCGGTCAGTTCGTCGCTCCGGGAACAGCGATGATAGCAAAGCAACCCGGTCGGTGTCTGGCGCGTCGATGGACCTTCGATGGACCCTAAACCATGCCACAACGGTCTTCTGTACTCTGTCTCGTCGTGCATCTCGAAGCAGGGGTGGATCGTGCCGCTCGATCTCCTCGAGGGACTCTAAAAGCTGACAAAGATGGCTGAATCTGAATGGCATTATCGGATGCGGTAGCGGATGCTGAGCGGTAAGATGGAGCTAGCTCGGTGATGTTGACTGTATCAAGAGGTGGTGAGAAGGAAGGACACGAAAGTGGAACCCTGACTCCATGTTGCACGGAAGGCAGTGAGTGCGACAGATGTCGCCTGTGCACAAGGCAATGGCATCTCTCATCGCCGGAGGTGAAGGTGATGTGCTGGCGTCGGCCAGACGTGAGTTCTTTGTTTGCCCCGATCTACTCCACAATGGACAGCGCGCTAGGGGTACGCGCCGTCATGTGAGCGGGTGTAGCGTTCCATTGTCCACTCATGGTCGGCAGTACCTAGTTACCACACCCTGTTCCAGCCAGAGGCTGTGAGGAGGGGTTTGGTGCCAGGTTTGAAGCTCGCTGGTAGCAGACCGAGGATGCTCCAAGGCATAGAGCACTGCTGGTCGTAAAGTATGAGTTGCGCCTCGAGACGAGAGCTCCGACCACACACAAGGGTGCTCTGGGTGAGATCCAGCACCCCCGGCTCCCTTCCGTGCCGCCCGCATCGGTGGCAGAGAGATCTTTGAACACATTGAAGACACCAGCTCTAAGAGAATTTCGCAGAGCTCTGTGGAGTCCAGCTATCTGAATGGCTGAGATCTCTATATACCATTTTCAAAAGCATAGTACACTACCCAGGTAGGGTGTGCAGCCGGGGGTGGATCTACATAGCCCCTACGTCAATCTGCCCTAGCGAAGCTCCCTCGGGCATCTCGCGCCTTTCGGCCTCCACCCAAGCTGCTACCCGACGGGAGCATCGTCTTGCAACCGATTAGAAAGCACCACCTTTGCTTGCTCAGCGAGATAGTCCACCATCCCTGCTTCTGCGAAGATACAATTAGAGCTAGAAGTCCTCGCCATCCTTCTTTCAAGCGCGGTTCTATCTTGGACCATCGACCATCGGGCTACTCCATAGATAGAGAGACTCCACCGCAGCGATGAGCTCCCCCGAAGCAGCCGGCGAGAAGCGCGGGAAGAAGAAGGTAGACATGATCAAGCGCGGAAGCTACAATCCCACTCCCTTGGGCAAAGCTGTCTTTGTCGGTCTTCGCGCCCTCGATCCAATCCTCCAGTACGGCATTCTGGCGCGTGGCCTTGGATCAGGCCTCCTGCAGAAGCTGGGCCTCAACGTGCTGCCTCAGGGCCTGCCGACGCAAACTGGCACTCCCATCGATGCGCTCGGCCTCTCGCCTTACAGGCTCATACTGTTGTCCATGGCCGTGGGCAGCATGCTGAAACAGAACTACTGGCTGCTGGCTATAAGCGCCGAAGAGATGCCTCCCTCCTCGGCTGTACTTATTGCGATCTTCAACACTGTCGCCAACTCCCTGAATACCCTCGGCTTCATTTGCGCCGCGACGTCCGCGTCTCTCAACTCCGGCTCCACGTTCCCCCAAGCGTCTCTTATCGTTGGCAGCACTATGTACGTTGTTGGCATTGCGCTGGAACTGATCAGTGAGATTCAGCGGAGCAACTTCAAGAAAGACCCGAAGAATAAGGGCAAGGCATATACGGGCGGCCTCTGGAGCTGGGCAAGACACATCAACTATGGCGGATACTCGCTTTGGAGGGGAGGATTTGCGCTCGCTGCTGCTGGGTGGACATGGGGAGCGATCGTGCTCGGCTTCTTCTTGTATGACTTCACGAATAGGGCCATCCCGGTGCTTGACGACTACTGCAGCAAAAGGGTAAGCCTGACCTTCAAGGCAGACTCTCGAGAGCGAGACATACTGACGGATGTAGTATGGCGATGCTTGGACCGAGTTCAAGAAGAAGACGCCGTACCAGATACTTCCCTTCATCTACTAGGCCTGACATTCCACTAGCTCATGGCCTCATCGATAACACGATCGGGTTGGTTCTGGAGCTGTCTAGATTCGGACGGCTTCATGAATACGTAACACTGGTCTGCAAACATGCTCCTGTAACCTTCAATTCAATGCAATCGTCCATGCGTATATCTTTGTTGAGATGAGATCCGCACCCTGAATCCCGCAAAACATTACAACCGCGAGCTCAGACGCAACATGTCTCTGAAGGGGTTTTACCCAGCACGTTGTTAGAGCTGTGCAGAAGCAAGAGGTAGCGAAGCTCTCGCACCACCGAGCCAACTTATGCACGTGACTCCCCCAATGTTTCACCTTATAACAGACAATTTTGACTGGAATGCTCTCGACAGGACGACATTTCGTATGTTTATGGGTTTACTACGACAGCTCGAAGAAGCTTATCACAAAGTTCGCGTTTCTTTACCCATGGTATCAATGAGGAGTCATCTTAGCATGGACAACACCAGTACGAGCTCTACTGCAGCCCCAGTGCAAGGGACCGCTGGCGCTGCTATGTTCCTACTAGTACAGGCGTGATTCTTTAGTAGGTTATCAATATAACAAGTAGGGTTAACGCTTAATAGCAATGTAGAACAGGCTGCTCAAAATAGTACTATAGTATAGTGCGACAATTCTCCAAGACGGCGTCACTGAAGTCGCAACAGTAGAGCTTGCATTCGTGTTGAATAACCTTTAGGTACGTACAGAGGTACACGTAGCCGGATTTGTTAGTCTGTAGATGGTTAGCTTGGGTTGCCAGTGGTCCAAGCTCTCATGTGGCTCTCTAGGAACTCCGAGACCTTGACCATCCCCACACACTCATGAGCCTGCGCCTTCTCTCATCTTCCTCGCCTCGGCCTCTGCTTCCCTCCTGTTACTGACTGCTACATATCCGGCGCCATCCGCTTGTGCGCCGCTTCGCCTTCTAGCTTCAATACTACGGGGATTGTAGATCGTATACGTAGTCAGACATCAAGACCACAACGGCAAGAATCACAGGACGCTACTCGGATAAAGTGGCGTCACTACAGTGTACACATCATTCGAGAAAGTTTTGTTGGACCCAGGGACTACAGTATGTCACATATCCTTTATTTCTCCTAACACCGTCGCCTATCATCTGCCCAAGGCATTAGCTTACCCCGAGCCCCTTATGTTACATTCGCGCGAGTTCTCAGGCAGGCTGACTATCATCAGTTGTCATCTCAGAGCTTACAATCTGTCTACAAGTGCCAGCTAGATTGGGAAGCGGCCTTTGCCTGTAGAGTGCCTTTCACAGACATGAGCTGTTTGTGCACTCCATGGCCACGATATTCCGCTACCCCGAACCTCATTGTACGAGTACCTTTATCAGGAGCGATAATCTCCTTCGGCATATAGGACGCGCACATTCGACAAAGGGCTAGCAATATGCAACACGGTCGAGACACGGGGCCGACCCCCGAGGCATTTCCAGCTAAGACTAAGACAGCAGGATCCAAGATACTGGGTGAACATGGTACACAGTGGCTGGGGCACAAGAGCAGCAAGGTTCTGCATGACCGTGGACCACAAAGGTACTCGGAAGAATCAACCGACGCAAATTTGGATGAAAGAGATGACCGAGGGGTAATGTTGCAGGGAAGATTCTCTCGAGGGGACGATGCGGCCGCTTGGCAGGGACAGAGCTCGAGTTCGCCAAGCGCAAGCCATGTCAACACACCGCGAGCGACTACTTCAGGCCGTCAGGATGAGGAGCTTGAATTTGATGGAAGCAACGATGTTAGCGCACAATCAACGAGCATGGATACCTCGCAGACGAAGAACGATGAGAATGAGACATGGGGCAATAATAAGTTGGCACCAAAAAAAAGAGGGGAACGGCAACATTCTGAATCGAATTGGGAACGGCAAAAGCAGGAGATCGAACACCTCTTTGTAACTCAAGGCAGAAACCTCCGTGAAGTCATGCAGTCCATGAGGGAACGTTTTAATTTTCAGGCTAGGTAAACAGCCCGATTAAGAGTTTTTCTGTGTCTGCCAATGAGGAGATAAGTTAACCATCTCGATAGCAAAGCGCAATATGAACGTCAGTTCAAAAAATGGGGCTTTAGAAAGAACACGAAGCGTTCTGAATGGAAGTACATTGGGCACAGGATCAATGAACGCAAACAGGAGGGCAAAAAGAGTGCGGTCTACATCCACGGCATATCTATCCCAGAGAAGAAGGTCAGAAGGGAGATATCACGTTGTTATACTTCATTGGAGGATAGGTACGCACCATGTAAGCTAACGACAGCCGCAGCGCATTCCTCAATTACTAAGTTTTCTTTAGACACCAGTCCGCAAACTCCGGAAGGATTGGCTGTGATCACCCCACCAACATCTCCCTACCGTACTCCGTCAGCTATTTCCTGCAGAACACCGTCATTGGTTGAAACTTATTCCATAGAGACTCACAATCTTCCTTGGTTCAGATATCAAGAAATTATCGATTCCAGAGGTATTTATGCCTTTACATACTGGCAGCTATATCGGACCTTCTAACTTGGTGATAGGAATCACCCGTGGTAGCTTAATAGCTGAAAAGCCAACCACTGGAGTTCTTCCGGCTACAGATGCTTCGGGAATTGGTACCTCACTAGACACGACTGACCTTGCCGGCGCCAACGTGTTATCGGAAGCGCAGGCGCTCCTGTTGCGCTTGGGGTCTGACAAAAGCCCTGAAGACGATTCTGAAAGAAATCAAGTGATCCATTCGTATCTTCAAGCAGTGATGGTTGAAAGATATCCTGAGGAGCATTTGGTAATCATCCAGAAGATTTTCGGATCCGCCAACGACGATGGAGTATTCTGGTTTCTTTGCTTGATCGCCTATCTCTCGTCAAACAAGCTCATATCAAACCAACAGACATATCAAGTTGTGAGATGGGCTACTGTCAATAATCTTCATCATCTCCTTGTAGATGTGTTGTCTATCAGGACTCCAACAGTCGAAGCATTTGCTGAGAATATCTTTCGTTATTCCTTAGACGCAGAGGATCCACAGAGCGTCCGACTTGGTCTACTCGGAGGTGTCGATCCAGACTCACCGCTGCCCTCATCGCGACTGCGACCACTTCAGCTCATGGCAACGAAGGGTAACTTTGAGCTGGTCCGGATTTTGCTGGATGCCGGGGCAGACCCGAACGCTTTTACACCTATTAGTGAAAGCAAGAACACGACAGAAGCCCCTCCGAGGAAGAATCAGGGAACGGGAGCACTTGTGAAGATGGAAGAGGCTGTCGCAGTCCACCCTGTAAAAGACTGCGAAAAACCCCCGCTCCAGACAGCAGTAGAGACTGGAAATTTCGAACTTGTCCAGCTGCTTTTAAGGGCTGGAGCAGATGTCAACCGCCCTCCAGCATATAATTCAGGCAATACGGCACTTCAAGCAGCGTCAGAGAGTGGGGATCTCGAACTCGTCCAGCTGCTTTTAAGGGCTGGAGCAAATGTCAACCACCCTCCAGCATATAACTCAGGCAATACAGCACTTCAAGCAGCGTCAAAGAGTGGGAACCTCGAACTTGTTCGGCTACTGTTAAGTGCTGGAGCAGATGTTAACCACCCTCCAGCACGTAATTTAGGCAGGACGGCCCTTCAAGCAGCTCTAGAATGTGGGAATCTCGAAATTGTTCGGCTGCTATTAGATGCTGGAGCAGATGTCAACCACCCTCCAGCACACGATTCAGGCAGGACAGCACTTCAAGTAGCTGTAGAATGTGGGAATCTCGAAATTGTTCGGCTTTTTCTAGAGGCCGCAGCAGACACGAATGGCGCCCTAATCCACGAAGCAGGAGGAGCTGCGCTCCAAGCGGCTGCATCTCGAGGTCAAATGGGAATTGCTCTTGAAATACTCAGATTCGATGCAGCCCTCAGGACCGGAATCGCTACTGCTTGTTGGAAGACTTCCCTCGTAGGAGCAGCAGAAAATGGCCGCATCGACATGGTGCAATTGCTCTGCAACGTGGGGGCAGCGGTTAGTGGTAACACGGATATACCACTCTCAGAAGCAGTACACTCAGCGGAGAGAAATGGCCATGACACTGTGGTTAAACTAGTCAAGCATTACCAACATCGATGATGAATCTATCTCTCGAAACCATTCTTCACTATGGAAACAGGTTCCTGCTGGTTTATCCAAGCAGCTATTTATGCTGGTCTGTAACCCGATTTGGAGCTCCGAACGAAGGGGGGAACAAGAGGCAATTACAATCTACGGATTCATACGAAGTAATCATGTGAGTTCGATTACAATTCCAGAGTTTTAAGGTCCTGAATAGACCATTCAAAATCCCCGATTGGTTTGAAGCATGAGAGTAGTTTCAAGGATCAGCTTCGATAAGGTCTAACCCATTTACTGATCCAAGCTTTGACATCAGATCCCAAGCAGATCGCATTCACACAATCTACGCAAGATGACCAGCCTCAATCCACTGCCATCGCGTCCAATCTGTGGAATGGACGACGATGGTACTGGGGCTGGAACCCCAAGTCGCCGTGCTTCCTCCAGAGATGCTCCTTCAGTTTGTCAAATCTCCGGGTTCGCGCATCGCAACCAGATACGATGCAAGCATAGATCACAGGATCATTATGAGAGGTGGCTATGTGTCTCAGTAAATCCGAACGACGATTAAAGGCGGGTATTTGACCACTTCTGTTGAGACATCCGATCTCCGAACAGTGGAACTTCTTGCGCTGAATTGGAGCATCGCTTAAGACACGCTTTTAGCGATGGTCGCCTTGATGTAACAATTTATAACTAACAAGTGACTTACTATCGCTGAGCTGCCTTGATGTTCATGTTCTGCGAAGGCGAAGGGGAGAATCTATTCAGAACATGACCAGTAGTCGTGTCCTGTACAGATTCTGTCATGGGGCCATCAAGCTGACACACGTGTCCAGTCAATTTGAAAACTCCAAATACAGCAACAGCGCGCGAAGTCGCAAATTGGCATGGAAGCCGATAAGTAAACGATACTGACTTGCTCATGTTCTGTGACAAAACACCGTCGTAAGTTTTGGTTGTTGACTTCGATTTCAATCGACAGACAATTCCCTGGTACCCAAAGCGTTCTTTCGACTGAATCTTGAGAATCATCAACAACTTTGGCTGAGGGGCAATCCACATCCCAAGTCTGTAGTAGAAAACTAAGATTTGCATCTAGGGGTATTCTTGGGCCAGCGACCTCTGGTTGTACATCTTTATGAAGGCTCGTCGAGCAAGGCAGAATGCTCCAGTGAGAAAATGGGTCATCGGTCAGCCGAGCTTTGCCTGGGAGATTCGCGACAGGAGGCGTAAACATTCTTATAAAGATCCTGGGGGCGGTTTTGGACAAGAGGGTTTTGGCTGGGAGGGTTTTGGCCGAGAGGGGTTTGGACGAGAGGGTTTTGTACGAGCGGATTTTGGCACCAGAGAGGGCGCATCGCGCACGCTATCTCGGAAATAGCTTAGCGTAGGGCGAGAAGTTAGCCAAGGGCGTTATACGCACATCTGCCACTTAACGAGGCAGGGATGGGCTGATCTTCTATCCCAAGTTGCAGCTGCGAGCCGGTTTTGATCGGATAGGCAACGTATTTGGCAGAGTTATGCACGGGCCGGAGCAATGCACGAAGCAGTACTATATAACTTACCCAGATTCCGGCAGCAATCCGCTCTCCCACAACTTAGTGGAGGAAGACCCGGATGGTGCATTATCCCCTACCGTGCATTACTCTATGGCGCACGTTAACACTCTCATTCTAGGTGCTAAACTACGTACGCCTTCAGCACAGCGACACGGTATTCGCACCGAACGGCTTGATGAGCAAGAAGCTTCTCTGTAGCGCGTTCGACATTGACGGACTTATTAACCAATTGACGAGGCTGCGCTTGTGAGTAGTATTACTTGCCTTGTAAAGGAAAATAAACCCTCCGCCGTCCACCTTATTTTGAACCCGCATTGAGGCTAACCACCCTCACTTTCGTAATCTGTGAAGGTTACCCAGTTTCAAGGACTTAGAGGCACGACGGCCTTCGGCTGTTTGAGGGCTTCCCTCGAAATGAAAGTGCCACGCTGAGGACCAACTACATATCGTATCCGCAGCTCACCAGACTCCCAGCTGCTATTTATCCGATGCATTTATTTTATTTAATGCATCTCTAGCAAGCTACAAGACCGAATGGAACGCTAAATACCCTCTAATATACATCTATAACAAGCGGAGCATTCGAGGATATACAGGGTCAAAACAAACATGTGCTGGTCGGGCGCCAACCGCTGCAGCAGGAATCTGAGCCAAGGGAGTGTCCCACCGACCCTCCCGAGCACAGTTCACATAGTACCTATTTGCTGCGCTGGTATATTTTCCTCAAAAACTCCTCAAACACCTCTTTCTTCAAGCCCTCTGTCTCGTCGACCTGTGAGATCATTTTCCGGATCTCGCCTACGCGCTCCTCCTCGTACTCTCGGTACACCTGATCTAGCTTCAAGTCACTGAAAACAACCTTGACCCTCGCTTCGCACTCCTTATCCTTCCGCCCATAGTTCTCGTCCAGCACCTTCCTCTGCTCCGCCGATGCACGCTTCAGCGCCTGGTTCACCAGCCACGAGCACTTGTTGTCCTGAATATCCGTGCCGATCTTTCCGAGCGTCTCCGGATCCGCAAAGTTGTCTAGGTAGTCGTCTTGCACCTGGAAGTACTCGCCCATGGGTATCAAGATGTCCTTCGCCTGCTGCAAATTCTTTTCAGTGGCCATACCGCAGAAGTGTAAGGCCAGCGCTACCGGCAGATAGAAGCTATAGTACGCAGTCTTGAAGATGACGATGAATGTGTATTTCTCCAGACTGAAGTTGTCGAGGTCCACCTTGTCCTCCGGCGCGGTCAGCAGATCGCAGGCCTGTCCGAGCTCAGTCTGGAAGGTGACTTCGTGGAAGAGCTCCATGAGGTCGACGTAGCTCTTCTCTTGCCGAAAGTACTTCTTCAGCAGCAGGAATATGGAGGACTCGAGCATGAAGGCGTCGTTGATGGCGATCATGCCTACCTCGGGCATGCGATACCAGCAGGGACTGCCACGGCGCGTTTTGGACGAGTCCATTATGTCGTCTGAGACGAGGAAGAAGGCTTGTAGCAGCTCGATCATCCAGCCTAGGGTTGCGGACCGGAAATACTCGTCCTTGGAGAGGGAGCGGCCGAGGAGGAGGGAGGACGTGTCGACGACGGACATGCCGCGGTTGCATTTTCCGCCTACGGTGTTGTGAAACAGTGACTGCATATGGTCAGCTGTAATTCGCGACCTGTAGCCCTCGTGAGCTCTTATGCAGAGCAATTACTTGCCTTTCGATACCAGTCAAGCGCATTCTTAGGGAGGTTGTAGTGTCGGCAGTGCTCGGTCAGATACTCGACCAATTGCGGGAAGACGCTCTCGAACTCTTTCAGGGTGGTCGGCATCTTGCCGAAGTACAACGGAAAGTTACAGTGTCTCTACAATTGCACGTTGTCGCAATTTGGCTGGGTTGTTGAATTGTTGTTTTGGCGGGCAGAAGTTTGCGGGAGAGCCTCATGCAGGGACCCGGCGGGACGTTCTGCCCTTGCGCGATCAGACGCGGCACTCATGTTGACGCGCCGCACCACCACCACCACCATTACCATCACCATCGTGACCTCCATCCTCTTGCTACACCCACAAGACCACAGTCTACACTTCCAAGAGTGCTATTGGCAACGGTGTGCTGAGAGCCAGCTAACGGCTCAAATCAACCAAAAGTCGGCATAACGCAAACTCGGATCCACACATGCGGACCATCTGATTGACCTGGGAGCGTTCGCCAGGACCGCCGGAGCTATGGCTGCCCTCTCGGATGATCAATTGCTAGAATTGCAGGGCCACTTGCAGCATGCTGTAACTTCCTGTACCGAGCGTTGCCTGTATCAATCGGCCAAGTGGTGAGCACGTTTTCTTCGCCTCAAGCGGACTGTGCCTGACGCGCTATGCTTCAGGGCCGCTGAGCTCCTCAATGCCTTGCCAACATCCGACCTAACACATGGCTCAGACACCGATGTCGACTCACCTATGTCCGATACCCCTCCCAAAGCTGCGCCCAGGAAGCCTCCTACTCAGGACGCAGCCGAAGCTGCTTTAGAAGCACGGGAATTGCACAAATACCTGCTCGCCAAGACCTACTTCGATTGCAGAGAGTTTGACCGTTGCGCAACTGTGTTCCTGCCTCAGTTGCTTCCCAAAGGACCTCTCGATCCCGCCTCACCGGAGTCGGCCAGGGGAGCAACAGCCGCGAAGGGCAAGGCAAGGTTGTCGACCCCTACGACTCCTGCTGTGGCCAGTCAGTCGGTATCACATCTCAGCCAGAAAGCACTGTTTCTAAGCCTGTATGCCAAGTATATGGCGGGTGAGAAGCGGAGAGATGAAGATAGCGAGATGATCCTGGGTCCGCAAGATGGAGGCATGACGGTCAATAAAGAACTCAGCGGTATCTCAAGAATGCTCGAAGAGTATCTCGCCGAGCGAGATTCGAAAGGTATTCAAGGTCAGGGCTGGCTCGAGTACCTCTACGGCATCGTTCTCGCCAAAGGGAAGAATGAGACGTTAGCCAAAGAGTGGCTGATCAAAAGCGTGAATCTCTACCCGTACAACTGGGGCGCATGGCAAGAGCTATCCATGCTTCTCGGAACCTATGATGAGGTACCTCTTCTTAAGAGAGGACAATACAACCAGCTTGCTGATTGCGTGAGCAGGTAGAAATGCTCGCCGAACAGCAACGCCTCCCACAGAACATCATGTCCCTAATCTTCTACATTTACACATCTCAAGAGCTCTATCAGTCCACCGAGAAGGTCCACAACACTCTCACTCAGGTCCAGTCTCTCTTTCCTACCAGCTCCTTTCTCAAAACTCAACGTGCTCTCCTCTTCTACCACACGAAAGATTTCGAAGAAGCCGAGCGCATCTTTTCCGACCTTCTAGTCTCCGACCCTCATCGCATTGACAGTCTTGACCATTACAGCAACATTCTGTACGTTATGTCCGCGCGGCCGAAACTCGCGTTCCTAGCACAAGTGGCCACACAGACGGACAAGTTCCGTCCTGAGACGTGCTGCGTTGTCGGGAATTACTATTCACTAAAGTCGGAACACGAGAAAGCGGTCATCTACTTCCGTCGCGCATTGACTCTGGATCGCAATTCCCTGTCAGCCTGGACATTGATGGGCCACGAGTATGTGGAGATGAAGAACACCCACGCTGCCATCGAGTCATATCGACGGGCAGTCGATGTCAACAGGAAAGACTACCGCGCTTGGTACGGTCTCGGACAAACGTACGAGGTGCTGGAGATGCACTCATATGCCCTGTTCTACTTTCAGCGAGCCGCGATGCTCAGGCCGTTCGACCCGAAGATGTGGCAGGCGGTCGCTAGCTGCTTCGGCAAGATCGGCAAGCTCGAGAACGGCATCAGAGCGTACAAACGTGCCCTCGTGGCTGGCGCGTACTACGATGCTGGCGGCGGAAGCAGCTTTGGCGGAGAAGGCCAGCTGGGCGGTGGAGTGCTGGATCCGGAGGTGCTGTATCAGATCGCGTTGCTCTATGAGCGGCTCAACGACAGGGAAGAGTGCGCCGCATACATGGAGTTGACGATTGCACAAGAAGAGGGTCCAGACCCGGACGAATATGATGGGAGCCAGGGAGAGCAGATGGGCGTTGGTGTCACCCCAACGACGAGTAAGGCACGCATGTGGCTTGCCAGGTGGGAGTTCATGCGCGGTGGCTATCAGAGGAGTATGGAGCTTGCGAATGAGCTCTGTCAGGACGGTGTCGAGGTCGAGGACGCGAAGGCTTTAGTGAGGGATATCAGAGCGAGGATCGAGAGCGAGAAGGACGCGGGTACCAAGGCCCAGGTAGAGGCGGTGGAGAGGCGATTTGGGCGGAAGACTTAGTGAGTGCTTGGTCTGCTATAGTTCTAAACGTTGTGCGCCGCATGGCTTGCTATCGATGCCTCTTTAGCAAATGCTTCACGCTCTAGGCAAGCTGCGGACTAGCTCCGAGTTCTTCACATTTACCCTTCAGTATCTTACGACTTCACCAAGAGCCGCCAACCAACAGCCCCACTTCGGGATCTCTATGCTCCCTTGTTTGTCGTCCTCCTTCACCAAAGAACACGCCCGCCAGAGCAGAATCAGGCCTATTCTCACCTCAAAACTGGCTTCCGGCCTGCCAGCGAGTCCCACGTAGCGCTTCTTGTGACGACCCACCCCGTGAAGTCACTGTCTCCGGCCGGACCACCAGCTTGTGACTGAAACGCAGCTTATCGCCGAAGCGGATTCACGGCGTTGAGGCAATTCCAAACTATGACGCGGTACTCGAGCAATGCTACCTTCCGCCAGCCTATTTATCCTCGCTCTTCTTCCTCTCCACCACGGTGGTCTTTATAACATACCCTCGCCTTGAGCAGTTCTGCCTAATCGTCATCAGTCTCTGGACACTCGCGCTGTTCTTGAGCTACCTCCTGTTCCTCGCCGCTGACTGGGCACTGTGTACATCCGCTGCCGACCCGAACTGCCTCACCGACGTCTCGTCATCTCTGTTCTTCATCCTCTTGGTGGTTGCTCCGGCTATCCTGATCTTTGTCAGCTTGAAGTTCCTGGAAGAGTGACATCCTCGGATAGTGAGCCTCACACGGTCTAGCAGACTACCAGACTTTTAAGAGAATTCTATCAGTAAGCAACAGCGGGACTGTCCTCCTGGAATACACTAACTGCTCTGCTGCAGAAGGACCACGATGGATCACACTCTAGTTCTACAACCGGAGCGTCCCCTGCTCGCCCTGCTCGCTCTCAACATCGTCCTCTATCTGTGGTACATCAACCGTTACCACCTCGTCAATGAGCCCTTCATCCTCCACTTCATCGACTTCGTTCAGGCCGGTGTACCGGGTTTCTTCTTGTACGGCCTCTATGGCGCCTTCGCTCCTGTCCTCCGTCGTCTTCTGGCCGCACGCATGGGCCACGACAACCAAGACACCGACCAGAAGCAAATGAAGCCACTTTACCCGTTCTGGAAACCCACTATTCCATCCGGTCGCTGGCGAACACTCCGTCAAAGGCCCGACCGACGTCTTCATAACGAGGCCACGCAGTTCCCCGAAGATGCAGCGGAAGCCAACACCATCTGGATCTTGGGCTCCGGCAAGATCATTGTCACCTTCCACCGGCCGCTGGGCAACTGGGCACATACAAGCCCATATGACCGCCTACAGATATGCCACCCACTACAGGATTCGGATATGGATTGCAAACAGTGGAGCAAGGACGAGCTGTTCCGACTCCAGGAGGAGATCCGCAGGTACAGCATGCGTCAGCTGAACAGCAGGGAAACCGCTTGGATAGATCCGCCCTTGAGCGAGGAAGCTGTGTTGTTGAGTCTTCGCGTCGTGCGGACAGCGTGCTTACAGGCGGCCAGAACTCTACGCAACACGGGCGTCTCAAGCCAGATCCAAGAAGGCAAGGGGGTGGCCACGTGGTCCCGCCTGCCACTGGAGACTTCTGCCCCAGGGTTGTATTCCGACACCTCAAACCTGGGCTCGGCACACGCCTTTCAAACAACCGATGAGCAAATCGAATATATGCGGGCCGAAGGCGCACGCTTCTACGACGACACGATCCGGGACTACTGGCGTTTGCTGAAGAGACTCGATGGGGCCATAGAATGCCACGGCCACGACAACGATCCATCTGCAGTGCGATTTCGAGCTCAGCTCCAGGCTTTCGCAGAAGAAATGTCTGCACGAGAGAAAGCCGCGTCAGCTCAGTGCAACATGTCGGTTCCGGCAGAATCGTCGGGTAAACTCTTTAGCTGTGTTTCCTGGAAGACGGTTGATGGACGAGAAGGCTCTGTTAGGATGCCGATTGAGGAACTGGACATCGACTACACGTCATTCAAGGGATTCAACGAAGATCTCTTTGCAAAACGACCTCTCGGGTCGTTCTCGATTGCTCGGCTCGGAAAACCCAGCATGGCAGATGCGCCTGAGGCGGACGCGTCCGGAGACAAAACACCTCACTCTGGTGGGGCAGATGAAGCGCTCCTGGGCGGCAAGTACCACATGGTCTCTGCTGGTCCTGAGAAGGACGAAGTAGGCGAGGGTGAGCGTATCGTCTACTAAGAAAGCTGGTCCGATTGAAGATCATAGCTGCTACGAACATCTCCAACTTGGAAGGCGACTTGATGGGTTACCAGACTGTTGACCATATGCTGCCATCCTTGGTCCTTTCCTTTAGGACTTTAATGCAAGGACGGCCTGGTGTACTTCGACTACAAGTATGAGATCTCGGGCGTTTAGGGATTGCCTTAATGTTACCCGAATTGGCGGCTTGGGGCTCATTGCGGCCTGGCTACGAGTACATACTTAACGACATGATGATTATGAGAATGATACCTACAACCTCTGCAGTGCGGTCTGCTAAGCATCCCTTTGTGGTACCAAAATCCGTAACTTTGAACATCTCAGTCAGTAAACATGAGGATGTTCGGGCCGTCCCGCCGGGGAAGCGGGTTGGGCCTGAAACACTCTGTTGCGAGCAAGCAACCTTCATGCACCTCGAGACTGCACGCCAGCACGCCAGCACACCACCACACTCACATCTCTGCAGTAGTACCGTAGCCCTGCAAGTGGCTGGACTATGACAGCGACTACATAAGGCGGCGACATGGCTGCATCTGCCCATGCGACTCTGACGGCCGCGAAGAGCGAGGTGCAAGTACCCGCAGAGCATGGTGGCTCCGCATCGCATACAGCGCTCCCAACACCGGCCACGCGCAGTAACGGTCGTGCGCCTTCCCCGACCTTGCTGTCGAGTCCACGGGGCAGCGAAGATACAGCACCGGTACCAGACGGGGCTGTCGTGAGGGACGATAGCGGCGCAACACAGAACCCACAAGCGCTCCAAGTACCGAACGGCGCCGGCGCATTCAGGTCACGCCTGAGACATCGATCCGCTAAATCGACCGGTACTCGCACGTCGCTGTCCTCAATGCCCGTGATCGTTCGCACTTACTCTGGCAGCCGGTCCCGTCAGTCCTCAGAAGTCCGCTCACAGCCCGCCATGGCCGCAGATCGCAGGACTGCGAACCCTTCTTTACCGAAGGTCGAAGACTTTGCGTTTCAGAATATTCTCCGAGCCGTCGACGCAGATGTACGGACTGCTATCGATGCTATCGCTGAGATATGCGCCAAGAGCAGGATGAGTTTGGCGGACGAATACGGAGCCCATCTTCCTCCGCAGGGCGAAATCACGGATGGACGAGCAAACCACACCGCAAGAGGCCACAGAGCTGCAACAGCTGATCATTCACTTCCTGCGCTTCCCGAGGCATCGTCGAGCAGCGAGCGCTTGGCTGGTAGTTCCAAAGCATCGACCGTGTCTGGGAAGGGCAAGGGAACCGCATACGGCTCGCTAAAGAACATCATAGCTGGGCCAGCCAAAGACGAACTTGCGGAGGGATCCAACATGGCCAAAGACCTGAGGTTCAAGAGCCTGCCACTGCTCGGTCTCGTCGGCGGCGAGGGGATGAGCGCTCCAGCAGCAGAGCCAAGGGCTCACTCGCATGCCCATCAGCGTGCTGCCAGTTGGGCCTTCCTGAGTGCGCAGCATCCTGCCATTGCGCTGGCACCTGGTGGAGCAGCCTCTCCCTTGGTTTCGATGGACAGTACCGCCAATATCCGTGGGCCACCCACCAACGATGCTGCTGCGTCGACTACCAACCGTAAAGACAATGGTCTTATCGTGCAACGTTCACGGTCTAGCCCAATCGTCTCTTGGTTGCCATGGGGAAAGCGCCAGTCTAGCCCACAGATTTCTGCACTGGGAGACTCGCATGCCGCAATGAAGCTGAAGGGCCTGCTACAACCAACTTCACTTGCGAGAAACAAAGCTGTCACTGGCACCGGCTGAAAGCTTCTTGCTTCTTTTGTTCCAACTTCCTACCTCAACGATCTGCTGGAAGACCTAATCCGTCAGCCTGTCGGCAGCAACGCGATCTGGATAACCCTGCACCTCACGCGAGAGCAAACGTCATTGGCATTGCTCAGAGTTTCATATCACACTTTTGCACTCCTGCCAACAAACCGCCAATGAGAAGCCAGGGCGCCAGGATCAAAGACATAAAGCTCCACGAAACAGCACCCTGGCCGACACTGCACTGAGGTGGCCTTCGTTGTGCCATTGGGATCAAGTCAAGTCGTCATGTGTCCTTCTCCCGAGTATCTGCGGACCGTGTGCCTGGAGCTACAACCGGAACTACCAAGGCTCCGATCACTTTCCACCGGATTATCTCGTTGATCCATCTGGAAAATTCATGCAGCTTCGTAGAACGTCGTCCGGAACGGAGCTCTACGTTTCCGTGCCACGGGCCGTATAACTCCGGTACACGCCACCAACGTGCGGAGTGGGCAAGCCTTTAAAGCTTGCCAGAACATCAGGATGATGTATGCTCAAAGTATATTATGAAAGCTGCCGAGATGAGAGATGTTCTAGCGGATGAGCTCAAATCGGCCTCAGGCTTTGCTCTCTGTAGTACTGCTTTTCAGCGGAGGCTCGCAGGCTTTCACCCGCACTATTTTCCTGTGTGTTGTATGTGTTTCGGATCGATTACGGGCATGAGTTCTATGTCTGTAATTTCTTCAAACACATACTCATTTTCTACTGTAACAGTACTCGGGAGCCGCCAGCCGGTCGACCCGAGACGTACTCGGTCATGGCCTTAAATCTAACCGAGCCTGTGTTTTGAGAGCCGCCTTCGAGCGACATAGCTCAGATATGGAGACATATTAAATCCTTGTAGTACAGCCAGGATACACTGCCCCTGCATTTACTGACTATCAACCCGCAATACGGGCCAAGTGACCTGTCACAACGACAAACCTCGTACGATCGAGCGAATCACAAGTAACAATCCATTTACAATTCTCATCATCTATCTCTTCTTCCTACTCATGATCATCTAACATGTTTATCTATGCAACCAAATTTACCAGCGTAAAACAGAAGACACAATCGCTGAACCATGCGCCGTCCTTTACACCGAAGCACCGCGCGCTATGCTTGAAGCAAAAGCAAAAGCAAACTAGTACGTCCTACTCTAGAAGCACTCGGCCTTCTCCGACACCTCCGCGCACCAGTGCTCCGTGCAAGGCGTATCACAGACCAGTCCCGGCTTTACGAACACCCTCACCTGGCCCGGCCAAGGCATGCGATACTGCTGCTTCATATCAGCGACATCGACGCCATTGGCCCTGTAACCCGCGCGACAGGCGCAATAGTGCTCTCCGTAGCTCCTAGCACCCGGCCAGTCGATAGTCGTGCAGCTGGTAGTAATATCGCACATATTCCTGTCCGGCACGGGCGGCAGCGGATCGCAGAAGTCGAAGCAAGTGCCATTCGTCGGCGGCGGCGTCGTGATCGTCTTGCAAAGAGGCGTGCATGTCGCGCTGCCACTGGGGCCGTCATCACATTCCTCGGAGATCTGGTTCACCTTCCCATCGCCGCAGTACGGATACACAATCTCCTTACATGTGACATCGCATGTCCAGCTGCCCGACGGGCCATGGTCGCACTCCTCGCCGGTGTCGACGACGCCGTTACCGCAGAGTGATCCTGGGCCTTTCTTGCAGTCGCTCGAGCAGCTGTCGCCGTTGAGGTTGTTCCCGTCGTCGCACTCCTCGTACTGCGAGCTCAGGATGCCGTCGCCGCAGACGCTGTGGCAGTCCTCCCAGTAGATCTCACAGACCCTTTGCGCGTCGGTCTTGGTGGGAGACTCTCTGCACCTCGAGCACAGCTCCGTCACGGTCTTGGACTTGAGCACCGGACCGAGTCCGTTCGAGAACGCCCAGGGATCGTAGTGCATGACGCTGTTGACGTCGTACTTGCCCGCCCAGTTGACCCACTCAGGCTGCTCCTTCGAGAACTGCGCCGCCCAGCCGCTCCCGGTCGCACAGTCGGAGGGCTGCCACATGTTCTCGCAGACAACCTCGACATAGTCGTCGCGATCCGGCCGCTTGTGCTCATGGTACAAACCAAGCGTATGCCCGATCTCGTGCGTATAGACGCCGATGCTGTCGGGGCCGTGGTCGCCGAGCCGGATCTCGCCGCCAGCCCCGCCAATGTCAGACCAGGAGACTGTGCCCTCGATCGCGCGGATCGTGCGTGGGCCTGAGGGGGCCCAGGGCACGTCGGCTGGGGGCGAGACTTCGACGAATTGGAGGAAGGGCAGCGTGTCTTCCCAGCGCTTGATCGCGACTTCGAAATTCAGGTGGCGGGACGCGCGCGTGAGTTCGGACTCGTAGCGGTACTCGATCCGGCCGCCGGGCCAGCGGTTGGGTGTACTCTGGGAGAGGGCACGTTTGCTGTGCTTGGTGGAGGCTGACCGCTTGGTCAGTGGATCTACAGCGGCTTGGAGGATCTCCTCCTCGGTGCCGAAACGGACGTCGCCGTCGATGATGGCCTGGCCGTCGTACACGAAGTAGGAGACCCGCCTGGTTGCGGTCTCTTGGGTCGTGTTTGTGTCGTTTTGGATCGTGAAGTAGAGGACTGGGTCGGCTGTCACGGGGATCTCGACTGTGTTGAGGGGGAAGGCGGTTGCAGTAAGGTTTCGGGCTGATGCGAGGAGGGGAAGGAAGGAGGAAAGCACGGGAAGCCAGATCTTGGATACCATGATGGCGGGCTAGGAATGAGTGACTGCTCTTGGCTGTAGCGAGTGCAAAGTGTTCTGATGTTGATGTAGGAGATGACTGAGGCACTTCTTCAACCTTATGTTTTCCTCTGATCGCTCCATCGGATATCTCATACTAGCCTCATGTATTTTCAGTAGCTGAAGTCGGTGCTGCGCCATATTATTGTCTCTACTAAAGCTGAACATACGGGAGTTTCGAGTCGAACTGAACGCTGCGGAGGCGCGGATCTCGTGTGGCTTGGATCAAGGCAGGAAACTGCGGCCTTGGGTACCTCGCAGCCTCAGCCCTACCCAGATGGTGGTGGCTCATGCCTATACAATCTAAACTTAGGAAGTCACATCGCTTTAGTACCTGCAGCTGAAGTCGTAAATTATCGAGAGCGCTGCATGAGTCGTGAGCATGGTCTTGTGATCCATTCAATGTCTAGAGTGCACCGGTAGATTGAGAACTGAGAGTTTAAGTATGGAAGCGATGAGCATGTACTGGTATGGGACTCTTAAGTCTGCTAGCGAAGCGAATACGTAGCACCCGATCCTAATTCAGTCTTTTCTCCACACTAGCGAGCCAGCTGAACAATCACACGACGCCTAGCGTCGATTGACATCCATCTACAGGCCTTTCAGTTCTGCCTGCAACCATCCTGCCAGCCCGCCCATCTGAGCTTCCATGATCTGGATCTCCGCCTTGACATTTAGCATCAACATGACCTGGACTTCCCTTCTCCATTGAGGCTCTGATCCGTTCTCATCAAAGACATCCCAATCGAGCATCTTGAGTGCTTTCCGCCGGTCGCGCGTTGTCAGCCGCAGAAGACCCTGCACCTGATGCACGTTACTTTCGCCATTTGCATCTTCGTTGCCATGGTCGCTGCTTTCGGTAAGGCCTGCGGCGGAGGTAGCAAGAGCAGAGCTTTGTATGCCCAGCCATCGTATCTGCGGCACAACGAGCTTGGCATTGTCGTGCGCAAGGGCGACGGAACCATGCTTATATGTAGACATGATGGCAATGCCGTCTGGATCGTAGTCCATCAGCGCATACACCGGAGGGCAACGAAACCCATTCTGAGGCAAAGACGTGCTGATGGCGCGAAGGAAAGCCCGCGTTGCGATGTCCGGATAGCCCTTGGCAGTAATCATGATGCCAGAGGAGCATAGTGTCTTCCGGAAGTTGGACGAAGTGAGTGATCGGAAAGTTGCTTCTTTCTCAACCACAAGGATCCACGAGACATGGCTCAGCCGGAACTTGTCAGTTGAGTTGATGCTGGGAATGAGGAGACCCTGAGAAACTCAGTCTCTGCTTGAGCTTTCCGGCACTGCAGAACGAACCTCTCGATCAGATAGCCCCTCTAGAACGGTCCCATCCCCGCGACGGCAGATGAAACATCCGACAACGAGCCCCTTCGCTGCAGCAGCCTTGTGGGTCGACTGTCAATAGGCGCGATGTATTTTGCTTTGACTTTCGAGACTCACTACATTAAGAGCTAGCCTCGACACGCCGAAAGTGCAAGCGATGTCATCGACATACCGGTCGACGACTGCTTGCTTGGCGAATAAGGCCGGGTGTCTGTAGTAGATATCTCTGCAGAGAAGAATAAGAAAGGATAAGAAATGGCTCAGGAAAAGAGAAGAATGTGATGAAAGACGGTGATTTGCCAATGCCATATATGTACCTCTTAGTGATAACGACATCCGCCGACAGTGCTTCGTGCACAAGTTCCAGGATGCGCACAAGCACAGCTGCCGGATATGTTAGCAGCGCTGCGGCAAACATGCCGGTAAGGACTTCGAGTCTGACTGAATCTCCAAGCCTCCTGTGGCGTGCTCCCCGGAAAACAGATCTCACGAGCTCGATCCTTGGAATCATTCGTCGTGAAAGCATGCCCGTGGTCAGAGCCTGATCCTGGCGGCACTGCTCGCGACCTCAACGCGATCGTGACCTTACCCTTGTCAGAGAGCAAGGTGTCAGTGATGTTTTCGAACATGAGCTCTATTTTTCTAATGGCCTCTGCTTTGTCCGGCGAGGTTCGCATTGTGCTTAATGGAACGTCATGAACATTCCGCACAACCGATACAGCACATACGACTGGGGTGAATGCAGCGGTCTGTTTGACAGCTCCAGATAGGATGAGAGAACTGCGCTTTTCGATAACTCCATGGGAAGCTTTAGCACCACTTTGAGGTTCTGAAATAGCAACGTGACAACCCTCGTTAGCGCTCAAACCGTCTTCTGTGGAAGCTTTATTCATATTCAGTGGGCTTGGTGGATAGGTCGGCGATGTAAGGGCCGTGCTCCAGCCAGAACCTTCGGATGCGATCCAGAGATTCTGCTTCGACTCCGCCAGTGAGTGCTGTGACGAGCACGTTGTTGACGGTGCTTCGAGAAGCATATCATCAGGTCCATCACTGTCCATTCTCGAAGTCTAGAAAGTGATGGTGAAGAACAGAACAGATGTTGCGGGTGAGGTGAGGTCTTCCACTTTGACAAGCAGTCGCGCTAGACTCGATCCGCTTAGCGGGAAAACGCGTCACTTGTCAGCTCACGCGTTTTGGGACCACTTTCAGCCATCCGCGACGTTACGAACAACTCGACTCTATGTACAGTGCTTTTGTGGTTCCTACCTGGGTATTTCAGTTGTTGTCCCATTCTTGACCAGCTTCGCACGCAATGTCAGAACCACAAACAGGCAATGCCTCGCCAAACTCAAGAAAACGGTCCTTGCCAGAAGAGGACCAGCTTATCCCGTCGACGCCCATAAGAAGCTCACAGACTTCACCCTCCTCAACATGTACATTGTCAACTCCGCAGAGTGTACTGTCTCTTGATCAAAGTCCATCGGTACCTCGCAATCCTACTTCGCAGCAAAGTTCTCACGACCTCAGCAGCGGAGAGCGTCACGATAGTGCTGGAGCAACGAATGCAGACGCAGTGCCCACCAAGAGACGTAAGCTAACCGTCCAAGAGAAGGAGGAAAAGAAGAAGGAAAAAGAAGAGAAGGAGAGACAACGGGCGGAACAGAGAGCGAAGCGCGACGAAGAAAAGCAGCTGAAGAATGAAGAGCGACGGAAGAAGAACGAGGAGAAAGAGGAGAAGCAGCGACAGAAAGATCTTGAGAAGCAGCAGAAAGAGGAGGCGCTAAGGAAGAAAGAGAGGGTAAGTCTTGGTTCCGTCTGCAAACGCTTCCCTTTGCTCACAGACAGTAGTCCCAGATGAAGCTAGGGTCTTTCTTCATGAGACCAGCCGTGCCGCAGTCGTCTCGAACTACCCCTTCAAAGCCGGAGCAAAGTGCGTTGGAAACTAAACCGAAGCCTGTCTCGTTCGTCGCGATCGACAGCATACAAGGGTCTCCGCCTCGTATTGTGTCCCCGCGGAAGAAGGTCTCGTCTGCGTATGAACAATTCTTCTTACCTTTCGAACTCCCGTCAAACGCAACCTGCGCCCCTGTCAACGCTTTTGTTCAAGACGACGAGGAGATCCAAACGAAACGGAGGAAACTAGATCATCATGTGGAGGAGCCGCTGGAGGAATGTAGCCTCTCAATAAGACTCCGCGTACCTCAAGAGCAGCGACAATTGCGGGGTGAGGGGACGCGTCCTGTTCGGCAAATTATGGAGTGCCTTCACGGTACGTCTGCCAACCCAATCGATCTTACTGAGGACGCCTCCGCGAACCGAACCCGAACTCCTATGGATGAGCTCCTTTGCATTCCGATGAAATACCTCCACTTTGGCGAAGACGTTCGACCGCCGTATTATGGCACCTACACCAAGATCCAATCACGACATGAAGCTCGAAGGTTAGCCCGGAATCCGTTCAGTCGCACACTTCCAGAGGCGGACTACAGCTATGACTCTGAGGCTGAATGGGAAGAGCCCGAGGAGGGGGAAGACCTCGACTCCGAAGACGACGAGGACATCGAGAGCGTTGGTAGCGCGGAGGACATGCAAGGCTTCCTCGATGATGAGGATGCAGCGGAAGTGGCGAGAAGTCGACGAGGTCACATAGCTGGCAGCTTGGAGCCAATCTGCAGCGGCTTGCAATGGGAGGATGCAGAAGGTGTTCTGAAACCGGCAGATCCATCCGCAGCCTCTGTCAATTTCGCGGAATTTAGGATGGAAGCCTTACTTGGTAAGAACATGGCCGTTCTTGGTGAGCAGTGAGCACTGCAAGTTTCGATATGCTAATGTTACATAGAACCTTCACCTAGGATGATCGATCCCTTCTCAACAGTGTACTGGGTGCCTGAGCCTGTGGCTCCCTCTTCCGCTCTCAATCTAGTCCTGAGTGGTCGGAGCGATGTTTCGGTCAACGGACATACAAATTCACTCCGCCAACCTTTGCTTGAACGTCCTGACGGAATTCTCAATGGAGCTAATGCTCGCCCACGAGGCAGACCGCTAAAAGATTCACCAAATGGTGCTCCTGCTGTACCGAAACCGCCGAAACGTTCCGTGCCACCAGAGGATATGGAAGAGTTCAAGCTGGCGGTGCAAGGCAGTGACCTCACCAAGATCGCCCTAGTAGAGATGCTCAAAAAGAGGTATTGCTGCAGGAACACGTCAAGTTCGTGAAATAGAAATTTTGCTGACGCCCAAATCAGGTTTCCGAAGATACCGAAAGATGCTATAAACTACACGCTAAGCACAGTGGCTGCACGCATCGGAGCGAAAGAGGCAGAGAAACGATGGGTCATCGTCCCCGGAAAATGAGTGGCCACCTTCCACTCGACGCTTGCCTTCTACAGGGCCTGTCTGGGTGTACGGCTTGTTTACTGTCCCTGTCAGCGCCTCAAAAGTAAGTTTGCTGTGCGCACGCAGCTTGGCTACTTACTCTAGCCAAGGCCCTCTTGCCAAGAGTTTGCTGATATACTCGGCCTGTTGGAGGCACTCTTGCTATGTGCTTGAAGATGTAGTAACATGGTTAGGCCGATGAAGCATGGGATTTTGATCGCTTGATGTATATACTAGCTTTCTGGCTCTCGCCTGTCCATGGATTATTCTTGGCTGCCAATCGCTCGCGCTCCGAAGCTGCTGGCAATGCCAAATATACTGCTATCTACATCGCGTGATTCTTTCAGCATTTCACCGCATTCTTACGTGAAGGTGTGCTCTAGGATTACTTGCATGTCTACCTAGACGTGTCGATTCCTTACGGCCTGAATGCACTTAGCCGCCAGCCTATTTTTATCCATGCAGAGCTTGGGCCTCATCTTTTGCACCACCATTCCACCGGCCATCGTCAACCTATCAAACCATCGCAGAAGACGCCCGCCGCTGGAAAAACCTGGGAATCTGCGGATCAGGATTCTTCATCTGTGCCCGTTGGCCAAACAGATGACCCGTTGGGTGCCACCATCTTCGGGTCTTGCTCAAGCTCCCGTCAGCAGCCGCCCGGCCACCGGTTTCAGCAAGCTCCACCCCAGCCGAGTCGAGTGCTCTCTATCCGTGCATGGCAGAGATGCAGGTAAGAACTAATCAGAGACGAAGCTGCCTCCCTCAGGCTTCTGGAGACGACCGGATGTAGCATGGCGGCCGCTCGGAGGCCTGTAATTGCACACATGGTGGATGGTAGCTCTAGGAAATGGGTCAGACTTATATCGAGGCAGGTCTTCCAGAACTGGCCTCCAGAATACGTTTCGGCCTTCGCGGTCTGCATGCTACACCCAAGACTTGAACTTTTCTCCGCCTTTGGCACTCATATTTTCTCCTTCGCTTCCTATACACAACCATGGCCGGTACCATGTTATCCACTGTCGCCTTGATCCTTTTTGCCGAGCTATCCCATGCCTTCAACTGCTCTACACCTCCCATTTATGTCGACATGCACAAGCGCGCAGTACATGGCACCAATGTCTTCCAGTATGGTTCGTTCATAGGCTTCGGCAGTCCTGCGCAAAACCAGAGTCTCTTTCCTTCACTACGCCAGAACGAGACCTCAGTCGCTCATGCAGACTTTTGTGATGGCAGCTCGTTGCCAAATTGTCTCGATGCGACGCGCGGCAACTTTAATCCTTCAGAGTCACGAACGTGAGTACGCCCCTGGACTAGGCAACGAGACCAGCGAGCTGACAATACATCAGATGGAATCAGCAGGATACCTACGTCTCGACGGACAGAGCATCTGTATCCAACGAGAGCATCCATGGCCAAGATGACATTCACATTTACACGCACTTCTTCGAGACGGAGCCAGCATTCCAAACTCTGCTCCATAATTTCCCCGTCGAAGTGGCCACCAATGGCAGCGTTAGCCCTGGCATCGTTGGTCTAGGGCAGGATTCCACTCTTCTGCAGGAGCTGTTCGAGAACGGTTTCATTGCGGGCCGCACGTACTCCCTCTATGTCGGGTCAGGTACCGACAGGGCTGGCGGCAAGATTAACGGCAGTAACGTCCTTGGCGGATACGACGCCGGACGGTTTACGGGTGGTGTTCATACATACGGCATACGGGCTTCTGAAGAGGAACCACTGAACGTTAGAGTCACCGACATCATCTTGGACGAACCTTCCGGGTCCATGCGAAACGTCTCGCTGTTCGATCCGCAGGAGTTTCCAGACAACCAAGCCAAGCCTCTTGCATTCGACGCAAAGATTACTACGGACCAATATCCTATGTCCTTGCCTTACCAACTGACGCAAAACTACATCTCCCGTCTTGCAGCCAAGCCATCAGGCAACCCAGACGGCTCGCTCGCCCTCAGCAAACCATTCAACGGCACCATGACCTTCGTGCTCTCTGATGGCTTTTCCGTCACTATTCCAAGCGAAATCATGTACAATAGTTCTGGCATCTCGCCCGTCGCCGAGCGGGACGAGGACTCCAACGCACCTTTCTATCTTGGCCTGTCGTGGTTGAGCCAGGTGTACCTCATGATCGATTACGATGCATACCAGTTCCACCTCGCGCAAGCCGTAGCAGAAAACAAGGCTGTCATGCCGAAGACATGGTGTCCGAAAACTATTCCCGCACCATATGTGAAGCCAAAGCAATCAACTTTCGGGAGAGAAGGCCTGATCGGGGCAGTCATTGGAGGTGTGATTGGTGGACTTGCGCTTGTAGCATTAACGGCAACTATGTTTGTGTGGTGGAGGAGACGACGAGCGTCAGAGAAGCTGATGAAGCAGATTGAGGCGAGCCATGGGAAGGCGAAGATGCTGGAAGCAGGATTTGAGATGGAGAAATTTGATGCGCCCCCAACGAAGGAGGCCAGTAGCAGGACATCGATTTGGCGTCGGTAGCGTGGTCTTCATAGAAAATACATGGCTGAGCAATCTCACGCATATCTTCGAATCCATGTGGCCGTATGTGTTGGATTCTCCCGTGACATCGCGCTCTTGGCCCCTGAAGTGCGAAATCTCCCAAACTTTTCACCTCAAACATTGACACAGCGCAACAGCACTGCACGCTTCTCGGGCGCATGCCAAGCTGGCGACCTTTTGTGACTGAGCTTGCCGCTCGTGTCGCAACCGCTAGGGATAATGAATCGCCAATGTTCGCCGAGGTTGCTGCTACAATATGCCTCGTATGGTTCATCGCGGTGACACTCGTCTGTGCCATCGGATACACTCAACTGTACGGCTCCATACCACAGGGCCCCCCTCTCTACTCGGCTGACGCGTCTCACAGGCGACGATGGTACTCCGCTCCACCCGCCCGGGCAGTCTGCGAGACCAGCCTCCCCGATGAAGAAGTCCCGCAAGTTACCGTCATCCGCCCAGTCAAGGGCTTAGAGCCCTCCCTCTACGAATGCCTGGCCTCGACTTTCCGTCAAACTTACCCTCGAGCCAAGCTGATGGTCTGCTTCTGCATCTCCTCTCGCGACGATCCCGCCTTCCCGATCCTCGAGCGCGTGCTCGCCGACTTCCCGACCTTCGATGCAAAGCTCCTCGTTGAGGCCGACGACCCTGCGCTTCAACATGAGGATGGCGGAGACGAGAGTTTGGGTCCTAATCCGAAGATCCGCAACATGAGTCGAGCGTACAGAGAAGCCAAGGGAGACATTGTGTGGATCATCGACTGCAATGTCTGGGTCGCTAAAGGCGTGTGCGGAAGAATGGTGGGCGCACTATGCGGCTACGGCAGCAGCAGGATGAAGAACAAATTCGTACACCAGCTACCGCTCGTTGTAGACACCGTCGGCAGCCCGGCTGGAGCAGAGATTCAAAGCCTACTGAACAACGACGGAAATGAGGATGTGCGCGTCAGTTCGACCAGCACCGCATCCCACGCCCTCCACACCACCCATCACGCATCAACCGGCCTACCCCAAATATGGCACATAGGCGGCGGCCGCCTCGAAGAGCTCTTCATGTCCTCCTCCCACGCCAAGTTTTACACCGCCATCAACACCGTCCTCCTCGCCCCCTGCATCGTGGGCAAATCGACCATGTTCCGACGCTCCCACCTCGATAGCCTGACCAAAGGCCAGGGCATAGACTTCTTCAGCCACAACATCTGCGAGGACCACCTCATCGGCGACTTGCTGTGGAAGCAGCAGGTACCTGAAGAGAAGCAGGGCGAGATATGGGGCAAGCACGCCATGGTATTTGGAGACCTCGCCGTACAGCCGATGGCGGAGATGAGCGTGGGGGAGTACGCTGCCCGGCGCATCAGGTGGCTGAGGGTGAGGAAGTTTACTGTCACGCTGGCGACACTCGTGGAGGCAGGGACGGAGAGTTTTCTGTGCTCGGCCCATGGTGCGTTTGCAGTCACAACGCTGCCGTGGTTTCATCGGACACTGGGCGTGCCGCAGACGTGGACGGCTTTGTGGCTGGTGTGGCTGCTGTTTGTGAGTATATGGGCGGCGGTCGACTGGACGCTTTACAGGAAACTTCACTCGGCAGCTTCGATCGAGGTGGATGAGGACACGCCTTCGTTCGCCCGGCCGCCCACCCGCAGGACTAGAAGGCCGTTCAAGGAGTGGCTAGTCGCGTGGCTAGGCAGAGAAATGATGGCGTTTCCGATATGGGCTTGGGCGGTATTCGGAGGTGTTACGGTTACCTGGAGGGGAAGGAGGTTCTGGGTTGGTACGGACATGAGGGTTCATGAGGTGAAGCTCCGAAATACAGAGGAAGAACAGGACATGAATGGGCACGTGGTGGTTCATGGAGTGAAAGCTAGAAGCGATTAAGGTATTCTCCCAACAAAAACCTGAAACTTCTATAACCAGGCTGTTCTAGGATTGCGGTTGGACTCATCCACTGAATGGCGCCTGAGTACATGTGTGGATACCGCGCCAGCCCTTTTGCATGCAAACGTGCATCCGGGATATACTAAGCGCACAGTTGAGCTTACTCGTGCTACTTGTAGAAGTTCAGGTGACCGTTTGAGCCCACACGCCTTCTTCCTGCAGTCCAATATCAATTACCAACATCTGCTAAGTCGTTCACCTGTGTTGAAACAGGTGACAGCCCAAGAGTCCTGAGCTGAAGCGCAGCACTTGCCAATGCGTCAATTGCGGTCAATTGTACGAGGCCATATGCGAAGTCGACGGGAGATTTGAATCAAACAATGTAGAACCTCGTCAACCCTTTATCGGCTTGCCAAATCGACGTCATAGCCTCACCGTCCATTAGGCCATGGACATAACATTCCTATCAGAAAGTATAGAAGGTTAGTAACGTAGGTTGCGCGACATGCTAACCTAAACTCACACCGACAAGCACATAACACGGACCCTGCCTCCTCAACACGACCGGAACACTACAACCACACAGCACGCAAACCTCATCCCCCGACAGCATGCTCAAGGGCCCAAGGCCAATGTAGCCTTTCCTCGTAATCAGCAGCGTCCGCCACTGCACGGCTGACTGGAATGACGTTAGGAGTTCACCGCTAAAACCGGAGAGGTCGGTTGCACGGTTTATGCAGCTCCCCGAGGTCATGGGATAGGGGTCTGGGGGCTGCATAGCGCGGGCGAGGTAGCCCTTGTCCACTCTCTTTCCAGAAGATGTCCGGTCGACAAGTAGCGTGCGGTAATAGGCCTCTACGAGGCTCCCGCCGGCGACATACAGTTTCTGAATATCGTCACTGTCAGGATGATCCCACTCTTCCTTCTCGAACTCCTCCTTCTCCAACCCCTTCTTTTTCACTCCCTCCTCCTTCTCATTCTTCACCTGCATCTTCTCCCTAAGGGCCATCTCCCTTCTCTTTCTATTCTTCTTCTGCCTCTTCGTCTCGTTTGTCTTTTGCTTTTCCTCTTCCTCAGTCGTCTTCTTCTCTTCCTTCCCCAGTGTCTCCTCCTTCTCAGTCATCCTCTTCCCGCTCCTTATCTCCGACCTGCGACAATCCCTAGGATCAATCTGTTCATTCGTCGCATGCCCGTCTACGACCCAGTCGAAGCCCTTCCAATATTCCGCGCTGTAACTATTACTTAAATCCACCCCATAGGAGATGGCGCCAAACCTGTTGTACCAATCGTCATAGACGCACGCGATGGCCGCACACACCCCGAACTTGGCACGGAGGGCTGCCTCGAATTGGGCGAGCATTTCGAGCGGGTACCGTTCAGACTCGTCAGCTGTTTCAATCACGTCAACGCAGAGCCCGGTCGCAGAGAGAACTGTTGTGCCTTCTACACGAGGAATGAAGCGCACAGAGGGGCGCGAGTAGCCACACGCTCGGAAAGGCGTCGCCGACGGCGATGCGAGGGTCCTGTGAAGGGCGAGAGGGCGCCCATAGCTATAATATGAGCGGTGTCTCACCCCCGCGAAGTGGTTTTTCCGCCAGTCCGGGACCCACGATGGAAGGTAGTCTCGCGAGAACTTATTTGTACCGCCAGCACATATGATGTCCAGACTGCCGAAAGCCGCAAGCTGGTAATGAACGATGTCCTCGTAGACAGCGGCGACGGAGACCTCGTAGTCCGGCAGTGGTAGTGGCGAGAGCCCGGGATCGCGGACGAGGCCCAATAGGGCGAAGACTTTGTCCCGGGGTTCGCTTGAGTCGAAGTCGCGGAAGGCGAGCAGGAGGCTGAATAGCGTCTGGCGGGCCTGGGGGTCGGCCGCCCGCCAATCGAGCCGTGTTTGCTCTATTGCTCCCGGCGACCCCTGCAGGGCTCTGATGCGGCCCTCCATCGTCGCTGCCAGGTATTTCATGGTGGAAATTAAGCTGGACCAGGAGAAGCACGAGTCACCGATCTGGAGCGTTGTCTTGCGCGACACAACCACCTCCTGTATCACCCAGATCCGTGACCACCACGGACGGTCCATGATATCATGACTGAAGATCGGTACAGCCGCCTTGGTCCGAGGATGCCCGAAGAATGAATTTTTATGTGGATTATACACCCGCCACTTGCTGGCCTCCTCGAATGACCGCATGTAATCCACGGCGATGGCCACGTCGCGAACGTCGCCAGGCCCGAGCCAAACAATGACTTCCTGCGCAGATTCGTATATGTGACGCATCAGGCGGACCTGAGAGGCCCGCTCCTCGAAGTTGTCCTGATTTATGCACAGCGCGTCAATCCAGAATGTCCGCTCCTGCCTGGTTGACCGAAGGTGCAACAAAGCGGCATGCAGGTTGGGCGTCACCTTCCATGCTTCACCGTCTTCATCTTCGCCTTGCAGGAATATCTCAGGTGAGTTCTTAACATCACCCCAGACATAAGAGAGCGCAGTGTACGTGATGTTTTCGGCGTCTACACTAGTAGTGTTTAAGCGGCAGCAGACTGTTTCGTCGCCGTGGCCGGGTAGAATAGTTGCAAGACGGATATCTCGTACGCCGCTGGCTAGCGGCTTGCTAGGGTAGACCATAATGTTACACAGTTCAGCATCTAGGTCACTCGAAGTATGTGATAATAGAGATAGAATCCTGAGTGTAGTCAAGCGTAGTTAACGAGGATTCTACCAAGCTGTAGTCTTAAATAGGGCTAGTGCTTACAGTCGTTCGACCGTAATTGACCCATCTACTTATATAAGTTGTTTAATTACGGTTATGGACACTCTCGTTCCACTAACTCGAACATGTAAATATAGTGTATATATATTCAGCTTTGACGATACAACACATTCTGTGTAGCTCATAGCGCTGCTGCGCCGTTCATACTCAAGAACACAGTGCACCGCTGATTGGTACAGATACCATAGAGTGATCTAAATGCCTGCAGTGCAAATATAGCCCTCACGCTCCTACTTTAGCGAAGCATATACCTCAAATCAGGTAATCCGTCTAGGATCTCCCGCACAGCAGCATCCGGTTCTTCGTTCCGCCCAGCCTCTTGGCTCTTCTGGGTACTAGACATTGTTGCGTTTCGGGTTGGAGGGAGCGATACCGGACGGCTAGGACTACCCGCAGAATGGGGATAGTTTACTGTTGCGGACGATGCACGCTGATGCTTCGGCTGTGCCGCGACTGCGCGGGACTCTCCCGGCGGATTCTGAGGCGAGGAATCGAAGATTGAAAGGTCGGTCATATATAGCGGATTTGGGGTAGGTTGCTGCTGGACGGGAGACAAAGACGCTGCTGCCGACGTTGTTTGCAGCGCTATGGGATACTCGATATCTGCGCTGGGTACTGCAAGAGACAGGTCAAGGGTCGTAGACAGGAGAAATTTCGATCCGTGGCTAGTGTAGCTGGTAGAATACTGCTGTTGTTGTGGAGTCGGAGGTGATTGGATCATTTCTCCCCAGTCATCTTCAGTGTCAGCGATAACCTCTAGCGTTGATGGAAATGGCGCGGCAGTATCTGCCTGTATGGGACTCGCCCATGGGTCGTCCATACTGTGACCTCTGAACGCGTCTGCTACTGCTGAGGAAGACAGTGCTTCCGCTCCTAGGTCGGATGGGCTGGTCACGGGATCGAGGTAGACTGAAGAGCCATGAGATGAGATCACGCCCATCTTAGGACAGTCGGCTGGTTCAGATACCGCTCCAGACAGGCCTGAAATGATATCGAGGTCCACCATCTCGTAGCTTGGCTTGTCTACACCGGGCCTCAGCGAATCCATTGAACGAGGCTGCGCAGGCAACAGCTGCGATGGAAGTGGATGCGGCTGTAAGGTAGAGATTGAAGCATGCTGTTCACGAGTCCATTCGTATTCCACGGTAGCTGAGGCGTTATTTTTGGTAGGCAGCGGTTTTTGCACTGGTGTAACGGCCTCGCTGACTCCATCGACAGTGGTCGGAGAAGAACTCCAGCCGAATTTCACAATTGGCGCGTCATCAACCAGGGACGACCGCCCCATACTGGATATGGCGATGGACTTTGGGCGCTGCTTTGCTGCCATCACGGAGGGCGATACTCCACTCGTTGAAGGTCCAGATAAGCGGTTCCCGCTTCTGTCAATGCCGGCTTGCGAGTGCAAAGGCGCTCTTGCGATAGTCTCTTCCCATCGAAAAGTGGCACCTGTTCCCTCACTCAGGGTCGCTTTTCCATGTATGCGGTCCTCTAGCGCCCACCGACCCACCACCTTGTTCACTTCAGCTTTGACTGCAGAACTAGCCCAGGTGACACGAACGTGAGTATCGTTGTCATGGCCGCTGTTGAATTCTCGCATCGTTTCCTTGCGTGTGATGCGGTACCACGCCTTGCGTACGGAGGTGGCAGAAAGAAGGGAGTCGTCCACCTCAGGCAGATCATCCCTAAGATCTGGGAGAGGACGGAGCTGGTCCAAAAGTGAAAGATCCGGCTCAAACCCTGGTGGCTCACAAGAGCTCCCGTTGACACTTTGGCTTTGGGCATCAGCCTTCTCGACTTGTAAAGCTTCCGTGTTTTCTGAACGATGGTCCGGCTCTTCCTCATTGTGGTTTCTGGACTGTGATTCAGCCGCCGGAGGCTTGCTCAACTGGTCACCACCAGTGACGACATCTTTGAAGCTGTTGAAATTGCCTAAGTCACCGTTGTTGCTCCCAGTGTGGCTTGTATGGCTTGGCGAATTCTCGGCATCCGCTTTGATCTCTGCGCAGGATTTCAATGATATCGCGGCCTCGTCTTCGAAAGATGTCCGTGGTGTTTCGCGACTGCCATCCAGATGGGCGATATCAGAGGGCGACGTCGACGCAGTGGAAGAGCCAATACTCAAATCCGACTCTTTTCGTAGTTCATCCTCGACCTCTGATGTGTCCCTATAATGCGTCGCTTGTTCTTCCATAGCTGTTGGCGTATCGTCGCCTGCTTCTGGCAGAGCATCTGCCCAGCCTCCAAACCCATCCTCCTCCTCGCCATCTCCCCACCTAGCTTCATCCTGGAACCCACCTAGTATCCCTAGAGCAGTTCCCGCGCTTGCCCCAAGCTCTTGCTTCGTATCTGTCCCTAGCTCTTGCTTCGTAGCAGTGTTGGACTTTTCTGCGTCATCTGTCCACGGATCGCCCCAGTCATCCATTGCCGAGCGATGTGTTGTCGCGACATGTCGAAGGCAGCTATAGGATCCGCTTAGGCATGATTTTGGATCCGCAATGGCAGTCCATAGTAAGTTCAAGAAGTTGACGTCTTCGCCAAGCCTCGGTGAATTTCGGCTTCGGCAAAGTTGACCTCCGTGTTTCGCGGCGCAGACGTTCCCAGAACCATATGGACTTCGCAACACAATCTGAACTTCGACTCTATGAATCGATCAGCACTGGACACTGGTCAATCTCCGTCTCTGATCTGAAGGCATCCCGGTGTATTTTGTTCTACTGCTCACGGCAGTTGAACTTGTCTATTTCAGAGCGCACTATTCACATATCCTCTCTATTGAGAAGTCTTACCACCGTTTCTTCTGTCGCTCCAAGAGTTCAATTTCCTTAAGTCGAAAAAGCTGTTATTCTAGAGCTAACCAAGTTCTCCAGCTTGAGACACAGATATGAAACTAGATTACATCATAACCTATATCATTGTGAGGCTCCGACAGAGCTGATATATGTTTTTCTGCCGACGAGGATACACATGGGGCAGTCTTCGATGCGCATGTAGTTAAGGAAAGTTGGAACAGCTCGACCGACCTAACGCGATCAACTCTCAAAGATGATACAATACACATTCGCAGTAGCTCACGGCGAAGCGTACGACTCCAACAGAGGACAGAGACAGTCCGTGCAAGGCCTGCGTTACGGAGCGGAAACCAAGATGACCCAAAAATACGGCATAACGTGGTCCGCTGGTGGAAGGGTATAGCGCTCACAGACAGATAGCACTGGCTCTCCGTACACCTGCAACTTCAACGCCAGTCTAGACCACAAGAACCCCCTGAAACAAAAGCCTTTACACGCTTGTTGGTTGGACAGTACAACCTTGCTCTTTCCGGGGTTGCCTTTCTCACTTTTTCAACTGATCGTGTAGACCCTGCAGCAGCCCGTCCCGCCCGTCATTGGGGATACCTGGGCATCTGCATCTTCCTCAACGTCTACGCTAGGGGGGTGCTAGTGGTTATCGAGATCTCTGGGGGCATCATCCACTTCGCTTTCTTCGTTGCCACGGTCGTGACTCTCGCAATCATGGGTACACCAAGCTCTCCGGTTCGTCTTCACGACATCGTTCTTTGGTCTGAGCGGCTGGGAGAACAAGGGTGTTCAGTGGTGTCTCGGTCTGCTCACGAGCACCTCGCTTCTCACTGGTGGGCTTGTGCCTATGACTCCAACCTCCCGGTTGTTGCTAATAACAACAGGCTTTGACGGAGTGCTTCATCCAAGCCAAGAGATGAAGAACGCCCCAAAGAAAGTGCCGATAAGCATGGTGCTCGGCGTCGTCATTAACACCGTTATCGCGTTTGGCTTCGTCCTGACCCTCCTATTCTTTATCGGCGACGTTGAGAGAGTTGGTACGACGACCACCGGATACCCAGTCATAGAGCTGTACTATCAGGCTACCGGCTCAAAAGCGGGCGCCACGGTGCTGACTTGCTTCGTTATCATCCCGGCTGAAGCGTGTCAATTCAACCTGTTCGCATCTGTTATCCGCTTGGTCTGGGCATTCGCAAGCGACAGTGGGCTGCCGTTCTCAAACCTCTTTAGCTATGTAGGTCCGCGTACCCCTTACATTAGGCTTTGCGGCTACTGACCACATGCAGGTGCATCCAACTCTTCGCATTCCTACGCGAGCTCTCTGCTTGGTCGGCGTCATCTGCGTGCTAATCAGCCTCATCACGGCCGGCAGCACTGCTGCCTTCTTCGCCATCATCTCGCTCAACGCGCTAGCCCTCTACATCTCGTACCTTATCCCCATTCTCCTAGTCTTGCTCCGCAAACTGCAAGGGCAGCATACACCCTACGGCCCTTTCAAGTTCGGCCGTTTCGGCATCCCCATCAACATCTATGCGGTCTGCTGGTGCGTATTTGTCTGCACCTGGCTGCTGTTCCCCGTTATGGTGCCTGTCACGGTCGATACGCTTAACTGCTCTGGTCCGATCATGGGTGCGATTATAGTATTCGTGCTGGCGGCTTGGTTCATTTCTGGGCACAAGCGATTTCGGGTTCCGACCAATCCGAATGATGATTGAGCGGAGAATGAGATGCTTCGGCGATAAGCCGCAACAAGGGTATCTCTTGTATTACTTTCATGCACTCCCGACGTCGGCAATTCTGTCCACCTCGCGGATTCTGAATCAATGTTTCATGTTTTTGCATCTGGTCTTCTGTGATCGGCGTGTGGACCGCTCATGGCAAGACGTAATCACCTGCTATTGGCTTACTTATACTGTCACATCATGAGGGGTTGAGCCCTAAATGAGCTTTGCAAGCGCTTGTTCGCAACTGCCTGTGGATATGTTGTTACGAAATCCAGCCTGACTAGCAAAAACAGCAAATCCGAAAGTCATCAAGTTCGTAAAATATGGTCTCATCAATTTTCCGCAACACGCGCCACCTCAACGCTTTGCAAGCCTAAACTCCACCATTGGACCATCTCTCGCGACGCCAATCCAATCGACCATCTGGAACTCATCTACTCTCTTTCTACCCTCCTCCAGATCCGGGCTCCCTTCCCCCAGCGTCTCACCGGGCGCCTGACGGAAATCGTATCTCCACAATACGTGCGCCAGCGTGAGCTTGTACTCCAAATAGGCCAGATTCTTGCCAATACAGCCCCTGATCCCGAGGCTGAAGGGGCAGAAGGCACGGGTAGCCAGCGCGACTGATTCAGCGCTGATGCCAGCCTTCTCGTCAACTATCCAGCGCTCGGGGCGGAAGGACCACGGGTCAGGATAATAGTCCTCGCTGTGGTGAATAGAATACGCGGGGACGCCCACTACGTAGCCAGCGGGGATGTGGTGGCCGTCAATGATGATGCCGCCGGGCAGCACCTCGCGGGGAACATGGCTCGGTTTAGGGGGCGTGCGCCGTAAGGACTCTTCCATGACGGCTTGGAGGTAGGCGCAAGAGTCGAGCGCAGGGCCACTGTGGATGTCCTCGATAGAGGAAAAGACACGCCGGACTTCGGCGGTGGCTTTCTCCAGCGCAGAGGGGTTGTGGGTGAGGTAGAAGAACGAGGCTGCCATTGCGGTGGCCACGGTGTCGGATCCGGCGACAATGAAGAGGACGCTTTCTGCAGTGAGCTCAGATGAGGAGAGCTTCAATCCGGATTTGGGATCCTGCGCTGCGAGAAGGTGGTGCATCATATCTTTGCGTATCTCTTTGCCCTCGGCTTTGGCGGCTTTTTCGGCTGCGATCTTGGATTGGAGGCTTTCAAGCCCGTAGTTGACGAGACGGATGTTATCTGTCACCGCGTCACCGCCGATGTATTCCATGAGTTTGCTGTTCATTATGGGAGCCAGTAGCCATGCCCCAGGTAGAAATGGGAACTGAGCGGCGTAAGGAATCCAACAAGCTTTAGCTTTGATAGGACATTTGCAACTCACCCAGTACATGTATTTGTTAGCATTTATGAGAGACCTCGAAAAATTCCGGTGCTCTTCACTTCCGAGGCAGTTGAGCGGCTTGCCAAAAGCTAGGTCGCCCATGACATCGAAACCTAGGTACATAGTCCATGCGCTCATATTTCTCTTCTCGCTCCACTCACTGCCCGCTGATGGTGCCAGCAGGTCGCAGAACTTGATCACATTCTCCGAGATGAACGGCTCCGAAGCTCTAAGCGCGTTCGAAGAGAAGGCGTGGGCGATAAAGCGGCGCCTCACAGCGTGCTTTTGCTTGTCAATCTCAGAAAAAACCGAGAAGGCGCCAGAGGCCCCATCAACGGTTCTATACCACTCCGATTTCCGGACGTTGGTCTTTTGCGGGCCGTATATGGTGTTGAGAGCCGTTTCCGTATTATATGAGAGAGCGTTCGGGCCGATGCGGACAATGGGACCTCCGGTCATACGTCAGCAGCGGGAGGACGGCAGGGTGGATACCTTTGAACCTACCATATTTCTCATGATCTTGTAAGTGGTAGATGTGCCGGTTGCCGCCAATGCATTGGAATATCAAGGGCCAATTGGAAAGTTTGTAGCGCAGAGGGCCTGGGTATTTCGCCAAAGGATGAAGCGTGACACGGTACAGAGATAGCAGCACAGACTACAGCAAAGTCAATAAGGCTTTGAAATACCTCCCGATACGACTCTGGAGCAGAGAGACAACGTACGAAGATGACAATTGCAACAGCTAGATAGACGAGTAAAACGTGAAGGGGGTTAGCGGATAATACTGCAATTGCAGCCTTAAGCGGTCTGGTAACCTCCATGGTGTTGTAGCTTCTTCAAGTGCGAGAGCAGCGCGAAGACGAGTTCGAACTCTGGCTAGCTGTTGTGGGAGGGGACGGCAGGTGTTGTAGGGCTCGAAACAGGAAGCGCACATGATGTTAAGCCATGTTAAGCATGTGAGAGCCAGCACATTCACTGCAGGCAACCACTTGTAGGTCGGGCTACACTACAAGGCAAGCGAGCCCGATATCTGCATATTGAGCCCCGCGTTGGCGAAGAAGGAATGCAGGATGAGGCGACAGGGGACGGCAGACATGAGATGGTGAGGCCCGCACGGCCCGGCAGGACGGGAGCGAGTTGCACCGGACTGTCGGGTGGGAGAGCGGCATCTTGCATGAGGGTGCGGACATAGCCCTACCAAGGGGCCATCCAAAAAGTGCGTTGCAGCATCTTGGCTTCTAGCTTGCTTAATATCAAATTTATGACTGAGCTAGGCTTGAAATAATGTCAGGGAATAAAGAGAAGACCGGGTTCACGCAATATAAAGTGGACGACGTTCAGTACCTTAACGCTTTAGTGCATCAATCACTCAGAATATCATCAGTCTGTAAACTGTGTCTGGGCTGTCCACCTCGATGTCCACGAGTAGCTTCCAACCATACGAATAGTAGAGGGAGATGAAATTCTTGCGTATCAGCCGCAACTGCACGATACCGCGGTCAGTTGCCATCCTTTCTTTAATGCGACTCTGGTACCCAAAGCCCACTTTCATCCAAGGTAGCCCTGACGGATGTTGTGGACGATGTAGATGTGATACGGGCTGTTTTCATCTTTCTTCGTCCCAGTCTTGGCACCCGACCACCACTCATTGACGATCGACGCCTGAGCTTCCAACCTGAACTCCGAAAACCGCGGTCAAAGGCTGCCTCCACCGAACCTCTCGGACCAATCCACCACATATTCATGAAGCCAGGCTTCCGCGAATGCGCACAAATGGCCGCGCCCAAGGCTGCGCTCTGTGGTGGAGAAAGCTGAAACCTCTGGAAGGGTTTGTTCTCCCTTTCGTACCAGAAAGCATCTTCGATAGAGCCAGAAGGGCCGACCCAGAACACTTCACGGTGACCGGCATCCATTGAGATGGAGACCACGCCTCCCGGAACGGCGCTTCCTGGTGGAGCAAGCTCGTATTCAACCCAAGGGTTTGGCGGGAAGCGATGTCAATTGCGCACGGATCCGTTAGGCGCGATGAAGAAGATGTCCATTGTGTCCGGTCTACGGCTGACAGCGCCGATATGACTGCCTTCTGCAACGGCCCCAGGCCCGCCCATATCGAAGGCCTTTCAACTTATTTTGAGGGCTGTAGCAGTGCTGTAATAGAGACTCAAAGACTTATCGAACGAAGGGCACGAGTCGCTCCTATAGTCCACTGCCCAAGGGACTGCAGACTGATGCTCAAGTCAATGGCTGAATATACAAATACAGTGAACTGCGGAGCGGCGATGAGTGAGTAGCAAGTCCTACAGGCTGTCGGAGGAGTGAAGTTCAAACGAGAAAGAGTAGCAGGCAAGACGGGGTTGCCTCGCTACTTACGCTCACCTCCGCATTCTAAATTGTCCTGCAGACCACAACAGGATGGCACGACTGAAGGATGTAACGTTGGAAGGCACAAGGTGAAACCAGATGCGAACAAAAAAGCACGGCGCAGCCGGACAATAAGGGATATATGTGCTTGAGGCTGTGCTCAAAGGGCCTTGAAAGGCTGCCAAGAAGGAAAATCCATGTACCGCGATTCCTCGTCGAAATGCCAAATGGTTCAATGCGACATGTCTGCAGACGCTTCGAGCGAGGTCGCAGAGCCCGAACAACTGGGCACTAACAGGCCCGTCGCAGCGCTACGATGGATCCAATGCTCCGCTCTACTATCGACACAGCTACACACGAGCGTTTGCACAAGGTGCTTGTAGCTATCTGCATGAAATAACCCATCACCCGCGAGCTTGTGAGCTCGAAGCTCCTGCTCGATGAAGCCGCCAGTACGGACCACACGACATGCAGTGAGGATGAAGCTACTGAGGGAGAGAAACATGAAGTCTCCGATGGCATTGCCGGCGAGAGCAGGGAATAGAAGGCTGACGGTGCGGGAAAGAAGAACAACAGCATGCAGAAGAAAAGACCGCGGCCACGATAAGAGATTTGCAAGCATTTTAACAAGGAATTTGACGTGACGTTCAACGAGCCGGATGCTTGCGAGCGGCATGAGGGTACGTGTCAGCAGCAATTGCAGAAGAGATTAGATCCGTGCTGATGAGCAGTGTTCGAAATCGTCCGCGCCTAAATCGTTGAGACGACGTTCGTCTACCCTCGCCCGTTTATCGTCCGTTTATCGTCGTGATGCTTTAGACGACCCGCTAAACCGGATAAGGCTGCTAAACCCTAGTGGTGAGGGTCTTAGTATAAGTGGAGCTCCGTTGGAGAGCGGAGATCTTAAATTAAGGCGTAGTAGTTAGTCGGTAGAGAGTTATGCGCGTGGTGGTTGGTTAGAAGGGGTGGAAGGGATAAAAGGAGTCTGCGGGAGTCGAATACTACTCTCTTATATAATATTAGCTGCTAAATGCCTTAATTAAAGCTCTATTATACTCTCTCTTACTAAATTACTTATTATATCGTGATGGCGGCTCCCTCGGCTAGCTAATACACTATATATTTATCTTTTAAAACTTAAGATAACTAAGACTTGCAAGAGACTCGGCTAACTAACTTATAAGAGACTCAGCTTACTAATTCTTAATAAGTGTAAGCTAGCGACTCCTAAAACCCTATCTTAGTTTAAGCTACTATATTAAGCCGGCTAACTACTATATTATCTAATTCTTCTGCACTAATAGAGCTTTAGTGCGCCTCTACTTTTAGCTGTAATATCTAGCTTAGTAATAGGTAGAGCGCCACTATTAATAAGTAGCCCTAGATTAGCTTTAAGTAACTATATCTAGCTAGCTATTATCTACCTCTCTCATAGTCTAATTATAAACTAAGTGGTTAGTAGTAGATTTATAGAAGTGCTATTAAGGATTTTGAATCGCGCAAGCGGTACTAGCTCTATAAGTAGTATTATCTTTAGAGCGCTAGAGATAATAGTAGTTATACTTTACTATAGTATATCTATTAGGCTAATTAAGGGAGGAGTAGTGTAATTTAGTATCTACTTAAGCTATATTAGATTACTAAGATTGGTAAGATTAAGATTAAGTCTAAGAGATAGTAGATAGATCTTATCCTTATTAATAGACTCGGGCTTAATACTAATAACCCTTGCAATTAAGCTATAATTAATAAGCTTACTATTATATATAATTATAATACCTTCTAGTAGCTTCTTATTTAGTAGCTTGCGTTTAATAATATAGCTTTTTACTAGGTAGAGAGTAAGCAATTTAATAAGCTACTCTATTACTTTCAGCTGTGCGTGGAAGCATTAATTCCTTATACTAAATTAGTTTATAATTAGATTATAGAGAACTACTACTTACTAAGAGATAGTGTAATTACGGAGCTTTAAGTAGTACTAGGCTCTATTTACCTATCCTTTAATCTCTAAATATTAAGGAATCTTCTTAGTCTTAATAGTATTATTATCTATTATATTAGCGCTAAGTATACTGCTAAAATATATCTCCTTATACTACTAAAGCTAAATAATAGCTATATAGAGATAAATATTGCGGGAGTAGTAGTATATATTATTGAGTACTAGATTAAAGGTAAAATAGGCTCTTTTATACTAGATAACGCTTTAAATAACAATATTTATATAAAGAAACTTACTAACTAGTTTAATTTCAACCCTATCTACTACTAGTTACGTTATATAGACTATATTATTAATCTTATTATAAGAGAGATATTATTTAGTAAGGATATTAATGGCTTTAAGATTAAGATAGTAATATTAACAGAGCTACTTAACTAATTAGTACTCTAGTAGACTAAGAGGCTAGTTAGTAAGCTATATAATCTTATTGTTTAGATCTACTACTCGCTATAGTAAAAGAAGTAGTTCTATAAAGCCTAATCTCGAGTTAATAAAAACCTACTAAATAAGAATACTACTAGCTAGTCAATAGCGCCTTTTAACTTATTTCAAGATAATAGAATAAGGTGAAACTCTATCTATAATATAATTAAGCGCGGTATTTAGCTCTATAATGCTATTAATAAGTTTATTAATATAGAAGTATAGCAATACATAAGATAGATATAGAATAGCTATAAACTAAAGAATATAAATAGGCCTACAATATTAATCTTTATAGACTAGCTCTTAGTAGACGACTAGAAGGTATTAGTATAGTATTACGAGCTACTTTATCTAATAGAGTGTATTACTAAGAGTCTTAAAGAGTATTCTAGACCTAGTAGTAGTAGCTTCTAATCTATAATTGCGGCTTTTAAACACCTACTAAAGAAGCTTAAATATATAAAAGAATTATATAAATACTATCTAGAGGACTACTTTTATATAGATATTAAGTTTACTTAGTAAAAGATAAATTAGTACTATATGCTATTTAATAGGAGTCTAGCCTATCTTACTATACTTATTCTTTATCTAAAGTATAAGTAGTAATATATTAAGAATCGCTGGTAGAGTTATAGTAACTAGATTAAGGCTAGTAGAGAGAGAGTTTATTAGCTTTAGACTAATAAATATAGCTTAAGACAAGCTAAACTAGTTATTTAATCTCTAATATAAGAGATAAATAAATTCGAAGCTAACATAGCTAAGAGGCTTACCGCTACCGCTACTAGTAGTTATACTATAGTTCTTAATAAATATACCGCTTAGATAGAGGTTAAATAGGTTAATTATAAGGATTCTATTACGTATTAGGTCTAGCGCTTAAATAACTACCTAAAACTTATAAGAATAGCGCTTAATCTCTTTTTAATACTAGTAATAAGCTTGGAGCTAGAGCGTATCTTTAGCTTAGCTAGTTTAATAGTAACCGACTAGCGTAATTAGCTTAATTCTAATATTATTTAAGCTACTTAGTATATCCGATTGTAGGAGTATTACGGTATTAGCATAGTGGTAGTAGTAGCGGTAGTAGCAGCAGCTTTAGCGGAGAGACTAGAGGAAGGTTAGTAGGAGTATATAAGGGTGGCGGTGAGGTTTAGGGGAGTAGTTTAGAAGGTAGAGCGTTGATGGCGCGGTTACTGGTTAAATTGTTTTGGATAGACACGTTTAGATGAGAAAACTAGGTTTAACACCTGCTAAGACTCGTGATGTTTTTCTATAAACGGCTAGCTAGCTACTAAAACCGGTTAGCCGGTCATGTGATCGTCTAAATTATTAAAACGGCTTGTCGGGCGAGTCGGACGAGTGGACCCTCGTTCGTCCAACGGTCGGGCGATTTCAAACACTGCTGATGAGTTATGCAGGAGAACTGGAAGTCAACTGGATGGTGTATCCAGACCATGACCACAATGAAGACATCGAGACCGTCGAGAATAAGGAAGAGCATCCGGGATACTTCGTCTGGAGCAGTTCTGATAAGGACGGTGAGGCGGAGCCTTATGAGTCGGGCAGGCATGTGGCCAGCTCGGATCAGTACGAGAGAGTTAGAACGTGACGCTCTCTTAATGTGGCCGTTCTTGAAGACCAGAAAGCGCCAGTGGTGTCTCATCAATCCGGTCGTGCATTCACACTCGCCTCTACCGGAAAATGATCTCCTGAAGCGGGCCGACCCCAAGCCCTTCGCCATTGTTCAAGCTGAGGAAGAACGCACCCCCTACAAGGCGAAAGATTTCTTTCCCAGCCGACGACAGACCCGTTGCTCTGACAATGAAGGGTACTTTAGACCCTGGACAGACACAGACGAGATCCCCCTTTGCCGTGAAACGTGGAACGATCCCTAGGGAGTTCTTCGCTGCCATACATAGGATGTTACCTGAGCCCGGATGCGCGGCAACAGCTGTCAGATATTTGTGCCGATCATGCTTTGACATGTTGCTCGTTGCCATCGGAGAGCCACGGATACCGTTACGACGGACGACATCGAGGCTCTCACAAACAGCGGCGTATCTGCTCGGCTCGTGCTCAAGAAATATGTCCGTATCCGCTACCAGCGTTCTGGAGAACATGTCAAAAACCGAGTCGGACCAGAACCCGCTGTGGAATTCCTTCATGAGGTCGATAGCGCCTTGAATGTGACCGATAGGCAATGGGTCGTCCTCGATATCCACTGCAGACCATATAGCGGGAGGAAAGCTGGCGACCGATTCGACTCTGTCGACCAGGAATGCCTGTATCACCATGTCGTTCTGTTCAAACCGGATCGGCAAAAGACCGAAAGTGTGGCCCTTGCCTGCACCGTGGCTCTGCGCAGGGTACATTGCTAGTGGCCCAGAGAGATCAGGCACCCATGAGGGGAGTCCTTCGATGCCTCTTATGTGACCAATCCCTGCGGCGTAAACCAGATCGAAACTATCTTTCGCAGCGGTGAACTCCTGTGTAATCTCCGTGTATATCGTGCTTGGCGTCTTGGAGTAATCCGGAACTATCCTACTACCTGACGCGGAACGAGGATCGTGCAGCAGACCTAGCAGGCCGTAGACTTTGTCTCTGGAATCTGACGCACCACTCTCATCGCAACAGTACAGGGCAAATGATATAGTGCATCTCCAGCCCCGAGAGAACCCGGCTCGATTCTGCTTGAGCTTGTCGATGTTCTTCATCGCCGAAACCACTTTTCGTCCTATCGGATCAACCTCGTAGAGTAGTATTCCAAACCTGAACTGGCGCTCGTAACCACAAAACTTCTCTAGGCGCTCCCATGGCAGCGAAAGTTCGCCCCAGATGAAATCGAGTTCATCGGACAACACCGCTTCTTGAATAATCCAGGTCCTGGTGAACCACGGGCGGGCAAGATGGTCTCGAAGTGCTAACCAGTCTTCAGACTGTCTTGAGGTTGAAGTCGTCTGGAAGAGATGCTCCAAAGAGAATTCTTTCAATTTTGTACTGTTGTCGGAAGTTTGTAGGGAATCAAAATATGCTTCCAGCTTTGACATGAACTGAATGGCTCTTTCTGTGGACGGGATGCTGGGCCCAACATATACAACAGTGTTTGCTGCTAGCTGGTAAATCTCACCCATGGAACGGACCTGTACGCCTTTCTCCACGAGATCCGCCTGATTGATGGAGATGGCATCCATCCATACCTTCTTCCCGACAATGCTGCCTTGGTGATGGAGGGCCCGCAGTGTTGTAAGCGAGCTCCTTGGGACTTGAAGTTCTTGATACTCTGTATAGTCTTCCGAACAAGAATCCTCTGTAGACTTCTTTGCTGCAAATCTGAGGCTTATCGGCACAAGGTCGCTTGGATCGCCCCATCTGTACGAAATGGCGGTCCATGGAGTGTCTGCGGCAACACCGTGTCTATAGATGTGGTAGATCGTCGCCTTGAGTGTCGGAGTGTTTAGAGGAGCATTGTCAACATATAAGACTCGAATAGCATCAGGGCTTTCCAATGGAGTGTACTCAAAGCTTCGTGGGTGAGCTGTGACCTGAAGTCAGTAAAAAACGATACAAAATCGTATTTATCAGTTAAATGCATCACGTGATCCTTGGATGGCAGAAAATTTGTAGTTGAACCTACAGTATGGAGAAATATCCATGTCGTAAAGCCACCCAGCCGGAGAGAGTTACGACGAGTCAGGATCAAGCCTTGGACGCGTGGTTTGCTTCGCCAGAGGCCGCAATGACACATGCGGGAGGTTCATCCAGCCTTCTATCTTCGCCGTATGCTGGTTTGTCAATGGCTCTGCTGCGGAGAGACCTGCTATGCCCGGTAAAGCGTAAGAGATTGTACGGTTTATTATTTGGGCCTTCCTAGAGGAGACTTTCGCGTTCCTAGACGAGCACCGGGCTCGAAGCGACCGTGGGAGTCGCTAGACACACGAATAGGCGGAGAGTTCGATGCGCTACATGTCAGATTGGCAGGCACGAAGATTACTCCGATAAACATGAGAAGGCTAGACAATAAAGGGACTCTCACGATGAACGGGCCAAACTGGATCAGTGTGGAATATAGACCCAAGATTCATAAGTCCAGTTGCGTTGGGATTGCTTCCCAGTGCGAGTCGTATGGAAGGGCGCATTGGGCTTTCTTCACTTTTGAAATCCCTTAAATCAACACCACTATCGGCATTATGGCCGATAGTACTATATTTGATGCTATCTAAGTTGAGGCTCCGGGGCCCGTAAGGTAGTCCTCCATCGTTCGTCGCAAAGGCCTCATATGCCGAGCATGACTGAAATGGGTATGCCATGCTCGAGGTTGAGAGGTATTCCGGCCCGTGATAGCCGATGGGTTTCCCAGTCGTCTGCGAAATGACTCAACAAGCGAACTGGTACTAAAATCCTTGTTGGGATGCGGACTTATCTCTCGTTGTGAGATGATAACAGAAATTTCTGGGCACGTAACAGCCTAAGAGCTTCCTAGCCGCCCCCCGAGCTGCCTCGACAGACGGCTGGTACTGAATGGGGGATTGTGGTGGTGGTGCTGATGGTGATGCTGAAAAGTCACGATGTGAGCTCTGATATGGGGTCGAGATCCGGATCAGATAAGATGAGATAAGATAATATACAAGCTTATCAAGCTCATGTACCTCTCATCTGAAGGCTTTATTTAGCAACTGTACTATTAGGTCCTACACCTACAATGGGATGAGCTCTCAGGTTCCCTCCCGTAAGGTTGCAACGCTTACGGGCCATAATGGTATTAAACCGGATTTCCCGCAGATTAGACAGAGCAATGGCTCCCTAACACCCCTCTAGGAGCTGTCCACGCAGTGTCCTACAGTGCCGGCGCCGGCCAATACGTACGTCCATCCTCTTCACCAACTTCTTACGCAGCTCCCGCTTCGATACGGCCCCAGCTCCGCTCTAGCATCCACGTCTAACCCGGCTCCGCCCACAGATCCTCACCGGCTCCACCGACCGCACGATCCGCCTCTTCAATCCAGCCACCACGCGCCTAATCCAATCCTACACCGCACACGGCTACGAAGTCCTCGACCTCGCCGTCGCAGCCGACAACGCGCGCTTCGTGAGCGTGGGCGGCGACAAGACCGTCTTCCTCTGGGACGTCGCGACCGCGCGGACGCTGACCCGGTTCAGCGGACACGCTGGGCGTATCAATGCGTGTGCGTTTGGGGGGACCGACGACAGCGTGATCGTGTCAGGCAGCTTTGACGCGACGGTCCGGCTGTGGGATACCAAGAGCGGGAGCCACAAGCCGCTGATGGTGTTGAGCGAGGCGAAGGATAGTATCAGCGCTGTCGCGGTCGCTGGGCACGAAATTTTTGCCGGGAGCGTGGATGGGAGAGTAAGGGTGTATGACCTCAGGATGGGGCAGTGCTTTGTGGATGTTTTGGGGCATCCGGTCACGTCGGTCACGGCAACGAAATCAGCGGATAGCCTGCTGGTTGGCTGCTTGGATTCGGTGGTTCGACTGATGGATCGGGCAGATGGGAAGCTGCTCAAGGCTTACAAGGCGCCGGGTGAGTTTGTCAATGACAACTACCGTGTTCGCTCGACGCTTGGCTTGAACGACAGTGTCGTTGTGAGTGGGAGCGAGGATGGGAGGGTCTTTGTCTGGGACCTGCTGTCTGGGGACGTAGTAAAGAGGCTCTGGCATGGAGAGGCGAGGAGTGAGGATGCGAAGAGTGGGAAGAGGGACGTCGTCAGTGCCGTGGCATTCTGTCAGGCGCGAAAGGAGTGGTGTAGTGCAGGAGGCGATGGGAATGTAGTCGTTTGGGGGACGGTGGAGTGAGGTTTGCGATGAGCTTCCAGAATACTCAGAGGGTTCTTTCAGCTCAACAATCTGTCCTGAGCCATGCGAACCGAGTCCATCTGCACAATGTGAGCGTTGAGTCCGCTCCCGAGTCTCGACGAACTTATGCTCAGAATGAGCGGCTGATTTGCTTGGAATCAACGAGTAGTTAACGAAGGATTCCATGGACGTCATTGGCGAGAAACAAGGTCCTCCTCGCCGTCTTTGAGGGTCAACCATGCTCCAGTGGCAAGTGAGATCCTATTCTCATGTCTAAACTTTCACGTCCAGGCTTAGCAGCGGCCTAGTCATACCCATTCCGAAGTGTCTTCCAGCTGGTTCGGTAACGTGTGATGCGAGATATGGTTGTCTTCGAAGCTCTGAAAAGTCAAAGTCTGTACAAAACATAATTCTAAGCGGGTGCTCCATCTGTTTTACGAATCCAATGAATAACCCCCGGTTCGAAACGATAGAGAGAAAGCAACATACGGATCTCAGCAGCACACCACATCAGATGTTGGCCTACAATCCGCCTGTCGCACATGAGAGGCCTGCCAATTCGACCGTACCGGCTCAGAGATACTGATAATAAGCTGTCACTGCTGATAGCATACAGAGCGATGAAGGAGAAGAGAAATACAGATCCATAGAAAGTAAAACAGCTAGTAGATCCACCGCGTACCGCAGCTTGATCGTTGTAGTACTTTAGGCTGACGTGCTTGGTCATGTAGACGGCTACGATATCTCCTTGACGTGCGAGTGGTTTTCTTCGGTGGTATTTAGTGATACTCGTCGTCACATTGTAGCCTTTTGTAGGCTTTGTCACTTCGTGCTGTTCGGCGCTCTGAAGCTTGCTTATCGTGGAGTTCATCTCTGTAGGGTAGATTCGTTCTAGGTAGTGCCATCAGTATGTCCCTTTGCATGGCCTCGTCCGCTGATTTTAAAGCATATCGAGACGCCATCTGAAGAGCTCGAGAGACAGTGTAGAGGCAGCAAAATGAGCAGAAACGAGTGAAATATAGGCCGAGAGCCGTGCCGTGGTCTCACCACCGAACCATCATTCTGTTGCCGGAGGCCAGAATTTATGCCAGCAACCTGCTCCTGCTTCTGCTCCTGCTCCTGCATCGAGTGCTTTGCTCAGGTGATGATGCATATTTAAGTGCAGCTGAGCCCCCATGCAATTAGAATAAACACGCTTGCGCGAAAGCCGACGGAACCCCCACGCAACGTCCCGCGGAAAGCAGTAGACTTGGGGGTGTCGCTGACTGCATGCAGTGGTTCATCACCATGCATGCTGCAGAACTGAGGTCCTAAACCGACGAAAACCTGCTCATTGAGCTGCCAGCGTCATCCCTGCTGGTTTTACCGTGAATTGAATCTTATGGACGGCTGGGTGATCCGGCTCATTATCTTTCCCGTTCTTGTAAACATCGATATGTAGAAGTAGCCTCATTCCGGACGGAGCAGAGCCCGGCAGTGAGCCAACATACTGGAAGTTCTCGAGGTTACCTTGATCGGCCGTATCATGGATGCTGTAGCATGAAATGGCCCTTCATGCGAGCCTTTCCTAAAGCTCTACTTAGCTTGCGTGGTGATTGTGTGCCGGTTTTACCGTTGTCGCGCCGTGTCCTGGACCAGCACAGGTTGTAGGAATGAGTACTTCTCAGTCCTCTCATCTTCTCCCCGTGCTGCGGATCCATACAATCTCCCCGATTCGCGGCTTCAAAAGCTGAAAGCGGACTTGCTACAGGTGGATGAGGTGATCTTTGACTGGCGGGAGCTAGGAGAAGCCGACAGATTGGGTCGGCTGCACGCAACGAGGTTGTCTGTCAGGTGGATCGGCCTTCGAGCTTCAGGGGTGGGTTGTGCAGCCTCAGGCATGCCTGGGTTTGAGAATCAATATAATTGGCTCTACAGTTCGAAAATGCGAGGCAGTGCCTGGGAAACGGCTGGAAAATGGCTGAATACGCCTTCACGCATCTGACCAAACCATCGGTTGCGAGGCAATCAGGTGCTCTGTGCCTCATCGACGAACCGTGGGTTCAGCTTGAGCTTGACGCGCGCTCCGCCAACAAAGCCTGCTTGACCCTTTCCCCGCTTGAGGCCCTTTGTGCTGAGGCCGCCGGTACTTCGCGATACCGCAGGGTACCTTATGACCCTGGCCAGAACTCTTCAAAGTCCTTTGTCCCCCTCGTACTCTGCCATGGCCGCTGCGAACTACGGCCGCCAGATTGGTGCCTTTACACGGCATACGGCCCATTGTCGGAGCCTCGCTTTGTCTGCAACAAGCACTGGAGTGGCTGTCTCCACCGCGGCCGTCTTCGGCGCGCAGAGTTCTTCATACTGTTCAATTCATCTTTCCCACCTGCCCTCTGCGTCGCAGTCTGTTGTCCGAAACGAGACTTCACCTGAGTGACAGCCAAAGTCACCACTTTCAAGTATCTAGCCCCCGCTGCACCCTGTTCGCTCCCGGGAGAGCGCCAATGCAGGAGCGGCCGATCGAGTCAAGCACTGGCATCCAGCACGCCCTCGCAGTCGGACCAATTGCCCAGTGCTATTTCGTCTGCAGCTTATTCCCCACGCTGCGGCTTTGCTCCAGGTTACGCTATCAATACAGCATAGCAGTTATTTCCAGACGTCGCCTATAAAAAAAAAAGCTGGAGATTTCCCTCAAAACACAGCATATTATTCTGGGCCCGCTTGCCAAACGAAGACGCATCTATCCAACGGATCTTGCTCTGAAACCCTCAGGGTCCGGAGAACTGGTAGTGCGACATTACCTGCATTTTAGTCTGAATTACCAAGGAGGTGTATAGTTTCCCGCAAGGCATTAAGAAAGAACCGGTGAACGCGCTGCGGCCTGCTTTGCAAAGGCATTCTTGTTGCTGGGAACCCACACGAGGGGAGGCCTTGGGTATGAACTTTAAGAACGACATTTCTCACTGGCCCGTTGGACAAGAGGACGTCAATCGCTGAGCAAGAGGAGGAAGCCACCAGCATACAAGCTCTGCCCAAAGCCTTCCATCAGTGCGCAGTATACAGTCAACAAGCACGTCGTTCCCACGCGATACGGCGTTTTCCCTCGACTTGTTGCGGACGGTTTGTGGAGGCTGCGTAGCTGCATAGCCGCGAGTCTCTACTGCTCTACTGCAAGGCACACCTTGCGAAGCACACCATTGTCTCTCATCGTCGGAAAATCTGTTGTCCTGCCCGAACCTTTTGATGTGATGGAGTCGTCTCTGACTTTGCTCAGTGCGCACATTCAATTTCTTGTAAGTAGCCGAGTATTGCTGAGCGTGTTGCTTAACATCCCTACAATGTTTTCACTTCACCGTCCCTTAGGATGACTATGAAGTGGCCTTCTGCGACTTCCGTGAGGGTGTTTCCGGTACTCTTCAGCTATTGATGTTACCCTCTCTCCATCAATTTCATATCATCAAATCCGCTCGCTAACAGCAGTCCTCATCTGACAGGAGACGCGGTTGGCCCTCATACATATCCCACTGGATCTATACTCGCATTTCCTCCAGGCTATCCTGCAGCTACTACTCCGCAACGAGGCTTCCAGTGACTCAGAAAGCAGCAACCGAGAAGCCCATTCACGCACGCCCAGCATTCAAGATGCCGAGCCCCCCTTTCTCAACGTTTCCGTTACGAACATCGAGTGCTCGATAGCGTGCTCAAGGTCTTCTGCTGATGAGCTCTTCGTTCCTGCAAGAAACAGTCTTGATCCAGCCTTGAGGGACCAAGTCTCCATCACCAATGAGGACTTTGTAGTGATGCAAGTAGACGGCGAAGGGCTTGATGCAGGCCAACGCGTTCTGGACCTTACGAGTCCGCTTGCCATGGCCGGAATGTAAGAACCTCGCTTCTCGGCCATATTCTCTCAAAGATGTTGCCGTGAATATACGCTGACTTGACAAAAGTTCGATCTTTTTCATCACGACCTATTTCGCCGACTACATCCTCGTCCCGCACCGCAGCCGCACCCCCGTCATCAAAGCCCTCGAAGCCCGCGGCTTCGCCTTCGACATGTCGACCTCGACCTACACCAACGCATCCCACAGCCGCAACCACTCCTCATCCTCCAACGAGACACCCCCGCCCGGCACGCCTCCCCCCGCCTCAATCTCCGAGCTCCAAACGCGCACCTTCGCAACCCTCAAACGCCGCAACATCGTCCCCACCGTCGATCCCGCCATCCGCCTCGTGCACTGCGCCGGCCGCCGCGACACGGACCTTGCGAACGGCTCTCGCCCCAGCGCCAACCGCACCGCGGAAGACAAGCTCCAGCTCGGACTGGTCAAATGCCTCATCTGCACCCCGCGCTTCCTCTCCCTAACCCTCACGGACACGGAACCTGCGTCCCTGCTCCTCGAGAAGCGGCTCCTGGCCAACTTTCCTGGAGATGACGATGTGCTGCTGGGCAGCAAAGACGACATCTTGATCCCGATTACGCTGGACCTGAGGGGCCTGCCGCTCGAGAGCACGGGCATTGTGTGTGGGGTTGCGAGCAGGCTAGTTGGCGGCACGACGGCGGGTTTGGAGGGGCCGGTCGAGATGAGCTATCTTTCGACGGCGAGGGCGGGGACGGTCATGGTGGCGGAAGAGGAGATCGAGAGGGCGATGTGGGCGCTGAGGGGGGTGGATAATGGGGTTCATGAGTTGGGCGATTGAGTAGAGTCTCCACCAATGAACCAAGATTACGAAAGACAATGGACAGGTTATGACTGCACGGGAACCACGCCAATGGGAGTGAAAAGGAAAAAGGGGTGTGTGGCTTACACGGTCCTCAAAGAGGGCATATCGGTGCCTAGCCATAGGGGACATAGCAGGTCCTACTTTCGGCCTTTACGGTTGCGGGCTACTGACGGAACGACTTCTCGCTGTCCGGGCCCCCGCTTGGATTGGGATCATCTTTGCATATATGGCTTCATTCGCTGCCTGGTCGGAGCTCCCTCGTATATGGAGCATGTGGGAGGGTTCTCGTGTTTACGCCTATTGATGACGGATGAGTCCATATGGATGGCTTGTAGGTTGCGTCTTAGATCACGCAGTCGTCGGCATCTGACATGTAGAAATGTTTCTTCCACAACTTTCGGGTTATTCTGTGAGAGACTCGTTGCTCCATTGAAGCGAAACGGCAGATCTGACTTGGTCATGTCCTAATTGCAATCATATACAATCAGACAATGTGTACCAGTGTCGATGGAATTAAGAACTCGTATTTGATAAAAGCTGCTCGCACTAAAAGAGCAATGTGCTACACATGAAACTGATTTTTCGCCATAGACCTCCCAAAGTAACCGCAACCTCGACCGCAATGTGCCCAGACCTAGCTCCACAGGACAAGAACATGCCACATTGGTGCCGATGTCCCTCCACTACAACCGCGCGCCATTACAGAAGCAAAACAAAGAGGTATCTAAAGAGGATCACAAGAAGGGAAGTCCGAATCCCGCCTAGCGACGACCATGCGACCTAGTAACGCTCCCCTGCAGCCCCTCAACCTCAACCTCCAGCTGCTTGATAACCGCATGGCTCTGCTCCAAGTCCTTATTCAGCCGATCCCGCTCCGAAATAAGCTTCTGCTCCCACTGCCTAAACCGCTGCTCCTCAACCTTGACCTGCTCGGTAAACCTCTTCCGCAGCGCCTCCTCCTCCTCCTTGAACTTGGGATTGTCCAACTTCCGTGGCCTCGCCTCCCCGAACTTGCGCGTCTCCATCTGCTGGGCGCGGTAGACTTCGTAGTGCGTCTCCTCGGTCGTGTGGATCAGGTCGAGCATGTGGGTGCGGATGAGAATGGCGCGGAGTTTCTTGAAGTCGCAGTGGTCTTCGTTCTCGACTTCGGCGACGCCCCAGGCGTATTGGCGGCCCTTGACGGTGCGGCCGTCGTTGGTCTGGACGTCTTTCTCGGAGCCGATGACGGAGAAGGGCATGGCGGAGATGAGGCTGCGGGCGTGCTGCAGGCCGGCTTCGTCGTCTTCCTCGAGAGGGGGCTGATAGATCTTTATGCCTTGGGCTTCGATTACCGCGCGTATCTACGAGAGTCAGCACGAGTTAAGCAGGATCGAGGCGGCGCTGCGTGCTTACCCTCTGCTTGAAGCGAGCAAGGTCCGTCGGGCTCAAGGTGTCAGCTTTGGCGACGACCGGAATGAGGTTGACGCGAGTGCAGAGCCTCTTCATCACTTCAATGTCCAGCGGCTTGAGCGTGTGGCCGGTGGGCCGGATGAAGTAGAGGCAGGCATGGACACGGAGGTCAATCTTCTCTGTGCGGCGAGGCTGCTGCTCCTGGAGCATGTACGACTCGTGCTGGTCGTCGAGGAACTCGATGATGGGTTGCCAGGAGTCACGGTTGTTGACGTAGTCGCCGAAGCCGGGTGTATCGATTACGGTGAGACGGACTGTCGGAGCTACTGTTAGCAACGTTGTACCTGGCAGTCCCATGGCACTAGCTCACCCTTGAAGAACTTCTCCTCGAGCTCAGCCTTGGTGATCTCAATCTCGACAGTCTTGTCGACCTGCTTGTTGTGGCGGCGCTTGTGGTCGGCGTAATTCTTGATGGTGGTGGAGAAGAGCGTGTTGATGAAGGTGGTCTTGCCCAGGCCAGACTCTCCGGCCACCATGATGGTGAAGGCGGCACCGCGCTTGGCGACAATCTTGTGCCGCTGGTTGGGGAGGTTGGCAATGCCAATTGGGGACGCTGACTCGGCCATCCTAGGGGTGCTGTCCGTCGGTGGTGCAGGTGGTGGTGCTGAAGGAGCTGCGGCGGTTGCGGGCTTCCAGAAACGAAGGGCGGAGTTCTCCTTTCTCAAGGGTTATTACTCTAGAACGCAGATGGCAAGGCGAGGAGAGTATTCACCATACAGTGCGGCTGCAGAGCAAAGAGGGTGGTGTTGTTGATTGTGTGTGTGAGTGTGTTTATCAGAGTGTTGGAGTTGGAAAGCGTGGAGAAGGCGCGCAGTAAATTGGCCGTCCGCGGGTGTTTCCCTCCCCTTTCGACTTCCCCTGCCGAGTCGGAGCATTGGACCCTGAAAATCATCCTGGATCAAAAGATTAGATAAGATAAGATAGATCTGAATCGAATAAGATAAGATTAGACAAGATAGCAACGAGCTTGGATCAGAAAAGTTTCGAGACGCAAAGGCTGCGGGCGACATCGACGACATCGACGACATCGACGAGCAAGTGCTGCTATGACTCGATAACAGCTGGTCTGCCTCTTACATTATGAAGACAGATTTCAAGGTAGGCTTGATCTGCCTCGACCAGAGAGAAACGCTCAGCTAACCCGTTCAGTTTTCTAACCTGCTCGGCACCGTATATAGCAGAGGCAACCTACTCTTTGCGCCGGACGGGACCTGCCTTCTATCGCCAGTAGGCAACCGAGTTTCAGTCTTCGATCTTGTCAAGTATGGCCCGCTCCGTCGAGCCCGCTGCATCCGAACATCCATAGCTCACACATGCCGCCAGCAACAAGTCCTGGACGCTCCCCTTCGCCCATCGCCGCAACATCGCTCGCCTAGCCCTAAATCCTCGTGGGAACCTCCTACTATCCGTCGACGAAGACGGTCGCGCAATCCTTACGAACCTGCCTCGGCGAATTGCCCTATACCACTTTTCGTTCCGGTCCGCCGTCTCCGCTCTTGTTTTCTCGCCATCCGGCCGACACTTTGCGGCAGGCGTAGGCAGAAAGATTGAAGTGTGGCACACACCTTCGACGCCGGATGCAGGCGCGGATGGCGAGCTAGAGTTTGCGCCTTTCGTGAAGCATAGGGAGTACGCCGGCCACTTCGACGTGGTTCAAAGCATAGAGTGGTCGAGCGACTCCAGGTTCTCCCTGAGCGCGTCAAAGGACTTGTCGGCGAGGATATGGAGCTTGGGTCCAGAAGAGGGCTTCGTGCCGACAACACTTGCAGGCCACCGGCAGGCGGTGCAAGGGGCGTGGTTCTCGAAAGATCAAGAGACGGTGGGTATGGGTTCTGCACCATGATGCTCCATTGATTAGAGCTGACCCAAACGCGCAGATATATACCGTGAGCAAGGATGGCGCCCTCTTCCAGTGGGCCTACATGCAGCGACCGGGTGCTGATGGCGAAGATGATGAGATGGACGATGAAAACATGCAGTGGAGGATTGTCGAGAGGCACTACTTCATGCAGAACAACGCAAATCTCACGTGTGCAGCATATCATGCGCAATCCAATCTGCTAGTCACTGGCTTCTCCAATGGCATCTTTTGCATACACGAGCTTCCAGACTTCAACGAAATACAGAAACTAAAGTAAGCCAGCCCCAGTTGCCTTGATGTCCTACTGCTGACTGTTCTCAGCATCTCTCAAAACGACATCGACTATGTCACCATCAACAAGACAGGCGAGTGGCTAGCCTTCGGCGCATCAAAATTTGGCCAGCTGCTCGTCTGGGAATGGCAGTCCGAGTCCTACATCCTAAAACAACAGGGCCACTTCGACTCGATGAACTCGATTGTCTATTCACCCGACGGCCAGCGAATTGTCACCACCGCAGACGACGGCAAGATCAAAGTCTGGGATGTAAATTCTGGCTTCTGCATCGTAACTTTCACAGAGCATACATCAGGTGTCACCGCCTGCGAGTTTGCGAAACGTGGTAACGTCCTGTTTACCGCGTCGCTAGACGGCTCAGTACGCGCCTGGGATCTCATCCGTTACCGAAATTTCCGCACCTTCACTGCACCCACCCGCCTCTCCTTCTCCTCTCTTGCTGTCGATCCCTCTGGCGAAGTCGTCTGCGCCGGCTCCCTCGGTGCCTTCGACATCCACACCTGGTCCGTCCAAACCGGACAGCTGCTCGACCAGCTCTCCGGCCACGAAGGGCCCGTGTCTTCCCTCGCCTTCGCCCCAGACGGCGGCACCCTTGTCTCAGGCAGCTGGGACCACACGGTCCGCATCTGGAACATCTTCGCACGCACCCAGACCTCCGAGCCCCTCCAACTCCAATCCGACGTCCTCTCCCTCGCCTTCCGCCCTGATTCGAAGCAAATCGCCGTCTCGACCCTCGACGGCCAACTAACCTTCTGGTATGTCGCCTCCGGAACACAAGAGCAAGGCCTCGCAGGCTCCCGCGACATCTCTGGCGGGCGCAAACTCACCGACCGCCGCACCGCAGCCAATGCAGCCGGCACCAAGAGCTTCACCTGCGTGACCTACTCCGCAGACGGCACCGCCGTCCTCGCCGGCGGCAACAGCAAGTACATCTGCCTGTACGACGTGCAATCCGGCGTGCTGGCCAAGAAATGGACCGTCAGCATCAACCTCTCGCTCGACGGGACGCAGGAATTCCTCAACAGCCGCCTGCTCACCGAAGCCGGGCCACGCGGCCTCATCGACGAGACAGGCGAGGCCGAAGATCTCGAAGATCGTCTTGACCGCGCGCTGCCAGGTGCCCAGAGAGGTGACAACGCGATGAGGAGAACAAGGCCGGAAGTCCGCGTGCCCGCGGTGGCGTTCTCACCGACCGGCCGCGCGTTCTGCGCAGCGAGCACGGAGGGACTGCTGATCTACAGCCTGGACAACACGCTGCAGTTCGATCCCTTCGATCTCGACGTTAGTGTCACGCCGGCGTCAACGCTCGCGGCGCTCTCGGCGCGCGACTTCCTGCGCGCGCTGGTCATGGCGTTCCGCCTTAACTCCACCCCGCTCATCCGACGCGTGTACGAGGGAGTGCCCGTGGCGGACATCGCGCTCGTGAGCCGAGGGGTGCCGGTCGTGTATTTGGCGCGGCTGTTGAGGTTTGTGGCGGCCCAGGCGGACGAGAGCCCGCATCTGGAGTTTAACTTGCTGTGGATTGAGGCGTTGTTGAGCTGCCATGGACGGTTGCTAAAGGAGAGGAGGGGGGAGTTTGAGGCGGATGTTAGGCTGGTGCAGAGGGCGGTGGGCAGGATTCAGAGGGAGTTGGGGAGGCTGGCGGACCGGAATTGCTTCTTGGTGGATTATTTGTTGAGTCAGGGTGTGGCCGAGAAGAAGGATCAGAAGGCGATTGAGTTTGCCGCCGCGGACTCAGGGAGTGGGGACGGGGAAGCGGTGGCAGGGGTGGAGGAGATGGGGGATTATACAAGTGGCGAAGACGAGTGGATGGGGTTGGATTGAAATAGGGTGGTGCTTCCTAGCTGGGCGTTGTCGTGTCTATGAATACCGCACTGGATGTATGGCAGTAGCAGTAAAACATCAGGGTTATCTCAAACCCAAGCCAGCACAATATCCTCCTTACGTCAAATAGTCAAACATGCTGACACGCCCTGCCAAATTACGGCCTTCCCAAAGTAGATGATCTGTCAAGTCTTCACAAAACAATCTGAAGTGTGAACTCGGTGTGTAGCCCCAGGCTCGTCGACCCTCTATCGACACACATGTAAAAGACTCGATTTTATACGCTCTCTACCACTCCTCTGATCTGATTATTGTAACACTACAGGTCGCTCTACCTTGAGCTGCCAAGCAACAATGGCTTGATAGCGTACCTGCCTCAGTGTCTGCCGGTGCCCGCTGCTATCGAGTGCAGAACCGAGCAATCCGACTTCCGATTGAGATCAGGAGTTTACAGCGTGTGAAACGAACAGCGAGGTTGGTAATAAGCAAGTGAGACGAAGAGAGAGAGGAGACAGTTGGCATTCTCCAAGAACGTTCTCCAGAACCGCACCCATTAAACGGCATTAGTAACAGTACTTTCGCCCCGACTACCCCTCAACCGTGCTGCGCCCGTCACCTCCAATGTGTGCTCCCCAACCCGAAATGATCTGCCCATTTGAGGCCCAACCTGATCAAGAGCCACGCACCAACCGATTCGTCGCACAAATACAATGCGAGCAGGCAACACTCCCTTCAACAAACTTAGAAATGCAAGCGCCCCCGCAAAAATCACGACAACATCTCGGCAACCGCAAGCGTCCTTTTCTTACTCGCCCTCCCAAACGTCTCCATCGTATGCTCCCAGACCTTCTGCGGTAGCCCCTCTTCCCGATAGCGTTCCATAATCCCTTTCTGGTCCAAGGGATCGCTATCCCAGTCCAGCAAATACACACCCCCGCCCCGTTCCCCCGTCGAAGCCATCATGACCTCCAGCCCATCGGCCAGCGGCACGCCGGCCCCGTTCAAGGGCGAGCGGTACGCGCAGCTGGTTACCTGGAAGAGGTGTCGCTCGCCGCTCTCGCTGACGTCCAGGATCCAGGGCGTCATGAGGCTGTAGAAGATTTTTGCGGCGAGGCGGATCGGGCCGGTGAGTTGGTTCACTATGCCGGTCTTCATCGTTCCGGGGTCTGCGGGGTAGCGGTTAGCTGTTGCTCATAACCCTTGGCCGAGGATGATGATGATGGGGGCCACTTGCAGCAGTGCATGAAGGTGACGGCTGGATGCCGTTTGCTGAGCTCCTCGAGCGCGAAGTCGGTCATCACCACGCAGTGCGCCAGCGAGCAGTGCAGCGAGTAGTTGTGCTTGAGGTCGAGGTCGTCGGTGTGGATCTCGTGCTCGCTGCCAGCGGCTAGCACGCTCGTGACGCGGGCGAGTTCGCCCGCAGACGCAGCGGCTTCGAGGAGGGGCATCAGTTGTTGGGCGAAGCGGATGCGGGAGTAGTAGTTCATGGCCATCTTTGTGTCGAGGCCTTCCACGGTTTCTGGAGATGGAGTGAGCACATCATGAGTCAGAGGAGACAAAGTAGTCTTGCGTGTGTGCAATATTGTTTTGGTATTCACAAAGGCACACTCGGTAAAGAGCGGGATCACGTTATAACAATAATATAGATGCCATACCTTGTCTGCCCTTCAGAGTCATGAAGCCCGCTGTGAGGAAAAGACTGTTGATCTTTGTCTCCCTACGCATAATCTCGGCACATACTTCATCCACATTTCTTATCAGGGTGAGGTCCTTATGAATGTAAAAAGCCTCGCCTTCAGGATTCGACTTGAGCAATTCAGCCACAACGCGTTCGCATTTCTCTCGAGTCCTATTAATCAGATAAGAAAACACGTGATAGGGTGCAGGGATGGCCGACGTGCCTTCCAATAACGTATAGACGGGGACGGTTAGTGCTCTTGAAGAGCTCCTTCGCCGTGGACTCCCCTATGCCGCTCGACGCGCCGACTGCACCTCTAGTGTCAAACCAAGAAGCGGGTATCCGCAGTGTGTGATGGGGCTGACGTACCGTATACGCCCACGAGCCCGGAGAGACGTCCGCATTGGGCGTTTGAAGCTCTTATATTGTCAAGAACCACCATGCTACTAGTAGGTGGAGCTGCCGTCGAAGTCTGTCTCGTTGGAAGAAAGCGTCGATATTACGAGCAGGCTTGGTGGCGAGAATGACAGAGGAATGTGTGATGACGGGAGATGCACGAGATGAGGCTGAGAGTGCAGAAAAGATGGAGGGGCGAAGGAGCTGGAGCCGACGGTGATTATTGACGATGATGCTGATGCTGGTGCAAAGCGGGCGTGAGCATTGTGGTCCTCGGCGCTTTCTCCGGAGATCGGCCCGCCTGCGATTCGCCCACCGCTGTACCCTTGCAGTTCTGCCACCTTCAACAATTGTTCAGCGCAAGAGCTGTGGCTTCGATCGTCTGCATGGAGTACATATACGCCCTCGTGGCGGGAATGTCGCGTGCATTGTATTCGTGGGAGCTCGAGGCTGATATGATATACAATTTGCGAAGGCAGCCAATCTCCTGCCACAGAGTGTGTTCCTCTGAAGCGCATACGAGGTGATCGTCCGATAGCCATCAAAGCACTTCTCGGCACTCTGCTGCAGAGTCTCGCGAGTTCCGGACATGACGCCAGCGAGCCACTTTGCTACTCAGCGGTAGTTCTGACGGCTTCAACGCTCGTTCCTGAACTTTGCGCACAGCGCTGCAAAGACCAATCTACAAGAAATGCCGCATACCACTCGTACAAGGTCAGGCCTTAGCAGACGCTGGGTGGTGGTCGGAACGTCCCAGATAATTGCTCAGGCGAAGGGAGCCGGCGAAGGTGACAGCGGTGTTGCTTGTTGCTCTAGTGCCCTTTTGTGGGATGCGATATCTTCAGTCGCCGTAGATGCGCTTCCACGAGAGATGGTGGCCGGTCTACGCTGGGTGACTCTGAGCTGGTAGATTGAGCTTCGGATTTTGCAGCAGGTCCCCACTGACAGCACCCATGGAGGCCGCCATCATTGCCAATGGAGTGTCCGTGCTAGGCTTCGGCTTCTCCTTGACGTGCTTATTCTCAAGTAAGGTGAAGCCTGCCTGTTCTCTCTCTGTTGCTTCCAACGAGTTGTCGAGCGCCTGTTGCTTTAGGAGAACACCGGCGGCCAGAGCTGCGGCAGCGTGATCAGCTTCGTGCTGCGCGTCCGACACATCGGCCTTCCGCTTCTTCCGCATTGATGATAAGTCGATGGTATTGACTTCGCGGCCTCTGACAGTTGTCTCCCGACCGACTAACTTTCGACCGACAACCGACCTGCCCCAGTTACTCGTGCGGTCTGCCAGCACTGCAACTTCGTCAATCCACCTCTGAGTGCTGCTTGCGGCAACCGCTGAATCCGCAAAATCTAGACGGAGCAATATGTCATGGGCGCGCTTGTAATCTTTCTCGTCCAGAACTATCTCCCCACGGCTTACTTCAGGCCAGATGTAGTACTTGCTCTCCTCCGATACCGACATTGCGGAGAGATTCGAGGAGCCGGATTTAATGCGGGGGAGTCGTGGAAGGATGGGTCCTGTGAGCTTCCTTGTCTTCGACAAAGATCGAGCTTCCCGAAGAGGCACAGCTTCAAGTAGAGGCGAATTGGGTGCCAGGGAAGGCTCTCTGTCCGTTGCTGTCCCCTGAGATGCATCTGCTACCCCAGGAGGTGTGAAGACTACCCAGATGAACCCGACCAGCCGGCCTGACGAGCATTCTTGCCTGAATGACATCATCTCCCAGAATTGCTCCAGAGTCTTGACGCTCTTCCATTGTCCGTTACCGCGGCTTGGTGTGCTCGCTGACAGGGTATTCGCATCGGGTATCTCGTCGTCCAACTCATCTAGGAATCTAGCCTTGGGATCATCCGGAAAGTGAGGTATTAGGCTTCTTGGCGGTGCGGCTGGCGACATGGAGATTTGCTCGAGGGGATGTCCATGCTTCCATCTCTTCTGGGAAGGTGGATCTGATCGAACGGTCGGTGGGAAGAAGCGTGTGGTATCGTGCTCATCAGATCCGGGTACGACGAGGTAACCCTGGGCTGTGATTTTCACGCGGGGTTCCTGTTCCTCCCAAGCGGTATCCGGCACTCCGTACTCAGGTGCGTACTCGCGCAGGACTGGGTCTAGGACTTTGCACCACCACTTGACAAGCCCTCTATCGTCCAGGACATGCTTGTTACTATTCTCGATGCTCCCCGGGAAGAGGTATTGGTCCTGGGCTCTTGCGAACAAGGACACGACGAGCCTCTTGTTGGGTCTTTGTCGGTATTGTACGAGGTAGGAGACGAAGGTCGAAATTATTGCTTTTAACGGTGAGGCTTGCGTCCGCGGCAAGGTGAGGTCAGAGAGGTAGCCCGTAGAGTCCGCTTTGGAGACAAATATCGTGGTGAGAATTTCTGTTGAGTACACGAAGACCTCGATGGCGAGAATGAAGACATTGCTTTCATTGTGACTCTCCTTGGACGGGATCGAAACGGTCAGGAATTGATGTTCGCAGTACGTCCGCTCCGGCTTTGCGCCAGGTGGAGCAGCGAGTATGGGTGTACACTTCGTCGGCGGCGTTGAGAGGTGGTGGAATGTGAATGCAACGTCTTCTGGAAGCACTTGGGCTAACCTGTCCGTGAGCGACTTCTCAGAAGTCAACATGTCAGCTCGGGATGTGGTGGTGGTGGTGGTGGTGGTGGTGGTGTTTGTGGACGAGAACGCGTCGAATTTAAATACTTAAGTACTGTAGCTCCTGTCCAAGCGCGGAACTTCTCTCCGGAGCTTGAAATTCGACACTCGAGTTTCCCAGCGGAGGAGAGCGCCGCAACCATACACACCGCACGCTTTTACCACCATCGTCCTTTCTTTCTTTTAACCTGTTCAAACTGTACACTCGGACACAAATCCGATGCCTTCACCGTCGCCAACCCGCTCGCTCCTCGCCGCCGCCCGCCCCAGCACTCTCCGCCGCTCCCTCCGCCCATCCACCTCCGCAACCCCCGTGTCCACATCCTGCATCTCCTGCCGCGCCCAGCGCCCCTTCACCACCGCCCCATTCCAGCGACAAGAGATTGACGTCGAGCCCGTCGACCGCCCGCGATGGCAGCAGACTCCGCGCGCTATGGTTGCCCCCGTGCGCTCACGCCCCGTACCACGCGACAACTTCTACAAGGTGAACAGCGATCCGCGGAAGCTTGACGAGGCGTACAATAAGATGCTGGGGAAGGGCGGCGACAAGATGCTGAGCGAGGAGGTCAAGTGGTTGGCGGTTACGCACAAGAGCTTTGATCATGGCCGGAGGGGGTTCAACGACCGGTTAGCGTTGCTCGGTACGTTTACGAGTCCGGGTTGAAACAGGAAAGCATCGGGCTTGGAGGATTGGCTGACGATACAATCGGACAGGCAAGCGGATAGTAGAGCTGCAAACATCTCTGGCGCTTCTAGCGGCGCCGAAAAGCCCGCAGCCGTCCTGGAGCGATGAGTACGGGCGGAAACCGTTTCAGCATCCGGCGTTGGATGGGCTACCGAATCTCACAGAGCATGCAAAAAGAGAGACGTTGGACAAACGGCGACTGGCCAACTTGGCGCAGACTTATGGGCTTGGCGGTGTTGTAAGATGGAAGCCGAAGAAGGTGTGTGCACGCCGGGTCGATCAGCCTTTATTACTGTAGGGCGTTACTGACTTGTGGATGGCGTAGTCGGATAACCTACAGGGCTCTGGAGTCGACACCGTGATGGCCAATACCATCTACGCGGTAGTTGGAGCGATTGCACTGGAAAAGGGCGGAGAAGTTGCAATCAAGACGGTGCGGGACACGATATTACGGCCCTTGGGCCTGTAATGGGCATGAAGAGGCGAATCCCTGTTTTGTGGGCTGTACAAGAAGTAATAGATCACCGGAAGCTGGCGTTCCCGATAGAGCGCATCCCAGATCGGTATGTACAGTATACTCTTTGTCGATAGCTCAGAACTGTACAGACTACATGTGAACTTTTGCGGCGGTGATGTCTATAACCGTTTTACTTAAAAAGCATTAAATGTCTCAAAACAGACATTACGCACTACGAGTGGCAATACTCTACAGAAACCCACGAGACACAATCAAGAACCGCCAACTTAAGGCTGGAAAAAGGTACTGCTACTGAATCATCACCTAAGTCTTCAAGAACCCATTTTGATCATACAAACTCCCCGGCGTCCCCTGCACACTAGCCGGCACGACCCTAACCTTCGGCGTCACCACCTCCGTCCCCAATGCACCCGCCATCTTAACCGGCGAGGCCGAATCACTCCTCCGCTTTTCCTTCATCCCCACATCTGCCTGCTTCCATGCCATCTCTCCGTTTTCCCAAACGCTATTCCTCTTGCTCCTCCCCTCCTCATCACCCCCCTTTGGAAAAGTTTCGCCCTCATCCGCCGCCTCCGGGACCGGCTCAAACGCAGCTGTTAAGCTCGCACAGCTGTCTAGCTCAGGCAGCGATGGGCTAGCTGCGCGGCCCATGTAGAGGTAGCGTCTGTCGGCACGAGACTCAATCGTTGCTTCCGAGTTCATGCGACGAAGCTGGAGTACTGCCCTTCGCAGGTCTCTGGGCGGTTGCTCGCGCGGGCCTTTGGGGATCCCTATTGCTATGGCTGGCGGTGTTGGTATTCTTGTGGCTGGCGGCATGACTAGCTCGTCGAATGGGTTGTTTCTTGGTGAAAGGCTGGGTGTTTTCGGAAGGTCTGTCGCTGCGGCGATGAAGGACGGCGGCCGGAGGGTTTTCGGTGAGCAGGGAGGCGATTCTGCGGGAGTCTCCGTGGTGAAATCGTCTGATTGCTCTTCTTTGGGTTGCAAGCGTAACGGGCTCACGTCGAGCTTCGGGTACTGCAAGATTGGGTCTATTGGCGACTCGTCCTGCTCACTCCTGATCTTCTCTGGGTCCAACGGAGAGGGTTGCGGGGATAACGAGTACTCCTGTCCCTCTGATCGATCGGTATCCGTGGATGGCCGAGTGAGCTCTAGAACTGGCGGCGGCGGCACCTGTAGTGATGGATTGGTCTTGGCTGGGCTCGGAAAGGCTGGAATGCTGAAGATGGATGAGGTTGCGCTAAAGCGGACCGATGCTCGCCTGTTCGGCGAGGCAGAACTGAAGTAGGAATCGTTGCTGCCTTGCTTGTAACTCGCAAGGGACAAAGTGGGGGAAGTCAGGGTAAGAGCGGCGCGAAGGGACGTGGGATTTAATTTGACGTCTGGAGCGAAGATGGAGGCACTGGGCGGACGAGGCAGGGCTCGTGTGCCGGAAAGGCCGGGGCCTGTCTTCTTTGGTGAAGTCTGATCAGGTGATTCTTCTTCAATCTCGTGCATAGTGGATGGCGTACCGGACCTGCTGGGCGGACCAAGGATTGTCGGCGCTAAAGATATTCGAACGCAGTTCTGGCGGCGGTGTCCCTTCCGTGCACTAGGACTTCCCTTTAGAGCCGAAGGCTTGCCGGACTGCAGCGGCGATGGATCCCACTGGAATGGATTACCGTTACTACTACTTGTCGAAGAAGGCCTGGACGAAGCCTGTGATGTCTGGCGAGAGGGAAACAACTGGTTGCCAGAAATATCACGAAGGGCGCTGGACATTCGTCGCTCTGCCGGCGATCCGGATACAGTGACGTGCGACCGTCTGCGTCTCTGCGGAGTGCTCATAGCCCGCCCACGCCGAGTTGATGCTGGAGACGGCAAGCGCGATAGATGTAGGCTGGCGGCAGCCTTGAGCTTGCAGATGGATAGGCTATTGCTGCTGCTTGCTGAGTCTACGCTACTGTCACGGGAAATCCCACTGAATGTACTATCTGCTCTATAGCATGTGATGTTCGCATTCATCGATTCCTGGGTCGGTCGATGTTGTATTCTGCCACGCATTGTGACTGTATCACGGAATGGCCGCTGTCCGCTCAGCAGAGCATTTCCCCATTCTAGATTTGCGCCCTTCTTGTGCTGGAACGTTGAGCCCTTTGAATGCGTGGGACTGGAAGTGGCGGCGAGTATGGAGCTGTGCGCCGACTCTGAGCTGGATGTGGAACAACGGCAGCTTAGATCTTCTTTCTTGTTGGCATCTTTGTCTCTGTCCGCCCGCGTTACCCGCAGCGGTACAGGCGGGACGGGCGTGTCAGGGGCTTCTCCGGGTCCTTGACTACACAGACTTATCGATCTGGAATGCATTGGTAGTCGAGGAATCCGCGAGGCTTGAGTGAGAATAGCATTAGGCGGGATAGGACCCGTGACTGATGCGATCGACTTGGCCCTGTGGGGCCTAGGACATCTGATCGGTAGACTATCCTTTACCTCTGGAACGTCAGTATCCAACAAGATCAACGGAGACTCCTCGGTCGAGACGAGCTTAGCTGTGGGAGGATCAGCAGCTGATGACGGCTGTACGCCGCTCTCAGTCTTGCGTTCTGCTGTTGGGTCCCGTTCTGATGGCCCAGGAGATGCTGAAAGGCCAACCTGGCATCCTTCTGCCATAGGCGTCTGAGATGAGACCGGAAACATTGGCGACCTGGGGCTCTCGATTATTGCGGACAGGCGAGGTGCCCTGACTTTCTTCAGTCGTGTAGTTGTCGCAGATGCTGGTCGCTTAGAAAATGGCCGTAAGAAGAACGCAAAGCCGGATTGGCCTGTGTGGTCGTCAACTAGAGGCGTGTGACCCGTATGAGATCCATGCCCAGGTTGTGCCACATTCTCATGAGACGGCAGGTGGCCCCAGCCTAATACAGTGTTGTAGGGCATGAAAGTGCTTCGTCTCAAAACAGTGTGTGGTCTAGAAACCATCGGTTGGTTTGCGTCATTAGCGTTCTGTGTGTTGTGTTGCCTGTATACTAAGCCCCTCTGCTCGAGGTCCGCGAGTAACCGCCGATGATTTTTGACAGCGCGTATCAGAAGGAATACGATACATAGCAAGGCGATGAAAACCACCGCAACGGCGACTGGTATAGCGATCAAGGCTTCAGTGCTGAGTTGAGACGAAGAAGTGATTCCGTCCGTTGGCTCCATCTTCGCGCCAAGGCGACAAGGCAGCGGTATCACCAGCGGTTGGGGATGTTGGTGGCTTCGGCGCCCTTTCGTTAAACAGGTTTGGGGGACGCCCGACTCAAAGCTGTACGGACAGCACCGAGCTGGCAGCTATCCAGAGGTATTGCTGAGGATACTGTTGAACGCCTTTCCATACGGGACGCACCGGGGGGTCCTAGACAATCAATGGCTGTATACCGCTAAGGACCGGAAAACTATGCCACTGGATGGCGAAGATTGACCTTACAACGCTTTGTGGCAGGTAAGAAAACTTGAAAATTTAGGTCGAAGATGAGGATTGTTTTGGGACTCGATCAAAACAAGCGCGGAGGAATGTGACAGAAGGTGGAGCATACCACGAACCATGAAATACAGACGGAAGCAAGGGATGCAGATAAGAAATCTTGGCTATTCTTTCTCAGTATTTCGTAGGCGCTTACGAACCGGTCATTTTGGCGCTCCTCTCAGTCAGATGGAGGGCCTCGCCATGTACCGTATCAGAGTTGGACCCAGATCTGGATCTTCATCATGCCTCAATGCTTTATGTCGACAACTAAGGTACGCATACACAAGCTGCAGATGTGCTGCCAGCACATACGAGGACTTAAAATAGTTAGACGATGCTCATTGCATACACGGAGATAGGTAGCAGGTAAGCGCGAGCGAGCATCTTCAATCACGTAACAGTTTGCCACTATGGCGGATCAGGACCATAACAAGCTGGAACATCGGCTTGACAGCTTTGGGCGCGTGGCCCTCGCCGCCGCGGACTCTACTCAGCGGTTGAGTGGTGAATCGGTGATGCGGCGATGAGTTACATGGAGAGGCAGCAGTATCTTGACGGGATGAGGTCCGGTCGGGAGCTGCAGGCAAGCGAACGGTCGAGGAACCGTAGATGAACACGTGGCGGGTATGTGGGCATCTCGGTCGCGCTTCAATCCGCCACATACTTTCTCCCGAGCCCTTGGACCATGACGTTTTGGGACGCGGGAAGCAGCTCGAGCTCTCTGTAGCTCAACCCCACCAAGGGTCCCGCTCGGTGACCGTAGATATCTACAGAACAGCTGGTTGTGCTGGAGAAATTCAAGGCACCAATGCTGCCAATTGGATCGGTGGATGAAACGTATTCAGCTCGGCAGGCCTTTTCAACAGTGCGAAGAACTGATGAGTGCGAGAAGCGCCAGCTTCTCTGGAACAGAGCCAGCTGCAGCACCCCACTTGCCTTAACTAGCCCTGATAGCCCTGGTTCGATGAGCGAAATCTGCCCCTCAACGCCACGACCCTGACGCACATAAGCAACTCGTTCCGCAGTTTCTTCGACCCCTCTTCGTCTTCCTCTCATATGTTCTCAATCCATCTGTGAATATATTACCGAAAACACACATATCACCTACTTCTACACCATAAATCTTGCACAATGTCTGACGGCGCAATCGAGAAGGGTGTCTTCACCAAGAACAACACCCAGGCTCCCAAGGTGAGTGGCAGCTTAATGTCATCGTCATATGATGACTCAATTGACTGACTACCCTCTAGGATGGGCGAATCCTTCCCCTCTTCTCTTTGAAGGGGAAGACCGCCATCGTTTCCGGCGCTGGAGCCGGTATCGGTCTTGCCGTTGCTCAGGGCTTCGCTGAGGCCGGTGCTGACGTCGCCATCTGGTACAACAGCAACAAGAAGGCCATTGACCGTGCCTCTGATATCGAGAAGGAGTATGGCGTGAAATGTACGTAGATACTCTGCCTCTCATCTGTGAGTTAGCAGCTGACTTTTGCCCAGGCAAGGCTTACCAGGTCAACGTCACCGACGAGGCCTCCGTCAAGAAGGCCGTCAACGAAATTGTCGACGAGTTCAACGGCCGCCTCGACGTCTTTGTCGCCAACTCCGGAATCCCTTGGACCCAGGGTCCTGCCACTGACGGCGAGATCTCCCACTACCACAAAGTTGTTTCGACTGACCTTGACGGCACGTTCTTCTGCGCTCGTGCCGCCGCCGACGTCTGGAGGCGCCAGTGGAAGGAGGGTAAGGACAGCAAGGGGAACAAGCTCGAGAACTTCAGCTACGGTAGTTTCATCGCTACGGCCTCCATGTCAGGCCACATCGTGAACATCCCTCAGCTACAGGCTGCGTACAACGCTGCCAAGGCTGGTGTGATCCACCTTTGTAAGCGGCACTGACGTTGCCAGAACTTGTTGTGAGTCCATAGCTGACATGTCAACAGGCCGCTCCCTCGCCGTTGAGTGGGTCAAGTACGCCCGCGCCAACTCTATCTCTCCTGGCTACATGGCCACCGAGATCTCCGACTTCATCCCCCAGGAGACCAAAGATATCTGGAAGAGCAAGATCCCCATGGGCCGCGAGGGTGAGACGGTGGAGCTCAAGGGTGCTTTCTTGTACTTCGCCTCAGATGCTTCCACTTACACCACGGGTGCCGATCTCATCGTCGGTAAGTTTACTCCCTACACTCCTACCTTTCCCTACCCACTGTACGTGATGCTGATGACCCCGTGTCGCGCTTAAGATGGTGGTTACTGCCTCCCCTAGTTTGATAACGGCGTCGTCAAAGGTGAGAAAAGTGACGCTACTCGTTCAATATCGATGGTTGTATGAAAATCTACATGAAACTGGGGACTTGTATCTAGCGAATCTTGAAGGTAGAGGTGAAAACTCGAGAGAATCAGTTGAAAGCAGTAGTTCTTGAGTGATTGACTACGATATCAAGTGAATGAACTGCGAAGACACGGCAGAAGATAGACAGTCCCCAATGTGAGCCGCTACGCGGACTATCATCTTGAGAAGATGTGAGGCCGGGAGTAGTTGTAGCCGTTGAACATCCGAGGCATTAGCGTCTCCTTCGATAAGTACGCGACCGCTTTATATTAGCATTCCCAAAGAAAGTGATTCTTAGTTCGGAAATTACAGAGAAGCGAAATCCTTCTGGGACCTTGGACGAGAGTTCACAAAGCTCATAGCTCCTCGATCTTATCTTATCTTCCGCCCTCGATCTTCTCCCCTGGGGCTCTTATTGCGCATCAACCCCAATGACTCTGTCCATGAAATATAATGCCTGACGAACGTTCGTGTAGTTCGCCGAAGCAGAAACTCCAACATGCTAACCTCTCTATACAGACCCCCACCACCTTCTTCAACAAATCCCCCTCACCGTCTCTCCATTTCTTTCCCTACCAACCGCCACTACCCTACCGTATACCTACAAATCCCTCCCCTCGACCCTACCTCCATCTTCCATTGACGCACCCTCCACAAGCTCCACCACCGATCCCGTATCTCGAACCCTTCGGAAGCCTCAGTATGTCGTGTCCGAATCAGGCCATGCGGCGCACCCAGACGACATCATAGAGTCCTGCCGCAAGCTGCAAGAGCACCTGACTCGCATGGAGTCTGAAGCCCGGACACTTGTGCAGAAATGGCAGAGCGATATCAGGGAGCGGGATCTGCAGGAGAAGCGGAGGGTCGCGCCCGGTTGGTTGGATGTGCAGGAGGGAGAACGGATGCTTGTGCCTGAGAGGACGAGGCGGGATGGCGCAGAGGGTGGTGGGGCTGGGTCCCAGGTTAAGGATTTGATGATGGGGGATGAAGACATGGCTGGCATTAGGCATGATGCAAGTAAGGAGAATAGGGAAGGCGAAGAGCTGGATCGCGCGTTTGGTGGTCTAGGATTGAGATGAGCGCCGACAAAGTGAGTGGCATTTTCTGGGAATTCTGGCGTTGTAAGATCGGGGCATGCAATCACGGATGCACGCTGCTTGGCAGTGAGGATGACGGCTTGAGGTTTCAATCACCTCGCAGACTGCGTATAGTTGCGGCGACAATACTCGTACCCCAAGGGCTTATCCTTCGGAGTTAGCGGAGTTAGTCTTGTCAGGCAGAAACATACTCCGCAGTAAAGCCGATCTGTTTTGAATGATTTCGATTGCGAACTACTCGTATGAGCATCATCAATATATTACAGCAGCGCTGAGCCAAACCTAATTAACAGCCCGGCATATCCACCCAGACCGAACAACACGATGGCCCTTGAGATCGTCCGCGAGGAACCCACCCTTGACTCCTTCACCAGCCTCGAGGAGCATCAGTCGCAAACCCCAGGCCAGTTCTACGGCGGGAAGCCCGTCCTGCACCACTACACATCAAACGCCCAGCTACTCATTGGGGAAACTCAGCTTGACGCACAGCCCGCATTCGCGGTACTTCGCAAACCAGGCGCCGATCCAGCCACTGTATCTGCTATCAATGGCGGTGCAAATGGGCACCGCCACTCGGAGACGGTCACAGTCCCTCACATCGATGTCTGGGTAACCTCTGAGTGCGTTCTGCCATCCCAAACCTGACATTGGCTGCTGTGGCTAACTCTATAACAGGCGGCTTATTCTCTTCTCTACCCACACAAGATCCGGCGTGTCCATTCCATACCCAAACATCTCACTCCACGCTATACAACGGCTCTCCGCACCGGTCTCTACTGCACCTGTTGCAGACCAGCAGGGCTTATACATGCAGCTTACTCTCAACGACACCGAGACTATCAACTCGGAAGAAGACATCGAAACCGTGGAGATCACGCTCATCCCTACCACCACGTCCACAGTCGAAGAAGCTGCCATAACATCTGTCCCAAATCCCACAGCGTCGGCAACATCTGAAGCCACGCCTCCGCTGGTGCGAGAACTTAGAGCAACAGAATCTACATCGCCTATCCGCGCCCTCTTTGCCGCCGTATCCGCCTGCGCAGACCTACATCCAGATCCGGCAACTGGTTCAGATGAGGAAGGGGATCCGCAAACAGCGATGCCTGGCGCGGGTGGGTGGATAACATCAGAGAACATGCACGAATTCTTTGACGAGGATGGGCAATTCGTTGGTGGAGGGACTCTTGGGGGCGGCGCGGGGACAGTTAGGGGAAGGGATGAGGAGGATGAGGGGCCGGAAGCGGTAATGGACGAAGAAGGAGAGGAAACAAAGTGGCGGAGAACTGAGTGAAGTGTTTGACATCAGTAAGGGACGCGGTGGATTTCTAGCTCCTGTGGAACGGATCTTGATCACAACGATACGGTTGGCAAAGGTCCCGACTTATCTTGTTCATCTTATGATCCTGGGAAATGCTACATCATCCAGCATACTGCCGCCATGGATACCGCCCTACTGAGAAGAATGGATCATCCCAGTGGCAGAGAAAAGCTAGATGTATCCCGTCGCTCTGCGTTCATCGCTTGCACGCCAGCGGATGGTGCCTGGAGAGCTTTGAAAGGCAAGTTCGCTAGACTCCCAAGATCATGAAACCCGAGTTAGGTCATGACATTAAGGGAACGTTGCGCGATTGTACTCTAGAGATGAAGAGAAATGACTAGAAGGTAGAGAAAACAGAATCAAGCTCCACGAGTCTCTTCAAGGTGTTGCAGACCCCCAACATCTACTCGCTGTGGAAAAACTTCAATGACCTTGAGATACCAAGATATAGCCAGGGTAAAGACAATGTCCTTGCGCCAAGCATCAACGCGGGAACACCAAGGCCAGAACGGCTCGGGGCGGTTCGCATCTGTCTAAGAGATGGCCGGCAGGAGCGGCTCATTGGCTCGATGCCTTTAGGAAACGATCGCCTTGCAACCAACCCATAGCTCAGAAAGGGCCAAGGTGCTTGTCTGCAACAACCTCGCCAGTGATCTTACGTATCGGAGCCACACCGAGTTTCGATAAACCGCTACAATCGAGTACATGATTAATGGAAACCATCAGCGGGCTCTCTAGGAGTAGTGCGGTGCTCGCTATAGCTATCAAAAAGCGAAGTCGGCTACTGAGGCGAGGGCCGCCGCTCTCCAAGACCAGCACAGCAGGTCCCCTGCAGCCACTTGCTTATCGTTATCATACAAACAACATAACCAGACCAACTGATAGGTACAGAACCAGAGCTGGATATCCGAAAAGTCGAAGGACTATTTAAGCACTGTGTGCTCCACGTCTCGCGTGTGGCAGTGAGTAATCTTTTGCATTACCTCTACCGTCTGTCAAGACTCAGGCATAGTATACTGTACTGACTCGCGCTGCAATGAAGTCGATACCAGGCTTTGAGAGGCAGACACTCTATGTGGAGCAGCCAAAGAGCGTATTCGCGGACGGCAATGCAAGATGGTAATCCATCCTTGCGGCCGTGCTCATCTTGGAAAATTATCTAACAGGCCGAGCAGGACAAACAAAGACTTAGACCCCGTCCCGAAGAACGCACGGAAATGGGGCGTCACCAGCTTTATTGCGTATTGGATATCTGATGCCTTCAATGCCGCGACTTGGCAGTTCGCCAGCAGTATCATTGCTATCGGCCTTACGTACCGGGAAGCCATAGGCATCACTGCTTTGGCGTTCTTCATCATCAGCTTCGTGATCGCTTTCAATGGGGCTACCGGTGTTAGTATATCGCGCCTCGATTAGCCTCACTCTATCTGTGCTGATACATGTGCTTGTAGTTCATCATGCACCCTTCCCAGTCATTGCCCGAGCAAGCTGGGGTTTCTGGGGGTCATACATCGCCATTGTATCTCGTGCCATTCTGGCCATTTTCTGGTTCGCGATACAGACTATGAACGGAGCGAACACCGTACGGGTCATGATAGGCGCGATCTGGCCGTCCTTCCTGACTCTGCCAAATCACATCCCTAAAGACCAGGGCATAACGACCAACACTATGATCTCCTTCTTCGTCTTCTGGCTCATCCAGGTCCCTTTCCTTTACATGCATCCCAACAACCTGCGCTGGCTCTTCATGGCCAAGTCGGTGATCGTACCCCCGGCGTGGATAGCCATTCTCATCTGGGCCTTCGTCTCCACCAACGACAGCGAGAACTCCATGTGGAACCAAACAGCCACCATCTCCGGCAGCGCCTACAGCTGGGCGTTTCTGGCGTCGCTGACCTCTGTCATAGGCAACTACGCCACACTCTCGGTCAATCAAGGTGAGTAGCAGAGCTCCCTCTATATGAGAAAAGCATCAATCCACTGAGTTCTGATCTTCTGGTTTAAACAATCAAGCGGACTTCTCCCGGTACTCCCGCGTAAGCGTCAAGTGGCAATGCCTCTACGTACCCATGCTCCCCATCGTCTTCACCTTCATCGCCTTCATCGGCATCGCCGCCACATCTGCGGGGGCTGTCCGCTACGGCGAAGTGCTGTGGGATCCCATGGCCTTGATCTCAAATTGGTCCTCGCGCGCCTGCCGCTTCTTCGCAGCCTTTTCCTTCGCCCTCGCCGCGTTGGGTGTCAACATCTCCGCGAACAGTTTGTCAGCCGCCAACGACCTCACTGCGCTATTTCCCCAGTTCATCAACATCAGGAGAGGACAGCTGCTGTGCGCAGTAATAGCCTGGGCGCTCGTCCCCTGGAAGATTCTGGCGTCGGCGGGATCCTTCCTTAACTTCATGGCCGCATACGCCGTCTTCTTAGGCCCGATCGCCGCAATCATGCTTTTCGACTTCTGGGTTGTGCATAACCGCAAGTACGACACCCTGGCCCTCTACAACTACAACGGCATCTACAAGTACTATCACGGCTTCAACTGGCGGGCCATTGTCGCCTTCCTTGCCGGAGTGGCGCCCAATATGCCTGGCTTCATCAACGGAGTCAACCCCAGTGTTGATGTGGGGGTGGGAGTCAGACCGTATCAGTTCGGATGGTTGCTAGGATTCACGATCACGACGATATTTTACGTGGGACTGGAGAAGATATTTCCACCGCGGGAAACGTTCATCGAAAGGGCGGTGTTGCCGGATGAGGTTTACGAGAGGCATGAGGAGATCGAAGGGGTGGGTATTGAGGTGGAAATGGGAGATGAGGATAACGTAGGGGAGAAGAAAGGCTTCAAGGCTTGGGCGGATAGGATGCTATAGGTTGAGATGGGCGTGCAAGGCGCGAGCTGCTTCTGTTGGTATTCTCGCATTCATGCGCAGCTATACAAGTTCATAGGTGATTTCCATTGAATTTAATGTACTAATGGCTATCGCAGCAGCCCACTTGCGCCCCTTGCGGACGTTACTCAGATGTCTGTGATAATCTAGCTATCTCTAAGCCAGCGCTTTCACTTCCCACTACACCTCAGAGAAGGCTGCTGATTCTGTACTTTCTGCTATGGTGTGCTATCTGGGTGCGCTATCTACAAAGCGTCAACGCAGAACTAAGCCACCGGGAGGCACATGGCACTGACTACCTCGTTGTATTTGAGCTAGCAAGGCTACAAGGTGATTCACAAGCATCTTTAAGAATCGATGATACAGGGAAGTAGAGTCATGGACCCTGGATTCATTCATCGTAACTCGTTTGCCGGCCGATCCGCATTGGCCAAACTCCATAAATGTGCACATCGCTAGGCATGGTCAAGGCAATCCACAGATTTCAGTTGAGCGGCCCTGCTCATACATAGGCCAGCGTGTTGTCATCCCTAAATTTCGCAACAATACCCAGCTCCGCCTCCTGTCCGGCAACCGCTGGCCCAGAGACGACAATCTGTATTGAGTCAGAGTTCATTTCCCGACAAAGCTTCGAGCATGCTACTCACTGAGCCCTCAATCTTCTCATCCGTCGTCCGATGAGAACCTGTATCCTTCAACTTGACCTCCACACTACTTAACGGCACTCCAAAATGGCAGTGCTTCGTCCCCAGCTCCCTCCGATAATCATAGACATCCGTCTGAGCAACAGCGCCGCAAACCCTAGCAGCCGTAAGCGCATAAATAACCCTCGCGCCCGTAAACACCCGCAAATCCGACAACGCCTCCGAGCTCAGCGGCGGCGTATCGGCACCAGCCCTCTCCGACACAAACAACAGCCGCAGCTTGCCAGGCGTGGCGCCTACGTTTGCTTTCGTGGGCGCGTTCAGGCGTGTGAGGATGCTGTCGACCGGCATCCGACCGGCATCCAAGGCTTTGGTTTGCAGGGCGTGCGCGAGTTTCTTCATGCTGCCTACGACTGAGGTGGAGGTGTCGCTGTGGAGTTTTGCGGCTGTCTCGGCGGATGCGGCGATGATGGTTGGGGCAATTGTTCGGGCTGCTAGAGAGATCTGGACGCCGGGTCCCGCTACGGAATTGATGGCTACGGTGGCGCGGCAGAATAGCGCGGCTAGTGTGAGGGCGAGGGTGTAGGTGTGTGTGAGTGAGTCGACGGGAAGGAAGAGGTCGGAGGGATTCATGCGTTGGGTGGAGGGTAGAGCGTATATGAGCGCCGCTACTGCTGCTACCATGTTCTGCGAATCTGGTCGTCAGGAGATTTATGTGAGGTCGGGGTTGCTGGTACTCACCCCCTGAGTGAATTCCACGACCTGATTTTCTGCACCAGTCCTACCTTGCCAGACGGCGACGATGTTTCCAGGCTTCTGACCAGATTCGACTGTCGGTAGCTCCGCGGCCGAGTTGCGGTTCTCCTTAACGAGCTCGTGCCATACAGAGACGCCGATCTTCCTGCCTATACTCTCGGGAACATCGCCCCAGCCCACATGCCTGCTTGCTCTCTCGGCGACCCAGATCACTTCCGTTACACTCGCGCCTGCCTTTATGAGCTCGTCCAGAGGCAAGGACCCTGCCTGTGCAACCAGAGCATCGGCGTTGGTCTGCCGCAGCAGCTCCACGACTCTTGCATGCGGTTGGTTGTAAGGGAGGAGTATCGTAGTGAAGCCGTAGAATGCACCAGCTACCATCGCATCATCAGCATGGCATTAGAAGGTCTGTGGGTATGAGGCTCGCACCGAAGATTGTTGAAAGAAGCTCAATGCTGTTGGGTAGGTAAACCACAACACGCCTGCTGCCACGGCCCACGAAGTGGCTTCCAATGACAATGATCTCTTGCGTGACATCGCTGATCTTGTTGTCGACAATCTGTTCTTTTCCCAAGATGGTGAATATCTTGCCCGGCTGCCCAGCGCTTGCACCTTGTTCGAGGGGTAGTTCCCCTGTCACTCGTCTCCAGATGTCTCGTAGGTCGCCGTTCTTGCCGCCGGAATAAGGGGGTGCCCCCGGGTACTTGACCTGATTACCCAGTAAGCGGCTGCTCGAACGCTCCCCTCCGGGCTCCGGAGAATACCTGAAGACCAGCCCGTAATGGATAACCATGCGGCGCATCGTGAGACCGATATATGGCGGATTCTCCTGGCTGCCTGACCATGGACGCCGAGGAGCCCCTAGCTAAAAGCATTGGATGTACATCAGGCTCCTCTGCGTAGACGATAGCTCCAACCAGGAAGGCTGTGATCAACAGCGCAATGAGCGTGGTGTAGATGCTCCATCCTGAGAGGATTTCTGCTATCTTGGCGTCAAGCTGGTCGATCAGCCCGGCCATGTTCGCTGTCCAGGAAACAGCGAGTTTTGAAGCCTGAGGTGCACTCGACTTGTGCTAAGCTCGAGGGTCTGCGTGCAGAGTGACGCGGGGCATCTCAGCGGAAGGAAGACCGCGATAACGTCTTTCACCACCAGCTCGGCCGCGTTTCCCTAAGAAAACCACGAACTTTAAAAATTAATATCTTAATAACTAGCTACTATAATCACCTAAGAGTTTAACAGATTAAGCTATATATATAGAAGAGTAAGAGTAGATAGAGAGATACTAAAAATAGCCTTTAATAGCCTAACCAATTAGAGTTAAACTAACTTTTCTAAGTTTACTAGTAAAATACTAAGAAATTAAGAAAAGCTTATTTCTTAAAAAGTATAAGCTTTATTATAGTTTTTACTACTTAAGCCTAAAGAGTATAGACTAGTGCTATAGTATATAAAATCTTATAGCTATAGCTTATCTAACTAAAAAGTTAAAGCTAAAATTAGAATTACTCTATAAAGACTTCTCTAGTATTTCTTAGTAAGTACTTAGTTTCTTTAATAACTTTTTAATTAGTAAGGCTATAGCTATAAGATTTTAACTCTAGTACTAATAAGCTATTTACTCTAGATACACACTTAGAGACCCTCTAATTAGCTAATAGCTATTAAGATATTAATTTTTTAATCTTTCTAGTATTTACTATAGAACTCTCTTTAATCTTAAATAATAAGACTAGTAGTTACTATTTTTAGATTATAGACTATTAACTTTATACTTCTAGATATATACTATCTACTATTAACATCTTACGTAATTATATTAGGAGGCTATAAAGATATTAATTTTTTAATTTACTAAGGCGCTCATATAAAAACGTGGCCGAGCTGGTGGTGCGGCCGAGCCGGTGGTGATTTACGTTAAGTACCGCGATGCTCGGCATTTACCACCTCTCGCCCTCCCGCCGTATGGAATTGAAGGTGCACTGGGACTGTACGGTGGCTCAAACATGTCTAAGGCTGACCAGGTCCGATATCCATTGCCTGTATGCATAGCTACTTTCCTGAACCGTGTAAACAAAGCATGCCTGCATCCTGCGGTTGTGCCTTTCTCCGCCGCTTTCCGCCTCCGGAGCTTTCAACACCATCTGGGCACCATGGGCACTGGCATCAGATTGCCAAACCGGGTAAACACGGATCAGATTGAGAAAGCTCAAAGGCTGCAACTGCGTTTCAACTCGGTACTTGCATTAGGCAGTTTTCTCAGGCAGACACAAACTCACACCAGCATGGCGTGACAGGCTTGATGTATGGCTCCACCGCCGTGATCCTGCCCAACAGTCATTGCCTACCTACGCTTTCCATCGACCTAGGTACTTTAGTCGTGAACTCTCCCCTTGCGCTTTCCCTTTCCTTCCCCTCATCTTCCTCTGGGTCACCTGCACTGTTCTTTAGCGACAATTCCAACCCTTCCCACAACCTCACTGCGCACTCATACAGTGCATCCCTTGTGTTGCAGAACGCTTTCGAATCTAGATACTGTACACACTTCCTTGCCCTCACCTCGACGGCTTGTCCCGGCTTTAAGCTCAGCCTTAAATCCACTTCAGGTTCGTCTATAGCAATCTTCTCTACCGCGCCGCCTATATATAGTCCTCCGCCCAAAATACGCATTCGACATGGGGTGTATACACCAGAAGACTAACACAACATAGCTGTCTCTACCAAGGCACCATCATCTCACTACTCGCTTTACAATACACATCGCCCACTTGCACCATGACCCTCACGCTCCACCTCAGCCACCAAATCCGCCGCTACTCCCAGCGCGTCCCTCAAGACCCCAAGTACAGGCTCAAAGCATATGCGGTAATGGGCTACTGCGTTGCCGCCTTTACGCTGCCATTTGTGCCGCCGCTGTTGGAGACCAGGCGGAGTAGGGCTGATGGGAGCTATCTTACCAAGTACGTACAAATCGAGTGAGCTGTCTGTTAGGGGCTTCGCAACATGTGCTGAACTGTATCCAGGAAGCCGTTAGCGTTTTGCCCGAGTCCTTTGATTAGGAAGTGAGATCCTTTCCGGGACGATGCGTGGATGAGGCTTCATCGAACTGAGAGTTTGAGTGGTATAGCGCTACACTCTCGTGATGCGTTGCTGCGTTCTGCATTGCTCTTGGGACTCATGAAGATATGCATTGATGGGGTTCTGTGGAAGCAACATATGGAATGGATTACCCAGCGCGATTGATTGATAGTATGAGCAGACCTGAAATCGGAAAACACACGCGCTTCGACGCATTAATATGAGAAATGAGCGAAATCCCCTACAGGGAGGACACAGCCCCGATTGCCTCCGCCAACCCGAGCAGGGCATCTCGCGGTCAGACTTGTTCCAGTAAACCACACCCCCCTGGCTTTTGTACACGTGCGCAATCATGTTCCTCCTCGCCGCATATTAGATGCTTGTCGAAATACCGCCCCTCAAATCCCACTAAATCGATCCCCCTTCTTACTCCTAAACGGCTCGCTCGCCTCATACTTACTCTTCTCCTGCGTCCTCTGCCCCTCACTTAACGGCGCATGTCTCGTCGGCGCCGGATCCTCGCTCGCCTCAATACTCGGATTGCCCCCTCCGCTGCCCTCCACATCGCCCTTTCTCCAGCCATCCGCTGCGGTCGCCGCTATACTGCCTGTCGCCGGGGCTTGGGAGGTATTGGACTGTTTGGGACGGGAGGAGGATGATCTTGGGGAGGTGATATGCGCATCATTCTCCAGCCGCTGGAGATAGGCTTTGCGTTGGCGGTCGGCGGCGGCGCGCTCGGCGCGGTCCGCGTTGATGGACTTTTTGGCGAAGTAGTAGGCCCCACCGCCGGCGACTATTAGGACGCCCCAGCCGTACCTGTTTGGTGCTTGTGTGAGTCGAGTTCAGCGCAAGGATGGGGCGTAGAGCTTCACCAGACAGAGCGGATCTGCGGAATGATGTCAGCGGTATTTTAATAACGGTTGAGGATGCGGGTGCATACTGTGTTCATGGTGATAGCTTGTGCAAAGAAAAGGTCGGGCAAGCTTTAGAGGACCGAACTGCTGCCGCTCAGGACACTAAGTCACAGCTGTTGCGATAGCTGCGGAGGTTGCGTGAAGGTTGCAGCTTGGCGGGAGCATCATCGCGTGGTTGACGGAAGTATCCGCGATCTTCGACTCCCTTGAGACGCTGGACACAGGCACGTTGAACAGGGCAATAGCTCAGACTGCTTATATTTAAAAATATGCTACACAAGTCTTGATGGGTATCATGTCTATCGGCCCGGCCATAGCTCACAGCCGCCGCAGTCACTCCACTTTCTTCAATGCCAACTTCTTCCGCTCGAAGCTGCTCCATGCCTAAAGCGGCCCACGGCTCCAAAAAACCGGATAGCCCCTGGCTCCATTCAGAGCCGCGTGCAGTGTCAGGTAGTGCATCGACTGTCCCATCCTCCCGGTTCAGTCAAGAGTAAATGCTCCTTCCCCCCGGACTTCCCCTGCCCCGTTCATACAGCCACTTATTGTTCAACCCCACGCTCGCCCCCTTCCCACCACCCATCGGGGTCGGCGTGCCCGGTATATTCCCCAAACTCTCCGGTCCTCCATATCCACTCGCGCCAAAACTACTCGCTCCGAAACTGCTGGCGCCCAATGGAGAATCCCGTCCGTAGCTCAACCTCCTTGTCGACCCCTCTCCCATCGCTTTTTGCAATAGCGGACTCACTGTCGACGTGAACGGCGACCCGTTGCTCATTCCCCCTGCAGGACTTCCGCGCCCGGAAAGAGGTGGGTCGGATGCTGGACGCGGTCGACTGCCGCTTCCGCTGCCGCGTCTGGGTGTTGAGGAGCGCGCATAGCGTGGTGGTGTGATGTACTGCGAGCCTGGCGTCGCGGGTGTACTACTCGGCTCTAGACCGAGCAGTTTGCGCTGCGAGGGTGTAAGGGGTATATCGGAGAAGTCATCTTTGCGGCGGAAGAGGGGGTATAGGGCGGTGACTGCGTTGAAGAGTAGGATGAGACGGAGCGCTAGGAGGATGTAGTCGGAGTAGGGCGAGAGTTTAGTAAAGCTAGGGTGTAGGTCAGTAAGATAGAGTCGAAGAAGGGCTTGGGGATGTACTAGTAGCTGGATAATTCCGGTAGAAACGCGGTCGAGATAAAGGTAACCGCGAGAATTGAGATGTTCCACAGTATCATGCGGATATTCTGGTCGTTGAAAGTTGCTGCGTGCTGTCGTTGATTGATCTCATCCATTCGCGGATGTCTCCATGTTCCGGTAGGCGTGCTAATGTGAGGAGTCTGTACGGTCTGGGTCGCTTGGGCATTTGGAGTCAATGGAGCGGCTCGAAGAGCCATGATGGAGGGTTGGGAATCCTAGAGCTGTGTCTGCTAAGCACGCATGAGCTACGTAGCCCCAAGAGCTTGTCGGCTGCTAACTTACGCGTCGTCCGTGTTAGTTCCGCCGATATGGGCTCTGTCTACTTGCTGAGATGTTAGTTTCCGACCAGGACTGGGTGAGATTCCTAACTAATCAGCATTGTTCACGATTGAGCCTCTGGACGATTGCTTGTTACTGTGTTGATGATCTACGGCAAGCCACCGCCAAGCCCTTCCTCACATCCGCCGCAAATCTTCCGAACCGCACTACAGCACCAGCAGCGTCTAACTACGAGCAGGTGTTACAAGCTGTACGGTCAAGGCAATGGAGAGATCTATAGTACCATGTGATCTTCATCGCGGCGAGACCGACGCTTTCCAGTGTCTTAGCATCAAGATAGGTCTGAAGAGACACTGGAACAATGCAACAGAGCATATACCCGTCACTCCAAAGGGCACGCTGCGCACCGAGTCTCAAAGCTTGGAGGCGTCCGTACCTAATCACTGTAAGTCGAGGTTTCCTTTGCGGTGCCTGTGAAAGAAGCCTTTCACAATTTCGCCGGAACATGCCACTCTTCGCTCGAAGATGGAAACAGCTAGAGCCAGTTTTTGCTAGACGTGAGTCGCCATTTCAAGTAATCCGTTCCTTAGCGGTATCTTCCATGGAGAATCAAGAGCTTCACTAGCCAACGAAGACTGGTCCTAAGCCGGATTCGTCAGTGTCAAAGTCCTCGCCACTTGGAACAAACGATGGTTGCTCAATAGAATCGTGCAGAAGGGCTCTTTGTGACTTGAGAAGCCATGTATAGCTGCAAGTGGCTGATAGCAAAGCCCCGATCAGTTTATTATGTCACTGGACTACGTTTTGACATTCCAACGTCGGCTTGAGAGGCGCTGGCGACGTTTCGATGAGTTAGCGGACATATATATCGGACATACTAGCCTAATCAAGAGACATCCCAAACAGACGGCGAGGCGACCAGAGCCTCCAGAACTCGCCTCAGTGACACTTGAGTAGCATAGCATCACTTGCTTCCCATCGTCATAAGCTATGCTTTGTTAAGTTCGGATCCATGCAGGAGCCATGCTTCGGCCTGGTTCCACAACGTGTTGGGTACTCGCAGTACGGAGGAAGCTACCAAAATAAACTGGAATACGCTAATACAGCCACGGCGGGCATTATCGCTATCTAGCCTATTCTGGTAAGTGGTAGGTAGGGGTCTAGTCACAGCTTTTAAGATGTCTAAGCCGTCTCTCTGTGATATTTAGTATTAGAAAAGCTAGCTACGGATTCGGTCCTCTACTCACATCGGCGAAAATCTTTATCACCTCAGAAATGCCGAGCCTATATCCATCTTGCGAGCCGCTCGCAAGAAGGCCTATAGAGTATCTACGGTTCGGCGCTCCTATTCTCTCTCTTATTAATTGCAAAAGATTGCGCGCAAACTTTAAAAGCTTACGCGCGAACTTTAATACCTTTATCTCTACTATCTTTCTATACCATTAGTTCCGTATAATATACTATTAACAGGCTAAGATTATCACTATTGTATCTTTATATACTCTGCTTAAGTTTAAAATATTTATATTATAATATTTAAAGGATCGTAATGCGAGAACAACCACGTAATAGCTTCTTCTCTATATTAGTAAGAGAATAATTCCTGTGCGGCATGCAATCTTTTGAATTGACAAGAGACTGAGTGGGGGCGCCGAACTATAAACACCCTGTATGTGCTCGGCTTACTCGAGCTTCTCGGGCTTATCAAGCTTATCAGGATACTCAAGATCCTCAGAGCTGCCCGTGCTGCCCGTGCTGCCAAGCTGCCAAGCTACTGCACAAAGCTCCGTCTATCCAGTTCCGTCCAGCTTCAAGTCCATCTAGCTCCGTCTATCCAGATATCAACCACCACCGCGTATAGAACCGGCTGTAATATACGCCCGTGAAACTTTTGAAAACAAATGAGTTTAAACCGCCTAATTTCTGAAAACGTGGATATTCTACCTCTGCTAGCTAGGGGGTGAAAATCAAGCGAGAACGGAACTCCAAAGATTCTGCTTACTAAGCGGCTTAGCAGCTCGGGTATCTTGGGCAGCTCGAGCAGCTCAGCAGCTCGGCAGCTCGGCAGCTCGGCAGCTCGGCAGCTCTGAGTATCCAGAGTATCCTAATAAGCACGAGAAGCTCGAGCAAGCCGAGCATTCAGAGCTGAATCTGATGGATCAGATTTGCCGGCGTGCAGCTCGGAGCCGGATCTAACGCCTTAGAGGCAGATCTGACGCATCAGATTTGGCTGCGTACAGCTCAGAGCTGGTCGAGCTGCGAAACAAAACGCTGATGCAGATAGTTTGGCCCCCAAATTGTATATAGAAACGAGGAGTAGAGTCTAAGATAGCGGCGATTGTGATTTGGGCCCTTACTAAACCCCTGCTTAAACTCATCACTTGATAGGTCTAGCGCATAAAGGCGTCCAGCGTGGCGCTCTTAGCGTATTCTAGTTTATTTTGGTAGCTTCCTCCGTATGTCAGATCATTCAGCTGGGAACAAGTTCCTCACCAATGGTCATCGTTGTTCTGAGTTACCTACTTAGCAGCGAAGCAGAGACTACCTAGTGTACGCCGTTGGAGTAGATCTCGGAGGACTAGTGGCACCTATGTGCTGTCCATGTAAGCATGTCGCGGCCGTCAGACTTCCAGGCCCAAATCCCATCAATGACATGTTTGGTTCCATACACTCTACTTAGCTGTGTCTGGCTTATTGACCAAAGGGCGACCAGCGTAGTAGCGTTCCCATAATATCACTGTTGTCATCCACGGGCTAGGAGCCGCACGTATCAAAGGGGAGCGCAGCAAGAGGTCCGGAAGGTGCCTGCGGTCCCGTGCCGTTGTGGCTGACGGCGCGGCAGACGGAGCACTAATAGCGGTGGATCTAGTTATGCCTGCTGGACGGCTTCCAGTCATGCTCTTAGCCTGCGTCTTACAGCCCCCAACTCCAGCCGCGACGCGCCTGCCAAGAAGGCGGCCAATTAAGAGGACCTCTTCCGGCGGCAAGTCCTTGTAACCTGCATACCCAGCTTACAACGCCAATTATAGACTTATGTACAGCAGACTAGCGCACGGCAATTACGCACACACACAACACTACAACCCTACAAGAAGGACCCCGGGTCGACGTTCGTTTGGGACCAAAACTGCTGTCATCTCTACTACCAAGAATCCCATAGAGAGTCCGCTGAATAGCGATTTCGAAATACGCGTCCTACCTTCAAAGCGGCACTAAATAATGTGCGAAACGGTCCCTGCCGACCAGATTCAAAATTTCGCGACCAGACAGTAAACCAATCGGAGAATGTCGTTCACCGTTTCGAACGTTGTTACGACAACAGGAACCCCCTCAGCTGCCATCGCGCTAACGACCACCTTCACACCGCCGGCGTCCTGTTGGAATCAACATTTGACGCAGCTTCCCTCTCCAGGTTACCAGATATGGCTTAATGAGCCTGTCCCCGTGCCAGGTAGCACTTTTCGGGCATGTTACCCTAGCGAATTTATCAATGCATACACCTCTATTGCTTCATCATCAATAGCACCACTTCTCAGCCCCCTCATCTGTCCTCAAAACTATGTAACTGTGAAGACGGCACGGGAGAGCTATATTGTCTGCTGTCCTTCGTAAGTCTCTTCCCTCAGCCCATCGTACGATACTGCTACAGTCTCCCATGAGTCCTCTCCTTGCTTTTCTCTGCAAGTGGACCTAGACTCTAGTTGTGAGGGGATTTCAGGACCGGAACACTTAATAGCAATACAACAGCAAATGCTCAAGCATGGTCTTCCCAGCCTTTGCTCCATTATGCTAACGATGCGATCTGCAGTGGCTTTCTACTTGCCGACCCGACGATCACTGTAGACACCGACAGACCGGGCTATGGTGGTACCTGCTACAGCAACTTCGAAGTTGGCAGAGTGACTTCGGTAACGGCGTACGACAGCTTCCAGGCCACGGCTATCGTGAGCTGGGTGGCGAGTACTTCACTGGATCAGGCTTACGCGCATCCCATCGATGGTGTTGCAGCTCGTGTTGTGTCAACAAGCCAGGTCAGTCAATCTATAGCCAGTTAAGGGAATGTGCTTATAGGCTATGGATGCAGGTATCCTCCACCAATATCACCAGTACACCGCATACGACGAGTACAATCGATACACCTAGTTCAGACTTGGGTCACAACGACGGAAACAGCCTATCAGGTGGCACCATCACAGGCATCGTCTTAGGGGGTGTGGGAGGCGTTTCACTTGTGTGTGCAGCCGTCTTCTTTGCATTACGGCACCGGAAACGTCGACGAAGCACAGAGCGAGTCTACCACCACAGTTACACCGTCGAGAAGGATGAACCGAAGGCAGAGCTGTATGTTCAAGATACAAGGCATGAGATCGGGGCATCTACGTCGCCTGTTGAACTTGAGGGTAACCAATCTTTCAAGACGCGTAGAGCAGTGGAATAGCGTACGATGGGTGATACAATGTTATCACTCGTTAGCTGGCTGCAGCCCATGCTCATAGACGGGAAGGGCGATCCGTGTCATCACTATCGTCATTCTCAAGATGGGAGTGGTATCTTCTATGTGTAGCCGACGTTTTAGAAGAGCCTGTGGTTCACAAAACAGCAAGGCATATGTATCGTTGAGACACACAACTGCTGCCTTTTTTTTCTAAATCGTAAAACCAGAACGCTTTTGAGAACCGCATAGGAAACATGCTGTAAGAAAGCAAGAAGAGCCACCATGCCTTTTCCTTGATTTTGCTCTCGTATCATGCAATTTGTGTCCTCCGCTGCCGCCCTCCCGCAACATTCCCGTAAAACCTGCTTTTGATGCAAACCGAAATGAACTCATACCAAAGGAAAGTAATTCTGGATTCTGTCGGTCGTTCCAGGGTACCAACATTCTGCTCGACTAGCAGCCCGACCATAGGCGCATTGATGTGTGGGGCTGTAAATCGCCTGGATGTCTTTTGCACCCATTGAACTCCTCCGTAAGCCTTCCAGTGTATCCTTCCACAACCAGCTTGGCTGCTGTCTGTCGAGCTACTAGAGGATTATGGTCATGTTTTGACGTGGCTCTTCGATCTCGATAGCATCTGTACTGAATAGTATTTGGCGAAGAGCGTTTCGAAGAGGAGTCATATGTAGTTCTGAGACTGTCATTTCCGTCCAGGTGCAAGGCATGCCTCGTCTGTGACAGTCTCCGCAACTGTTTGACCCTTCTCGTCGCTCTCATTTCACTGATCTCGTCTTCCCAAGGGCGCAATAGTCACATTGCTTTCTGATCCTTCCTCCGTGCCTCGTACTCGTCAAAAAGCTCTGGGACCAAGGCGGCCAAGAAGTTGGGCCAGTCTCTGGTGGGATGTTGGTGGCTCCCTTAGCCCGAAGCTGTTGAGCCAAATGATCGTACCCCACGCGGTATGGATTAGGGCGAGGCTGTTGACGGGGAGCATTGATGAAATGTAATGTCCTCGTTAGGTTGTTGAAGCGTGCCTCTTTAACCCGCGCATTGCCGAAGTCGAATTTTGTCAACCAAGGAGGGCGGATCTGATCAGGCGACGACTGCTGAAGGTGCCTGATGAGGGCCATAGACCATGCATAGTTGACGTCTGAACCGGGAACGTTGGGATCTGCAAGGTTGGTGCTGTGCCGTTGAAGATAACGGGTAACCCATCTGCCTGCCGGAGTTCGCCATTCTAGGCGTATTATAAGCTTCTTCGCATCTTCCTAGTCGCTCTAAGGTCCTATGGTTAGAAGTCTGGCAAAGTCGTATGAATAGGGTCCGGTAAGTGAGATCTTAACAACTAAGTGCACTTTAGCACCTAAGGCCGGCCGCTCGTCCTGGTGTGCTTGGTCTAGCGCTAGTAAAAGGTATATACTAAACGTAAATCGGTGATCTATAGTCTCTATCTAGAAAGTACATCCTATAGGGAAAGTCCTAGTTAGGTGGGTTGGTGGACGGTAGTATATTTCAACCCAATCTAGAATAATGGTCTTAACTTATAACATCCTCCTAGAGCCTGTTACTCCCTTAGTAAATGGACTAGAAATATTAAGTCCGTTTGCAGCCCTAAAAGACGGCCGTTTAAGACCGCCTAGCTATCCGCTGCTAGATTGGGCCTCCCGCGCAGCTATAATAAGATAAAAGGTTATTATCTAATATATAGTACTTCGAACGGCTAATATTATAACGTTCTTATTCTCTCTACTGTCGCCCTCGTCCTTAGGGTCTAGAACGGAAGGTTCTTCTCTTAGTAACCGACTTCTATAACTCTTAAATAGTAGTATAAAGAGCTGCTCTACTACTAGGCGGTAGTAACTATTATATTAATATAGCTGCGTAAAAGTATAAAGCTAGACCGCTTTATATTATCGCGCTTTTATAGCGGCCTAGTAGTGTGTACTAAAGTTATAGGTATTAGTACTAGCCTTTATATTAGCTATTATTGTCTTATAAAAACGAACGCGTACCTAGGTTTATATAGATAATCCAATATAGAAGTCAATCCAGTTAGGCTTACCCTTAAAATCCTAGTAGATTATTATATAGATCCCGTGGATATCTGTATATACTTCAGTAATCTACTTACTTATATCTTAAATTTAGGTAATTATAAAGTTTAATTAATCGAGAAGTCAGGTAAGATTAATGTGATTTATACTAGTAACACCTATACTCTAAAGTAACTCTAGAGCTAGACGAGGTGGGCTATTCCTAACTATATACGCGAATTATATAGGGATAATATCTATATTCTAAGCTTAGTTTCCGTTCTAGAGCGCCGAAATAAGAGCTGTTACAGCCCTTATAAATTAGTTGTCCCCAGTAACTTATAGGTATATAAGCATCTAGGTGTAAATCTAGAATATCGATAATAATTAGTTCCAAGTACTTATAAGTCGTGCTAATCTCTATATAGTCTCTCGGTACCTATTCACATGACGGATCACGCCTAGGGATTATAAGCTTTACCTAATAACGGCTATCTGCGTAGTAGTAGGAGCTAATTACTTTTCCTATATCACAGGGCTTAAGATGAACTTTGTAGCTAGGGTTTATATCTTTATACTCGAATTTAGCGATATAAGGATACTCTACTAGCTAAGCGGGATCTTATAAGGCTATTATACTAGGAAGAAGAAGGTTTATATATAGTAATATATAGAAGAGGTGCGGTGCAATACTCAATCCAGATTGCTTCTTAAGTTAGTAATAAGAGCGGCCGACGAGATAGTAAGGTGTAGTAGGTAATTTACCTAGAAATTACTTTAGACGCGCTAATTACTATACTTATTTCAGGCTGCGTAATAGCTAGCTTCTAGTGTTAAGTAGAAGGCGTTATAGTCCTTAACGGATAGAAATAATAGTATACTAATAGTATTATAGACGGGCCTAAGAGAGGAACGCCGGGGTGTACTAATCTATAAGGTTAGTAATAGAATCTCTTATAATAGTATGCTAGCAAACGGAAGTTAGAGTTTAGAGGAGCAAATATATAAATAAAGAGGAAACTAGTTACTAAAGGAAAAAGGTTTAAGGAGCTAAAGGGGTTTTTAAAGAACGCGGGGTTTACTAGTTGTAAAGTAAACTAGCCCTTAGAATAAGCTAGATTGCAAACCTATAGGTACATAATTAGATAGAAAACAAGATAGCTAAGCTAGTAGTAATAGAAGCTAATAGAGGTAAATAGAAGCTAGCTTTAAATAAGCTAGAAGCGGGTAGCGTGAATAAGTTTTACACGGCCTCTCTAACTTTAGAAATAATATAAAACGTAATTCACTTTAGCTAAACTTAGTAATTGCATAGCTATAGAGAGAACGAGTGGATAGTAGACGCTTAAAGGAGTATACCTAATATATTATTAAAGTTTAATTCTCGTATTTATGTATAGCTGTATTAGTATATAGGCTGGGTGTAAATATAGAGTCACCGAGAATATAAAGAAGAGAAATACATTATACTAGGTAGGCTCTAGTGCTTTATACTATAGAAATAGAGCACGGCTAAGATAATCGACACACTAAAGAAGGATAGCTAGATAAAACTCCAAAAGACTATAAGAGAAGTAATATAAGCTTCGTAATAAGGACCGGCTGCGTAGTATATAAGTAGATATAGTTGCAGCTAGAAGCTACCCCTCTAAAATATATAGTAGAGTGATTCCTCTTACTTAAAGCTATTTATAGTCAGCCTAGAAGGATTATATCTTCCCTTCTAGTTAGAGCTCTACTATTATTCTTCTACTAAGAGAGGGTGCTATAAACTATAGTATAGACAATTTAGTTGATATATTACTACCTTATATAGTATAAAGCTATAACGCCTTAAACCTACTAATAAAGTCCTTAAGTTTCTATAATTTATAGTTATTGCTATTAAGCCCTAGTTGTATATACAAAGTTCTAAAGACTATATTATAACTATTAATTATAGTAATAGGAACAGCACTATATAGATAATTATACTATAGAAGAAAAGGCGAACTTATTTAGTATTCTATATAAATAACGTTAGATATTAAATAGAATTAATATCTATTGAATTTCTACTATAGGGCTTAGTGTTACGGTCTAGGCTACGGTGAGGTAGCCTAAATAGTAAGAGCTAACTAAGCTTAATAGGTATATAGTCGGTCGCGTTAATATAACGCAACTAGGACTTAATTAATTGTATTATCACGACTATTTAGAGGTTCTAAGAACTAATTGTAATATATAGTAGCTGAAAGGTATACTATAGGATTTAACTATTTAATCGACTCCACTAGCTATTACTATATAGCGCTAAAAAAGACTTCCGCACTATATTTAGTAAGCCGACTAAAGCGTTATACTAACTCTACTAAACTAGTGCTCCTATAGTTGCACTAACCTAGTAGCGCCCTCTACGGCTGTATTAATAAACACTAACCTGGGTTTAATTTAATTCGATACTTATTAGCTACTATATAGTTTACTATACTACTGCCGCGATTCCAATTAACTAATAGCTCTAGACCTTTCTAACCCAACTTTATTTACTAGGCTCTATCTAAAAAGCAACTATAGTTTAATCTACTAATTAGGAACTAAGATAGGG